TGACCACCTTCCGAAAAGCCCATTCAAATTAGGTCCTGCAAGTCTTCATCTTCAATCTTCTCAAACGTGAGCAACAGCAGCATCAACTATTAGGTTCGCTTCTCTTGCATCCTCGAACGAACTCAATTCAAATCCAGACCTGCGGTAAGCTAAAGCATTCTTTTCTTCTATATCTCTCTCGAACTTTCATTGCGTTTCTTCGCTTTCTGCTCAGTCATAAAATTATCCTGTTAAGCAAGCAAGCAAGGTCATTATAACTTTAAACCCTAATTAATCGAAACAGAGATACTGTATATGCGCTTCTGTTTTTATTTCTTTATTTTTGTTCCTTATAGCTCAAATTTTAAAACCTAATTCAGCTTTTATAATCACAAATCACCGGAAGATTGACAATCTAACATTTAATAACGCAAATTGCTCTTAGCTATTTGGTTTTTAGCTAATTCCACGAATTACTTTTAGCAGCAGTGTCAAAATGCCGAAAGTGAGGACAAACCGGGTCAAATACCCAGAGGGATGGGAGTTGATTGAGCCTACGCTTCGCGAACTGGATGGGAAGATGAGAGAAGGTTGAATATGTATTCAATTATATCCCTATGAATTGATAATGTATTTGCTTTTTTTTGCGTTGATTAAGGGGATTTTTACTTTATATGTTTTTGCAGCTGAACTCGATACACATGATGGCAAGAGAAAGTGTGAAGCTCTGTGGCCTATTTTCAAAATCACACATCAAAAGAGCCGATATATATATGATCTTTATTACAGAAGGAATGAGATATCTAAAGAGCTCTATGAGTTCTGCTTGGATCAAGGTTACGGGGATCGTAACCTAATTGCAAAATGGAAGAAGGTTTGTTTAGTTCTTTGCTGTTCCTTTAGGGCTTTTACTTTTTATAATTGCTGTATTGGTTATATTTCCTTTTGTTTGACAAATGCTTAGTTGTGTGAGGAATGGTGAGTTGGGTTCGTCGCTTGCTGAGTGTCAAATACTTTTCCCTTCCAATATGTACTTTAGTATTGTATAAATTCACACTGTCAGTGCATTGCTGAGTGTTCTGCTTCAACCAATGGTTTCAGATAATATTTGAGTGAGCTCAATATTTATATGAGCTAGTTGCTAATTTTTATCCTCAATTTGTGTTTTTTTTTCCTTCTCTTTTCAATCTGATGTGTATATGAGCTAAATTGCAAATGTAAGATCCTTTTACTTTGCTTTTCTTTCAGTTTGATGTGTGTATGAGGCTATGAGCTAGATTGCTAATTTCTGATTCTTTTACTTTGCTTTTGGACTTGCAATTTGTGAATGTGCGGTGCACAAAATACAGCTTGTTTGGTCCGCGCAGATCTGAAAACCTGTTAATGTTGAGTTTCTTTGTTTGAATTACAGCCAGGGTATGAACGATTGTGCTGTCTACGCTGCATCCAGCCCAGGGATCACAACTTTGGCACAACTTGTGTGTGCAGGGTTCCCAAGCATCTGAGGGAAGAGAAGGTTGTTGAGTGTGTGCATTGTGGCTGTGGAGGCTGTGCAAGTGGAGATTGATTGCTACTTTTTGTGAGCCCTCTTTTTTATGCTACAATCTTTCTGTTTATCTGAAGTCCAGGTGTGGCATTTGTTATATTAACATACGTAGTCCTCGATGTAGTAAAGATACTTGGACGGCCAATTAAAGAAGAATGAGACTTTATTGTATTTAGTTATGACCGTCATTAGCAGGCTATATATGTCAAGCCTACCCTTTTACTGACAGAAACTGAAAAAAATTGGCGGAAATTGCTTGTGTTTTAGAACCAAAACTCGTAAGGCACAACATAATTTCTTTGTGCATGTTGAAACCAAGTATCTTGTTTATAGTGTTTTTCAGACTCTGACCATAGGATGGTTGAACAAGCAGGAATCTGGTTAGTTTAGTCCCCTACCACCAAAGTATATATTATTTGGAGCTGAAAGGCCAGATTATTTGATGAAAGCTAAGCTATGCTTGTCTTGCATTGTTTCTTCTTTTTACTTCTTTTTTTTTTTTTTTTTTTCCTTCCGCTAATACATCATTCCCTGACCATACTGCCTATCATGTTAACTCTGTATGCTTCCTATCACTATTTTTATTGTTCCTTGTTTGTGTTGAGTGAAGGGTGTTTGTTCATTTTTATTTTTATTTTTATTTTTTTGGTGTCTTTGTGGGCTTGGGGGTGGTGTTTAATTGGTCGAGCTTTGGCCCCAGTATTTGCTGGGCCTTTTTGACAAAATCTAGAAGTGGGGATGAATTTATAAACAGACTTCATTGCTTAGTTGGTTAATTGATTTGGCCATCTCGTTTTCTCTCCAAATTTCGTCATTTGAGATTATTGGGCTTGCCAAATAACCCTCCACTTGCACGTGAAATTTCTAGACAAGACCCCAAACACCATGTACAGTGATTTCTTGAGTATGCTATAACTAATCAATCTTGTATTGTTATTGTCATTATGTTTTACTAAAGTCTAACACAATATACAAGCCTTATTTACAATATATATATATATATATATATGTATATATATTAGCTATAGCATAACTTATCCACTGGAGAATTTGAAGGTTGTCCTTGTTCTTCGTCAAAAACATTTCCTAGTATCTTCGTCTCAGTCATCTTTCCTGAAATAAGAATAAATTAGTCAGCTCAGATCAATTTAGAGGATTCAAATTCACATTTGCCTTTCCTTAGAACTTAGAACTTGTTCTACCAACAGAATCATTTATACATAAAGTAATAGTATGGGGGGCGAACATGGAAGTCGAAAAAAACTACATTATAAAAGAAAACAAGAAATTAATTATATAGATTATGATAATTAAAGACATAAGCATCTTCGTTTCTTGTTGTTTTCTCCCCCAAGCAACTGACAATTTCTTTCTTGTCTATATATATATGAGCATGTGGTATTCAACATGAGAATTGCTACAAAATTATGAGAATCAAAAACTGAATTCCATGTTTTATTAATTTTTCCGTCCCATTCATTCGGCAAATTCGCGCCCCAAGTTTTGTAAGGAACTCAAACAACGAGTAAATTATTACTTAGTCTTCATATGATCGAAGAGTGCAGGGTAACTGATAAGGGTAAAAAGAGTATTTTTGATTTATTAGGTTAGGAGTTTGATTTTTATTTTTAGAAATATTTTTTTATTTTAATACTAGATATGAACTGATAGTGAGTTCAAATAATTCAATTTAAAAAATCAATTAAAAGTCGGTTTCATTGACGCAAAAACTCATCAGAAAATACCCGGTATTTGTAAATATAAAATAAAAGGAGAATAGTCTTCTTATTTTATCAAAATTAATTAATTAGATTTTCATGGTTTCAAAACTATAAAATTAAATCCATTTATAATTTAATTGTTTTCTTCCATTTTATGTTGCTTTTTAATTCATTGTTTTTTATTTTTTTTAACAGATGGAAAAAAAAGTAAATAATAGAGAAGATTTATGAGAAAAATAATAAATTTTTTGGAGTAGAATATTATTAAATTAAACATATTCAACATTAGTTAAGGAACTATTTGCTTATTTTTCGATACTGTATGAATGAATTAATTAATTCTGATAAAGTTCGAAAACTCATTTATAATTAACTCTTCAAAAAAAAAATTACAGATTTCTTCTTTTTCTTTGAAAAAAAAAAAAGGAAAAAACAGCCTGAGAAACAAATATAACAAGAGTTGTGCCTATACTCAGCCAACTCAGGCAATTGAGTTCTCGAAGAGAATGTCCAAAATGATCCCATCATGGGTAGGTGAAGCTGACGTAAAAGTTAAAACCCACCATTAATTGATTGAAGGTTTTCCAAGAATTCCATTTTGGACTAAACCCCATCCATCATGTCTTCAAAGCACCAAACAATGTATTTAAAATGTATTCAGCTTTTTACAATTCACATGCAAAGTCCATCGAAAAAAGAATTCACTACGGTCATTGCAATGAGCCATAAAATTAAGCTTTTTTATTTTGGGTTTTGCTAACAAGTGTTTTGGGCGTCAAAACTCCTTCAGCCACCTCCATTAACACGTGATCATAACGTATGCCATGATAAAACATACTGACAGTTTTCCATTATTCTAACAGTGAATTTAAAAACCCTTCGCTTCCTCGATGTTTAGAAAAGAAAGAAAGAGGTTTATGAGCTACTTATTTCTCTGCTTCTTACTTTCTCCAATACATTTTACGATGGATATCAACAGAGAATAACAATTGAGTGGTGCAAATGTGAACTTTGGAACTTTCTTGAGGAGCTAAATTGACATCTCTAGACCAAATGTTGGGTACTGGTTTGTGATTGACCGAAAAAGAGAGTGAATCTTATGTGATTTTTCAGAAGTCACAAAGGTCAACGCGACTTTTCTCATCTTAAAAAGCACATGCATCTAGCCCTCAAGTAATGGCCTTTTTTTCAAGCAAACCATTGCTTTCTCATGCAAGCTAAGAAAGTGTCAAAAACCGTAAAAGGAGAAGAAAACGCACCTTTGCAGAAAGGCAAGTAAAAGGAGTCTAACGTGATGAGCTTGCTTGACCCTTTCTGCAGCTCTGAAGCAAAGAATATTCAAAGGAGATATATTTAAATGTCTTAAGACTCTTAACCCAACAAAATATACTCAGAAACACATCCACAGAACTTGCTGCATAATCTCCATTTAATTCCACTCTCAAGTCACCAACCAAAAAGATAGTTCTCCCTCTAATCGATCCATATGTACTGCTTAGACATCTAGATTAATGATTGTAACCGCATTACCTTATAGATATGAAAGAAGGCACCTTGCCTTCATTGACGAGGCTCAGAAAAAAGATGCAAATAAAAATGAGCATTAAAATGTTACAAAAGAAAAATGCAGATTATAGAATCATTGACCCAAAAACCAGCATATCTAAAAGACTAGAAAACAAGCCAAGAACAAAAATCCTTATTGAAACTAACCCTTTACAATCAGTTTTTCTTTATCACAAAATTGATATTCATCATGAGAACTCAGTTCCTTGTCCTGTTTTTGGGTCCACAAGTGGACGCATAGGCCAGCCAAGAAGCGAAGGTGAACCTGGTGGAGTTGCATCTGGACTAGGTGAAAAAAGGCTCAGTTCCACAAATGGCCCTGAAGAAGTCCCATCTCTTTGGTAAGTCCTGAAAGAAATTGATCCACGCTTGGTTGAGGCGTCAGAGTTTCTTCCAGGGCTTATTCGACCACTTTCTTCAGGAGGGCTTTGGTTTGCAACAAGGGAAATGGTTTCATTGTGCTCATCAGCATATCTTCTCCTAGCCTCCAAATCCCGAAGATTCCCTAGCGCTAAAGAATCAGCAACCGGATAGTAAACAAGCAAGCCAATACACACCCCAGCACAGCATGAAAGGGCAAGAAAGGCTGAGAAAGCAAGAGCTTCAAATAGAAAATGCTCTGGTTTAGATAAAACAGATAGTCCAAGTAAAAGAACCCTTAATGGAAGGAAACTTGAAACTGAGAATATTAATGTGTATACTCTCTTCTGCAAACCCTTGTTGATCACCAATTTCAGAATCCGCCTTCCAAGCCAAAACAGATAGACAGTTAGTGCAGAAGCAAAAACCCCAAGAAGGATTGTATTCAATAAAGGGTAAGTGCAAAGAGCAATATCAGAGGCAGCAGCATTTTGCATCCCATGTGTTGCAGTGGTTGTAAAATAGTGAGGCAACCTTTTCAATCTACTCTTATCGTTGCGTAATTGCGGTCCAATTACAATAATAACAAACTGAAGAACAAACATTGGAAGGCAATAAAGAAGAATCCATACTGCAGTTTTTCCATTCCACCTGTGACAGAGAATTCCCGATTCCATCTTCTGTAAGGGGGCCCGAAGGAGAAATATGATGGTGAGTAATAAGCAAGGTTCTGCAAAACCCAAATTCGAGACAATGTAGCCTTTGCAGACAGTTTCCTGCCATTTGGAGTCAAGGGCATCCAACACTCTTCCCTTGCGTCTCAAAAAACTTAACCGTATAATTTCACCAACACCCCACCAGATTACAAACAAGATGAATGTGATTCGGATGATCCAGGGACCACTAAAATAACTGAGTTGAAAAAAACCTTGACTACGAACACGAGAGCGGAAGTAAAATGAGTAAACAATGCACACCAAACCAAAAAGAATCAAAATAGCGACTAGACAAATTGTCACCACACCGAATGCATCGGCAGCAGCACTCGTCAGGGGCATTACCCGAATCACAAATTCCACGCATGCTCTCTTCCAGCATGGATACAAGGAATCCTCCTCTGGTCGTGTAAGCACTTCCTTCTGAGGATTAATTTTGATTGGCAGCAGTTTCCAAAATAATACTGGAATTGGCTTGTTGAAAACTGAACCAAACAGTCACCCAGAGCAATTAACTCTCACCCTGCATTCCGTAATGATGACCAACCCATGTATGATGTCAGATATCAACCAATCCAAAGTCAACACACCATATCACTACCTCAAGATATCCTTTCTGTCTGGCTAAGTTATCCAGCCCAATCACCTATAGCATAAAAATTGAAAATACTCAGAAAAGGAGCCAAGATTTAAATTATACTCATCATTTATATGTCAATGCCCAATTTCTTTACAGACCAAGCTCAGAAAAGCATTATTAAGAGAATTAAGCACCAAAGAGGATTTAAAGAATTAAAAGAATTCTTTTCAAAAAAAAAAATAACAAACAGATAAGTTCGTATTTGAACGTAAGCCAGCAAGGAAAGTAAGCCAGGTTGCCGAAAAAACAAGGCTGCTGGTCAAGCAATAGCATATTTGGGAAGTTGAAATGAATATATCTTGTCCAAATTTTGGCCTGTATGAGGGCCACATTTTACAAGTAATTGAACAAAATCACACATATCATGCTTCCCATGATATTCAGGAGCAGCCAAAATAGCTAGATCCATCCAAATTTGGCAGCACACGTTATATCAGCTACGTTCGTGAATCAACATAAGAAAGAAGACAAGTAAAATCTTAATTGAGCATTAAATAGCTACGAGACCACCAAAAGCAAAAAAATTCATTGCCAGCAAAGAACAAAATGGCATACAGTAAATCATTCGTAATTAATCCAACAATAAACGTTGCTATCATCATGCTGCATTATGAACAACACACGAAGTGACACGTTTTCTCACAGAAAGACCATTAGAGACTTCTTCTATATGGTTATATAAAAAATAAAAAAAATCAAAGTACACACTCATTAGTCATTATCAAACACCAATACCTTTTCAGCAAATTTAAATCGCAGTGTTTCACATTATATAGATCTCATTAACTTCCAAGAAAAAATATTAACCTCAGTAAAATTTCTGCTTTCTCCAACTTCAACCAGTTTTAAAAAATGATTAAAAAAAATATTTTCATTTCCTTCTGTTTTCCTTATCTTTCTCGGCAACCAAACACACGGCACGCATGAAAAAACAAAAACACGAATTATCCTCATACGATAAACGACATTTCCAAATCACCATGCACTAAATAAATAAATAAAGCAAAAACATGATAAAACTATAATTACAACAACATATCATCGAAAGAAAAAAGGCAAAAATTCAAACAGACAAAAATGATAGCCAAAATGAGAAAAAAGCAGATCAATCGAGAGCTTACAAAGCAGAGAAACTTGATCTGGGGAAGAGAAATGGAGATTCCAGTAACCGCGAAACAAGATCAAGAAAACCCTAAGTTGAAACGCGAAGCCAGCGAGAGAAAAAGACAGAGAAAGGTAGAGAGAGAGCGAGAGAGAGAGAGGGGAGGGGGAGGGAGGAGAGGGAAGAGAGAGACCGTGTAGTTAAGTGGGACTTTGTTGGAGACAGCCTGTCTCCAGCTGTGTAATCCGAACCTACAGGTTTGGATACCAGACTTTCGCTTCGTTATTTACCCTTACCTACGTGGCTCTGCCTTGGCGGCGTTTACGGCGAGCTGTCTTATTTTTGCCTTTTTTTTTTTAAAATAAATCACAGTTGAGAAACAAAAGAGTGTACGATTGGTTATCTGGTTAAGAAAATCTATAGACAAGGATAAGCGTAACTCACCGTTCGGTTCCTGCTAAGTTTGTTTGATTATCCAAACAAGCAGAACTTGCAAACCCTCACAATGGCTAATTATTTTTTTCGCTTAGGATGATGGTTTAGAGGAAATGCATGCGTTGAGGTTGATGTTGTTGCTTTGATGGACATGTCAAGGTGGGTGCTTCAATTTTATACTCATGACATGGTTAAGAGGGGAATGACTATTTTGGAAAATACAATGAGGAAGATTTAAAAAAATTAAAGTTTTGCCATAAATGACACGTTGAATGGGATGTTATGAATCAATAGATTTTTTTTGGTTGGTTATTAATAGATTTCGAAGGCATACTTATGGAAATTTAATCTCTCTAGAATATTGATATTTGGAAATTTTCAATGAAAATTGAATGAGTATTCTATGTGTCATAGGTTGATACGCGTAAAGACGAGAATTTGCAATTCTATAAATCTATGTGCCTTGAAATGATTATGATGTATCATAGTTAATAAAGTTCCTTATTAGTCATAATACAATCAATACATTTCAATATATGATTCATTTTATTGAGAGATTTAAGTAAATCAGATTGTGGATGCATGCATGTATAAAAAAATAGAAAACCCGACATATACATATGTTTACCGATGACGTTTTGATAAAATATATCTCGAGTTCTTATACTATTCGGTATTGTTTATTTTAACATTTCTATACCGATAATACAAAACAAACTCTTTGATACTCGAAGTTCGAATAAACCAATTTTTTCATCAATCTCTGTTAACCACATGTTGTCATATGATTAGTCAAACGTTGGATGAAAATTCTAATTTGTTTGTCCTCGCTTTTGAATAATACAAGATTTATTTTGTATTATATCTCGGATAGAAATATTAAAATAAACAATATTAGATAGCACAGGATATAGAGTGAATTTTATCGTTTCTCTTTATATGATGTTAGATTTAAACTTTTGCATTGCTTCATAGTATTGTAATTTTATTTCTTTTTTATTGTGTAGTTTTTTATTTTTTTTAAAGCTTCAATTTTATTTTAATTCTTCACATAAATTATTATGGCAAATATTGTTTACAATCGTTTAGATAACTTGCAACTTTTTTTTACTTAATGCATTTTCTCCTTCTTCCTTTTTCCCAGTAAACATGCATTTTTTTTAATCAATTATAAAAATACAAAATCATATCAAACACTATAAAATTAATTCAACGTTTGAGTACTATAAAAAATAGATTAAATAACATGTCATATTTAATAATTGACAATTGACAATTAGAAAAATAAAATTATTAGAATGACAAATAAAACCTCAATGGAATTTAGCATTAGTCATCTGATAATTTTAATTAATCAAACTCATAAAAAAGACATTTGTATTTGTTAATTATATAAATTATTCGTTTTATTGGCTAAAGATATCTAGTAATAACGATCTAAATAAAAGTTAAACTCAACTTGAAAATAATATATTCCGATAGTAATTTCACTAAGTATGAAAAATAAATTAGTTATTTAAATCATAAATAACCACGAGTGGTCAACCTAGCGGTGAAGGAGATTTGTTCTTTTCCTTGACTCTGTGGATTTAAAACTTGGGGCCAACGTATAGGAGAATCTATTATACTCTTTTGAATATATCAGGTTGATGTTAGGGCACAACTGTAAAATTGCATGAACAGAGATTTAGTTTAGACTGAAGCACAAACTGGTCCTAAGATATTGTCATTGTCAAATAAATAAAATAAAAAAACTCAAGTCATGTATATAGTTAAAACATTCAATAGTCAGGGGTTAACTATCAAATATTTTGATAACAAAAATATTATTTTGAGTTTGAAAAATTTTAAATTAAATCTATAAGTTTTTTAGAGGATTTTTTGGTAATTATCTAATAATAATCTCATTTCATAATTGTTAATGAGTCCGATACTATTTTTTTTTACCGTGATCAAGTTCATGTTCTTTTTAATCACCATCGAAAGAAAAAACAATTTTTTGGGATTTTTGGACTGCTGATACATTAACTTTCGACTATTATTTTCTTATTACACTAAAAAATTCATTGCGTAGGAGTTTTTATTTCTTTATATTGATTGTTTATTTCATAAATTAAATAATTATTTTTTATTATCTAGTAGCCATAAAAGCTAATTAGTGATATCCTAAATCTTAATATATTGATTTGAAAAAAAAAACACCAACAATAGTAATGATTTTTAATTAATCAAAATTTATCACTTTTTACCGAGCAATTAATTAATTACGCAGTGAATGTATGACATATTTTGGTGTATTGGTTAAATAGAACATGAGCATTTAAAATAAAAATACATACCTTTAAAACAATGGTTCCATTTAAGTTAGAGATAATTATAGGAAAGCTCTCTAAGAAGTTTATATTTAAAAAACCCATCAATTTATTTTTAAATTTTCAAACCCAAAATATTTTTTTTTCAAAACACTTGATTGTTAATCAGCATTAAATCGAGGCTTGATTATTGAATGTTTTAGTAAGAAAATCTTATTTAGAGTTAGAGAAATTTAAAAATAAATTGGTGAGTTTTTTAAATAGAAAATTTTGTAAAAGATTTTTCTGGTAATTATCATTGATAAGAATTAAAAAAATAATTCAATGCATCTTCTTCTATTCTCTTGTAAATACTTCCCCTAGAACTCTAATACCAATAAAAGCATTTATCTAAACTTAGCTACATATCTAGCTTTCGTACCCACCAATCTCAAACCTCCTCTAGCCACGTGTCAACTTTTTAACATTAATCAACCATATTCAATGCATGCCGTAGATATATTAATTAAAAATTGTTTATTTTTATATTGTAAATATCTCGTACTTTATAGAATATCTAAATTTAATTCCATTTGCTCTGCACAGAGGAAACCAGACTTGATTGCTTGAGATTTCAAATAATCTAGCTCCAAGTAGAACTCTACTGGATAATCTTATGTGGTTCAATTCTTGATTATTTTTATGCATTCTTAGCACTAGAGTTTTTGGATTCGATAAAAAGGGTATTTTCGAGCTTGTTTACATATCAATCGATATTTTTTTTTTTCGAATAATTTTAAAAGAGCACTCCTTGTATCAATTGCTAGTCTTGATGTTTGAACTCAGAGAGTCAAGAAATTGAACAACCTTCCTTAGCCATTGGCCCAACTTCTTGGAGTTTTTTAACACTAATGTCATGTAAGATAGGAAATTGATTTGAGTGAATCTTGTTATAAGTTGAAATCGGAGCTTAACATGTAGAAAAAAGAGGTCTTAATCTCCCCTTGACTAATGTTTGACAATTCATATGGTAGTGCTTGTCACAACAAGAGTAAAATAGTTTTTTTTTTTTTAAAATGGTTTTTTCAAATTTTAATCTAGTTAAATAATTAAGATATTATTATTAGAAAATCTCCAATGGTACTCTTTATTTTTGGTTAGCTTTTTTAATGTAAATAGAGATCATTATTATTTATATGGATTGAAGATCAATGTCATCTTCAATGCTACGCTCTACTTTAACTCTTTATTTTGACAAAATCCATAAAACCCGTATAGACTATCGGTGAAGAGATCTGAATGGCATTGAAAATAATAATTTTCATTAATGAAATATAAGATAAAGAGTCACTTAGACTATGTAGTATTGAATAGCTAAAGACACTATGTATCTTAATTTTAAAGATAGAGATTGTGATAAAGAGAATATTAAAGATAAAATTTGGATCAAACCTCTTTATTATAAAAAAAATATTAATATAAAAAGAGCATTAAAGATACTCTTAAATGATAAAAAATTGAAAATAAAATAAAAATTCAAAACGAAAAATCTAAGAGTCCTAGAGAAGAAGAAGAAGAAAACGAGAGAAAAACAAGCAAAAGTAAATAAAATATTGTATTTTCCAAGATGTTTTCATACATCCGTTACTCTCCTTTATATTCACTACCATTCTCGATTTCCACTCATGATACCCTGACCAATTCTCTCCTTTCTAGGGCAATTGTCAACTAATGGCTGCTATCTATTTTACAATTTCAAGCACAACTTACATATCTTAAAGGCTTCTTACTCTCTGCTAGTCATATGCCTAGGATTCCTCTTTGAATGTACTTGTACCAACTTTTCTGTTGTTTCACATGGGAAAGAGAAAACGAAAGATCAATGAAATGCATGTTCTAAGGAAAGATGTAGAGATGACTTTGAATTTTTATTCATTGATTCTTCATTGACAATCTTCATTGATTTTGAATTGCTTTTCTATACATGATTAGTAATTTAGTCTCAATATACTATAGATTGTTTGAAGGACTTTATGTCAATAATAATAATAATGACGATGATGAATTGTATCACAACTAATGTTCTAATTTCACACACACCTCTCTTTTACATTGTTTTTTCAATTGGTTATCTCTCGTGATGAGTAATTTTAGAATACTTTAAGAGTATCCGTCAATAATTACTCGAGAAAAATTAATACAATGAAGGAAGACAAGCGAAGAATCCTTTTTTCAAAAAATATTTTTGAAGCTAAATGGAGATATTCTTATCATTTTTATTAGATTTAAACACGACTTTTTCTTCATATTTATGTTTGTCTCTTTTATCTAAAGATGACAATGAGCCAAGCATGAGACGAGCACCTACTCGATTCGGTCTAATAAATATCTATTAAAAATGCTTAATAAAAATTGAGGTAGATAAGTATGGAAAAGATACATACTTGCTCATAAGATTTCGGATATGAATACCGAGTAATTCTTTTTTCAAAAAAAAAAAAATTTAACATCCAGGGACTTGATAGCATAAAATTTATAATACAAGGACCAAAATGTTTTTTTGAAAAACTTTGTCTATAAAAAACTTATAAATAAAAAAAATTAAATTGTTAAAATATATTAATTTTGAGGACCAAAACAACATCTCTTTTCTAAAATTACAAATACTAAAATAGATTTTTCTGACATGTAATTTTTATCGGGTATTAAATATTAAATGTAAGGGCAAATCGGATATAAGCCACGTATGAATTTAAAGAATACGTTTTTAATGAATACAGACATAACATTTTTATAATAGATAAAATAAGAGATTAAAATAATATATCCTTTATACAATCTATTACCATTTATACTATGATTAAAGTAGATTTATGAAGTAAGTATGGATAGTTATTACTTGATTATAGTATTTTTAACATGTTCATCAAATATGGTACGGCTGACTGAGTTCAAAAGCAAGAACCATACTTTACAGTGTTATTAATAATAATTTATAGTAGCTATAACAGGCCGAAGTTGCATTCTTTTTCCTTCTCCAGATGGTGTAAACCAACTCCAAAATCCTAAATAGCCAGCCCATGATGACGAGGAACTGAGGGTGTGCCCTTCTCCTCCTGTACTCTGCAGTGCAGTCACAATCGCGCAAGATTTCCACTGCGGGACCCACTTGCAACGTGGCACAACCTGCACTAATCTCTCCCCCAACCTAAGCAATGATTTCAACTTTTGATGAAGAAGGAATCCTTTTTGTGTTGTTTGTGTCGTCAATTCTTGAGTCTTAGTATTTGCTTATTTAACAAGACAAGACAGGAAAAGGAAGAAGACGAAGAAGAAGCAGCTAATAATGTGATGTATGCACCCACTCCTTTCAATTCTGATGACATTATTCTTTTTGTCCCTTTCTTGGCTTTGCTTCTGAAAAAATCATTGCTTACTTAGAGGAGTAGTACTGTCTGTAAAAATACCAAAGACAGAAGTGAAGTTTGAAAGAACAACCTGTCTAAAACCCCAAAATATCTCTCGTTTTCAAAGGTTATTCGCATTTTTAGGGAATATCTGGATCCGAAATACTCTCTTTCTGTTCTCTCTGTTTGTTGGACTATAACCTTCCAAAGTCCAGAAAAAGACCCTAAATTTATTATTTTTCAAAAATGCATTTCATTTTTGCGTTCTATTTGGGGTTTGTTTTGCATGGTTTTGAATAGTTGTCAAAAAGAAAGAAAGAAAAATTGGTCTTTCCAGTTTATTTCTACATTTCAAAACTGTTATCTTTTCTCTTTGGATATTTTATCTCAATTTTTCTATCTGATTGGGGATCTGGGTTCTTGTTGATATGCCCAAATAGTCTTTGTTTTATTCATCTTTTGATTTGGGGATCTGGTTGTTCTTATTTTTTTCAAAATTTCCTTCGGGGGGATTTGCCATTGAGTCGTATGTTTCTCACTGGTTTCCTTTGAATTGGGGATCTGGGTTCTTCTTGCTGCGCACAAGTCAAGGATTTTCAACTTTCAAGGACTACATTGGTTGATTAGAGGCAGAGTATAAGTTAAAAGACATTTGATTGATAATGATGCTATTTGGGGCTTAATGCTACAAAGAATTGAAGCGAATATAACCAATCACAGTGCTGAGAATTGTGGATTGGAATCATGGGCTGCATTTGCTCTAAAGTCACTCGAGCAAATAAATATTTTGAGAACAATGCCAAAAGCAAAGAAACAACCAAGCCTGCCAAACGGTTAGTCTCTTTATCCAGAAGAGATGAAGTTGTGGTAGAGGTTGATGGTCATGCTAGTGATGCCACAGCTAGCTTGATCTCGAATCAACCTGGAAATGATAACGCTGACTCTGTTCCGGTATCGTCCGATGAGGGAGAAAAGAACGAAAAAATCGAAAAGGTTAATCTTCAAAGGATCACTAGTATACGGAGTATGAGCAACGGAGAGAAAGGAGCACAGGTTGTTGCTGGTTGGCCTTCTTGGCTGACTGCTGTGGCTGGAGAGGCAATCAATGGATGGGTGCCTCGAAGGGCAGATTCGTTTGAGAAGCTAGATAAGGTCAGTTTGGTGCATTTCTCTATGATTTTTGTTGTTTTTGTCTTGTCCATTGATAATGTGAGTGAATTGTTGAAAAAGTTGGGTTTTTCCCCCTTTTCATGAACTTGAAAACAAAAACATCAGTAATTGGTATAGACATCCTGTTGGGTATAGCTTGCGTTGTATTCAATAACTCCTTGTTGCTTATATGTGCTTGCTTAATTTCGCAACTGTTTTTTTTTTTTCCTCCTGGTGCATGGTTTTTCAATTTCTCATGTCTGGTTAAGCTCGTAGGTCTAACATGAAAGCTGTTGCCAGAGAATAAATTCAAACAGTTGGTTCATACAACATGTGTGTATGTATGTGCGCATACATTTGGTCGCATATATCTTAGGTTCCTTATGCAAAACCTAGTTTTGGGTGCATTGAGAGTGCAGTCATATTACCTTGTTCAAATGCAGTTGCATTTTGCATTGGTCATTGGTTAAAAAGTTGGATGTTGTCTTTGTAGGGATTTTTGTTTCCTCTGGAAATGTAATTTCTTTCTGAATTTTCTACCCTTGACTACTTTGATATTCTTGTAAGTATAAATGTTTTGCTCACCCCTAAAAGTTTTTGAATAGTAGCATTGACAAAAAATGGTGAGGCATGCTAGTCCAAGGGATGGAGGTGCTGTTATGTTACTGTAGGCAATGAGTCATGTCCCTTGCAAAATGGCATCTTCGCTGAAGAAAATATTCTTCTGGGTTCTATTAGACAGCCACTCCTCTCTCAGAGTTGTTTGTTTCAATCAGTTTGAAAATTAAAGTTTCTCAGCAACTTGGCCTGATTTTTATTTGATATGCAATGTTTGGTTTTTGAGCAACCACAAATTTTGGTGTTAAATGCTGTCTACCCCTTGCTTTATTGCTCAATTCTTCACCAGTTAACTTTCCTGCAAATAATGCAGATTGGACAAGGAACATATAGCAGTGTGTACAAAGCTCGCGATCTTGAAACGAATAAGATAGTGGCATTGAAGAAGGTGCGCTTTGCTAATATGGATCCAGAAAGTGTTCGCTTTATGGCAAGAGAAATCACCATTTTGCGTAGACTTGATCACCCAAATGTTATGAAGCTTGAGGGTGTCATTGCTTCAAGAATGTCTGGCAGTATATACCTTATATTTGAATATATGGAGCATGATCTTGCAGGGCTTTTGGCTTCACCAGGGATTAAATTCACTGAAGCACAGGTTCTTGCTCTTTCTTATTCAAACTTTAACTGCTAGAATAATTGATAACACAACATTCTAGATCCTAACACAATTTGACAAAAAAAAAAAAAAAAGAAAGAAATTTTTTTTATGACAAACTCTAGAGTGGCTAGTTCAAGTATGGTTTTGAACTCTTTCGAAAATGTCAATATCTGAGGTGAAATTTACCTATTTCAATGTATTGAAGTGAGTGTCTGAAAGCCTTCTAATTTACTGTGGATTAGTTCTACGAAATGGCTTTTTTGCATCAAATTCTATTTTCCACGGTGATCCATAGTAGCACTATTTATGGGTCCTCCTCATCGAACCACTAGAAAGGCCAACAAGATGAAAACCTCTAGAATAAAAGGAAGCTAGGAGATTTTTTACCTCATTAATATAAGCTGGTTGTCCATGCAATAATGATTTTCTACTGAATTTTTGTCTCTGTGATGCAACCTTGCCAATTTCAAAGATTTGATTCTTTTCTGGATCTTATTTCTTAGCAGAAACTGAATGAACTTGGCTAATCAATTACATAAATTCTTTTGTTTATTAACGGTTGATCTGAAGTTTTCTCCTGCAGATTAAATGTTACATGCAACAGCTGCTTCATGGACTTGAACACTGCCACAACCATGGGATATTGCACCGCGATATAAAGGGTGCAAATCTTCTGATTGACTCTAATGGCAATCTCAAGATTGCTGATTTTGGACTGGCAACTTTTTTCTCCTCACCTCAGAAGCAGCCTCTTACAAGTCGGGTGGTTACATTGTGGTACAGACCTCCAGAGCTTTTGCTTGGTGCCACAGACTATGGAGTTGCTGTGGATCTATGGAGTACTGGTTGCATTCTTGCAGAATTGTTTGCTGGGAAGCCCATCATGCCTGGAAGAACAGAGGTAACTTTCTTTTTATCTAATTGCAATAATGCCTTTGTGTATTATAGACATTGTTAAGCATATTGAATTGTTTCTTATTGATCCTTGACTCATATTAGCAATTTTCTTATGGTGATACACCCAAAATTATGCATTATGCGAACATAAAACAATTTACAAAAACATTTTCGTGTTTATGAGGTCGCACTTCGGCCTAGTGATCATCTCATGAATGCTTGTCTCAATAGACCTGCTGACCAAAAGATCTGCCCTGAGTATTATACGTAAATGGCTAACTGTTTGGCCATCCTGACCCTGATCACTGTGACAGCAGGTGTCTCTATCAATCTAGGAAAAAACATCTCTTAGATCAACAACTTTTGTTATATGGAGGGTTCTTTCTGGTATGTTGATTTGCCAGAAGATGGCTCTTACGTATGAGAGCAGCGTGATCATCATCATGACTTGATAAATGGCATTGTTTAGTTTCAGATTTATGATCACTGGCAACTAGGTTCCTGAAAATTTGGTGTTTTTGCATTAATGAAACTATCTTAATCCATCATGCAATGTTTTTGTTCAATTTTTCTAAAGCTCAGCTGGATCCATGTTACTGTCGTCTGGTGAATATTGTGTCAAGGAAAATTGATAAAAAAAATCTTAGTAAATATTTGGATTTGGCCAAATTATGTCACCTGTTGAATATTGTGTCTATCTTTTGTAGGTGGAGCAACTGCATAAAATCTTCAAACTTTGTGGGTCACCTTCTGATGAGTACTGGAAAAGATCAAAACTGCCCCATGCAACCATTTTTAAACCTCAACATCCTTATAAACGTTGTGTTGCTGAGACGTTCAAGGACTTTCCTTCATCAGCTTTGACCCTGCTTGATGTCCTTCTTGCAGTAGAACCTGAGCCCCGTGGTACAGCCGTTTCAGCACTTAATAGTGAGGTAATTCAAGTTCTATAGTACAATATGATTTGACCATGTGAATTTTCGTTGAGTCTTTGACATTTACAAGTGTGACCTTTCTTCAATTACTATATTTTCCACACATGTTAGGGTTAGTGAGGGGTGGGTTTCTCTCTCAGTTTTATTTATTTATTTATTTATTTTTGAGTTTAGACTTATTCTATTTATGCTTTTCCCCTAGTATTCTTAAAGTAGAACACATTGTTTATCTGATTATCATATCACACTCAATTACTTGTTAAAGTTTATTTTCGGATTTAGAATATCAGCCTCAGCAGTTTGACAAAAGTAAATCTGAGTCCTGATTGTCCTTTTGAAGTAAAGTTCTATCTGCTAGTCTGACTTGGCCCATGAGTAGATAAATTGATGAGAAAAGGTATGACTACTGCTAACTATGAGGTAGGTGATTGAAGCAACATTTATAATGGGTTCCCTTTTGGTAGTTTACCTGCCACAAGTTGTAATACAAATAGAAGCCATTAATCATCCTACACTTCTTTTTTTTGTTGGTGGTATTATCAGGGTTTGTGATGCTTATTTTAACCTTCTTTGCATTCCATTCTGTTAATTTGGAACTCGCATGATTAAATGATTAAATCTCAGAAATTTTCTCTCTTCCCCAGTTCTTCACGACAAAGCCTCTTCCTTGTGATCCATCAAGTTTGCCCAAGTACCCACCAACCAAGGAGTTTGATGTTAAGTTTCGGGACGAGGATGCTAGAAGGTGAGGAATTTCCCTATGTTATTTTCCCCCAACATCTGTCCTTTTGACAAGAGCTGGATGTGACCTAGTTATTGCATATCATCGAAAGCAGTTATGCTGCCTCCTTTTCTTTTGCTATTGATGACAGAAAAAAGTTGCTTTTGTGATGAATACAGCTCAAAGTAATATCGATTTTTATTTGTGGATTACTGTTATGCTGTTAATCAGATACTTAATCTCTGAACCCAATGACTGTTTGTTTAGCTTACATCACTAATATAAATTTGGCAATGAAACGGAACATATATCTTGAGTTGGAAAAAATGAATAGATATTGCTAGAACTTTTAATGGATTCGATGATCGAGAAATCCTCAATCAGGACTCGTTATCAATTCAGTCATGGATTGAATTTTATTTTTCCTGCACCTATTTATGCCACCTCTTTATCATCTTGCAACCAGGCGGAGAGTAACTGGAGGTAAAGGACATGGACACGAATCAACTATAAGGAGTTCGAAAGAAAGTAAAGCTGTGCCAGCACCAGATGCCAATGCAGAGTTGCAGGCATCCATACAGGTACATTGTGACTGTACTTTCCTGAAGGTTCTTATAGTCATTTACTTTAAGGGGGTTAACTTTTTAGGTCTTGATTTATCTTTGTTTTGTTACTAATACAGAAGCGACAAGGGCAGTCTAACCAAATTAGCATTAGTGAACAGTACGATCACGAAGAGGATGGTGGTTCTGGCTTTCCTATTGGGCCTGCCAAAGGAACAGCAAGAAATATTTACTCTCATTCTGGCCAGTCAATGCATCCTACAAACTTTGGATCTTCACGTAATATGAATATCAACGATTCTGTTAGGGCTCCTGACCAAGAATTTATTTCTCCAAGGCAGACTGCAAAGTTGAGAGCTCAGAGATCTTTTGTTCAACGGGGAGCAGAACAGTTGTCTAGATTTTCTAATTCAGTTGCAGTTAGAGGCGGTTCACAATTTCATGGTAGCAGTGTAACTAATGTGAATTCGCGCTGGCCAGATGAGAGTTTTAATGCTAGATATAACAATCTGGATGATTCCTCCCACAGTCTATTAGGCAGGCCAAATTTCTCACATAAGAAGCCTGGTTTGGAGTCTACATTGGTAAAGGAATTACTCCAATAATTGTGTTTAATAATCTTCTTTCTTGTTCCTGTCGTGATTCTTTCATTTAACATAGTTGAAAGAACAAAAATGCTGATTTTTCGAGTGGAACTGGACATTGTGAAAATTTAAAGTTAGGTTACATGAAAAATTAATTGAAATTTAAATGCAAGGTAATGTCTAGTCTGATTGCTTATTGCTCTTGATATGGAGGCATTGAGTTACAGCTCTTTCAAATCCACGAAAGCTTACATCTTAGTAACGTGCTTGCAAAGCTAACAGTGTGTATGACTTGTTTCAGAACAGAGTTAGCATTTTGCTTATGTACCTTGAATAGTTATTTGAGACTTTTTTTCACTTGAAACTTTCTGTTGATGTACTCTAATCACTTGCACTGTTTGCTTCTGGCCTCAGGGTTATACTGGAAAGAAAGGACGTGTCCATTACTCTGGACCGTTGGTGCCTAATGGAGGAAACATTGAGGAAATGCTCAAAGAGCACGAGAAGCAAATCCAGCTCGCTGTGCGTAAAGCTCGCTTGGACAAGAAGAACACCAATGAAAGTGGACATACTGAATCACTTCTTTATCATGGGAGAATAAATGGTAGATGACCTTGGAGAAGATTGACAGAGCATGGCAAATGGCATCATTTTTGGATCTTCCTTTGGGAATATAATGACGATTCTGGAATATCAGTGGCATCTTTCCATCAGATAGTTACATGCATCTTCCCTAGTTGGGACGACCTCGAACCACAAAAAGGAGTATATGAAGTGCCAATCAAATCCATCGCCACCAACGTAGGACAAGATTGGCCATGGGTTTCTTATGACACCAACCAAATATGTGTGCCAAATCACTCTCTTCAGTCCTCGCATTGTCCAGTTTCAAAGGTATACTTTGTACAGCTGAAAATCTCTGTTTTTTTTTTTTTTGGACCAATTTTTCCCATTCTGTGGAGAGGCTGAACAATCCCAAATGCCACTCCAAAATGTTGCTCAAGGTAGCTTTATAACAATAGAAAGTGTAACTGGATCTTTTCTTTGGCCTAGCCGGCGCAGGATGAATAGCAATATAATGAAAAAAAGAGAACCATTTGATTCTGGATTGTTGAGTAGAAGTTTTATGTTTCCTGTGTTTCAATCATTGATATCTAATTGTTTCTCAAGGGGATTTGAGCTTGGATCTCTTCCTAATAAAAGAGCTGTGACTACCTAATATCAGGTACGTCTTGTCTTTGCTTGCAAGTAGCCTTGTTACAGTTGCTCTCTTGAATCCCCTCAAAAATTCTACTCCTTAAAGACGAGCCTCAGTAAAGAAGAGCAAGATTGTGGTAGGGCTTTGAAATGATCTCTCTGCTTTAAAAACTGAATCGTTGACCTACCGGGGCAATCAAGTGCAGAAAAAACAAGTTTTCTTATTTCTTTCCTTTCTATTGCCGGATAGAAGAGGTGATGTTCCCGGGTGGGGGCTTTTTCCTCGGAATCTCATTTGGGCAGCTATCCCACCTAAGTTGCAGGGTTTTTGATTAGGCTAATTAGTACTATTGGTCAAACGGAGACCGGAACCTCAATTTTAATTTTTTAATTATCACAAATATTTTTTTATTTTAATTTTTTAATTAAGTATCACAATTATTTTTTTATTTGTAATCAAGTCGGTCGATTTCGTTGACCAACATCCAGGCACATGTGATGATGAAATCACTGAAAAATCCATACTCAAATTAAATTGTCAAATCTAAACTGTTTACTCAAACTCCTATCTAATTTCAATCAATCATATATTTTTTTTTCTTTCCTGACAAATCTAAAATCTTTTTCAAAACAAGCAAGAGGAAAAATAGGCGACAAAGTTGGTTTTTTGATTAGAGGAGAGAGGACTTCAGTATCGTTTGACAGTAGTTGGTGTTGAATTTTGGTGTTGTTTGGCCGGAGAAGATGATGGCTATGAAGATTGTAGTGGCTGGTTTTTTGATTAGAGGAGAGAGGACTTCAGTATCGTCTGACAGTAGTTGGTGTTGAATTTTGGTGTTGTTTGGCCGGAGAAGATGATGGCTATGAAGATTGTAATGGCTGGTGTTGAGTCTTGATCGAAGGAGAGGGATGGCCAAAAAAGCTGTGGCCGGTGTTGGGATTGATTGTACCGGAGAGATGGTTGTGGTTGGCATTAGGTTTGATCAGAAGAGAGGGATGGTCAAGAAGGTTGCAATGGCTTACAAGCCTCGATATTGTTTGGCCAGAGAATATAATGGCTACAAGAGTTGTAGTACCTGATGTTGGGTATTGATCGGAAGAGAAGAATGGCAAAAAGAGCTATGACTAGTGTTGGGTTTGATCGGAGGAGAGGAATGGAGTGGCAAGGGGGCTTGAGAAAATGTTGGTTATGAGGATAAGGATGGCTGTAATAAGAGAATTTGAAAAGTTAGAGGTAATTTGTTTTTGAATGAGGTTAATTTGTAATTTTACTTTGTCAAGTTGATCGATAATAATAATAAGGTCAACAAATTTTTTTATTTATTAGGTCATATCATTATTATGTGTGAAAAAATGTATTTAAAGGTTGATCAACATGATTGACCGATTTGATTACAAACTAAAAAAATATTTATAGCATAATACAAATATTATAGAACCAATTAGCCTTTTGATCACCTTGATATCTGTGGGAATCAGAAATGGAGGGATAAAGAACTTGTTTTTGCAGAGAATGACAGTACTTATAAGGGACTGACTGACTGAATCCAATACTGTTAATACTCAAAGCAAGATTGGCTTGCAGTTCTACAATCATCACTAAAGTTTTTGTTTTTATTTACTGTTTCAGATAAAGCAAAATAGATCCGGCTAATTTGCACTTCTTTTGTACACCTTGACCACCAACAAGTTTGGAACTTGGAAAACCGCACGTGAAAGACAGCAACTTCTAAACCATAGTTTCCAAACCCATATGGCCAATCAGCAAGCCATGAAACAATAAATTATAAAATAATGAACAAACTCAGATAAACAGTTCACAACAAACCACCAAACTTGCAGATCTACCAACCACAGGTTTGCTTCGTCCATAAACTTTGCAGCTATTTAGTCTTCATCAAGCATCCAATATCCAATCCCATGTGTTGTTCCTTCCCTTCATGTCTAAGCATCAATAAGCAGTCACATTGCCTTCAATTCTCAAAAACTCTACTTCTCAACTCATTCCTTTCCTTCTATCAACTCAAACCTACCCAAATATAATCTTGCATGCAGCTTCCAAAAATCAAAGAACATCCAATCCCCATTACTTTTCCTTTCCAAACCCGAAAAAAGCAAAAACCTTTTTCGCTTATCCTACTCTCTTTCCCAGAGATCAATCCAATATGAGGCCTAAAAGCCAACAAATCACCAACCTTAAGCTGCTCCTCTTCGTTGTCTTCCTTGCTTTCTTCCTGCTTTTTGTGTTACGATCAAGCATGTCATCTTCCCAGGAAAGTATACCCCCCACCTCTCAACCGAGAACTTCGAACCCCACGAAAGAAGTTACAGCAACAAATTGCTCACAAGCATGCACTAAGATCCCTCGCTCCCTAACCCAAGCCCTTATCCACTACACAACCTCAACCATCACCCCACAGCAAACACACAAAGAAATATCAGTGAGTGCCAAAATTTTAGAAGAGAAATCCCCATGTAACTTCTTGGTTTTCGGCCTTGGTCATGACAGCCTTATGTGGAGTTCACTCAACTATGGTGGACGGACGGTTTTCCTTGAAGAAGATGAAGCTTGGATCGCGCAAATTAAACGCCGGTTTCCCATGTTAGAGTCCTATCATGTCACATATGACAGCAAGGTGAATGAGGCTGCCAATCTCATGGACGTAGGAAAGGGGCCTGAGTGCACAGCAGTTAGCGATCCCAAGTTCTCTATGTGCCAACTTGCGTTGAAAGGTTTGCCTAGTGAAGTTTATGAGATAGAATGGGACTTGATCATGGTTGATGCACCAACAGGCTACTATGAAGAGGCACCGGGGAGAATGACCGCCATATATACGGCCGGAATGATGGCACGAAACAGAAAAGAGGGAGAGACTGAGGTTTTTGTGCATGATGTGAACAGAGAGGTCGAAAATAAGTTCTCCAAGTCATTTCTTTGTGAAGGATATATGAAGAAACAAGAAGGGAGGTTAAGGCACTTTACCATTCCTAGCCACAGGGATGACTTGGACAGACCTTTTTGCCCAGAGTAGTTGTTTTTCCATGAAATCTCATTTCCTACGCAATTTTTGTGCATTTAAGAAGAAATTTGGTATCACTTTGGAAGAACATGCATTGCTTTTGTTAAGTAGGCAGCTAAAACCATATTGGAGATTTCTCTCCACTGTCACGGATTTGATATTTGACAAATACCAGAGTATAATAAGAAAGTGAGAAAGGTTTAAGTCTTTTGCCTTCGCAGAAGCAGGGGTTGAGTTCTGTTCATTAAAGTAGTCATCAAGAAGCTGACCGTTCTACCTAACGAGACACTCAAATTTTTTGTTTTTTAAAATCCATCCATCAAAGTGAACCATTAGCAGTTTGTCCATGCAAAATTCCAGATCGATGTAGATTTGATAGAAGAAATTAGTGAGAACAGATCGATAATATAACCTAACAGAATTAATATTTATAACTCTGTAAATTGACAGTAGTAAAAAAGAAATGCATTACAAGGAAAACATGAGGCTAGAGAAAACGCTTTTATATGAAGAAAAACTTAAAACCATCTCTGAATCCCAAAACATCTGTATCAGTTTTTAAGAAACCAAGCCCACCAAAGGAGACCTCCTTTTACAACTAACAGCAATCTAGGAGCAAATTTCTTGGAGAGAATTCCACAACCTGGAGCTTCTTTGAAGTGACTTGTATGGAAAGGTCATCAGCTTTGAAACCAGGTAAAGGAAAACCTCTATATCATATTTCCATGCAGTGTTTGTAACTACCGTTACTGTAGATGAAAGGGACAAAAGTCAAATCTCAGAACACCAAGAATTTTTTTTTGCACAATACAGACAAATAGGTCATAAGATATCTTGCGTTTTCAAGGAAAACAGAAGTCGAGAACAAATTTAGAACTGCAAAAGCTTTGTGAAATAATCAAGCTATATGGAGTCTCAAACCAATTGTCAGACAGAAGTATCACCTAACCCAAGTCGATAATCTTAAAACAAGATCAAAACAGTTTAAACAGCAAGCCACAGTCAACAGTCAAAACTCAATCAGACTACAATCTGTTCCAAAACAGAAATAGAATCACAATGAGTTAAAACGAGCAATGAGCGCCTACACTGATCTTTAGCCTGAGTGTTGGGTACCATTTAACTGATAAGGAGAAGTTGACATGCTGACAACTTTCTACGCATAATTGACCAAGACCGGCATAAAGGAAAAGCAAACAGAGATAACATCAGAAAATCTAAAGACATTATAAATGCATGCAGTTATATTAATTGAAGGAAAAAGTTTGCTCGCCAACAAAAAAAATAAAATAAAAAAAAAGACAGAAGTCTCATACCAACAAAACCCACATCCCTGAAGAAATATTTAAGTTGCACATGAATGAGTCCTCTCACCTCATTAAAAAGAGGGCAGTTGGATCTCCAGGAGAAGGAGGATTTTGATCCAACAGAGAGGAAAGATTGCCAGCTCTGGCTCTAGCATCATGATCAGTTGCAGACAATATTTCCACCGATTCCAGACCAACTTGCCTCTTGATCAAGTCCGAGTTCTCCTGAAGAACCTCAATCTCCCCAAATGGAAGCTTCAGATCCAAGGCTTGAACCCCAATAGCAACTGCCTGAGCCTTTTTTAACCTCAAGAAAGGCATACAAAGCTTTTGCACTTTCTTAAAGTTTGCTTCTTGACCAACTGAACTTTTTTGCAGTGCCTCTGATATCTCCTCATCTGGTGCAAAAGTACCTGTGTTTCCGTCAAATTTGCTCCGAAGTATATTCAAGCACTCTGCTTTCCATCCATCAAACTGCTCATTCACATATATCAAACCTGTTATCTTCTCTTCAGTTAGTGTTGCAGCAGGAGCTCCCTTCTTATTGGATTTCTTTGAACCCATGATTTGCTTCTGAAGAAGCTTCCTCATCAAAACAATCGAGTCTTGCAAGTACTTGTTGGCAGCCTTAAGGGTTTCATCTGGAGAATCAGCTGTAGGCCAGCCTGCATTCACAACAAATCCATCCTTCCTCAGAAGCACCCTCCAAACATGTTCTGCATAGTGTGGACAGATAGGAGTGATAAGCCGGGTCTGCACATCAATAAAACGCCACACTAAGTCACGATTCATGCCCCCGTTACCACAAGATAACCTGTACTCATCTCTGGCAGCTTGGAGATCATAGACTCCAGTCTTTAGAGCCTCTCTAAACATGTATTTTTCATAATTCTTCTTTGTCGTTGCAACAGCAATGTTTATTTCATTTTCAAACACCCGATCAGCATAAGTAGATGGTGGTCCTGTTCTCAAGGATGCCTCAGCAGCTAAAACCTCTTCAATCCATGCAATCTCTTTAGTGAGGCGAAGGATTGCAGCATTTGCAGTCTCAAATACAAAGTTGGCATCATCCACGCCATCTCCAGAATCAGCTAGACTGAACCGAGTAGCATCAGCAGAAAATTCATCAATGGCCTGACGCAGCGTCCTGAAATTTCCTGTAGACTTGGACATCTTCTCTGAATTGAGCATAATGTGCCCATTACATCTAAATCCCCGTGGCCAGTGATGCTTGGCCATGATTGCTGTGTGGTTGAAGATGCAGAATGTCAGATGGTTCTGAATTAGGTCCTTTCCAGAGACTCGAAGATCAAATGGGTACCAATATTCAAATTCCTGCTTCATCTTATTAAGAATAGATGGATCTATTTTTGATGATTTAGGGTATGAGCCATCACAGAAGAGGAAATTCCAGACATCGTCAGTCATTTCCTCAGGTTTAATAGAATGAATCTTGTTTATACCATACATGTCCTCATTATGTAGAAAGTGGGCAACAGTGTAATAAGCCATGTAGATAGTGGAGTCGGATAATGACTCAACAAGAAATTCTGGATCCCATGGAATGCGAGTCCCAAGCCCAAAAGATCGTGAGCAAGCCCATCGATTTAGCCAGCCCAAAGTATGCTCAAAGCCATGTTTTGTCTCATCAGAGTAGAGATTCATCTGAGATAAGCACTCCTCAGCCGATTTCTTCCATTCAAGGTCATCATATGTGAGGTACCATTGGTCTGTTAGAGCCACGACACATTCATCACCAGACCTTGACATGACACGCTTCTCAGGCTCACTATACATAATTGCCTCACCTGTCTCGATGAGCTTGGTCCTTATCAATGACTTTGCTTCTTGAACTTTGCTCCCAGCATATTCTCCAACAAGCATCGTTCCATCTGTAAATCCTTTCAAGTATGTCAACCTCTTAGCTTCAGCAAGCTTCTCTTTCTCGTTTTGGCTCTTAATTTTCAGATCCAGGCAAACCTTTTCAGCAGCCTTATCACCGAATTCTGGAATATTGATTATGGGTACAATTTCAAAAGGCACTACCCACTCATCCTTCACGCCATACTTTTCCCTGAAAGCTGGCTTCGCTTTCAAAACCTGCAATGCCATATAATCATCCGGGGCATCGCTAGGCACACTGGTCACAATCCCTGTACCTTTGTCTGTCAGAATGGTCAACATAGGAAGCGCGTAAATGACCTCGTTGAAGGAAAGTGGAGACTTCAATGGCAGACCAATCAGATCATAACCAGTCAGCTCAACAAGGCAACTAGGTTGCTTGGGGGACTTTGAGAAACCCTGATAAGCAAGGTTGAGGGCAGCTCTCTCTGTCAGGATGAAGACATCAGTATCATTCACTTCAAAAGCTCCATACTTGCCATCAGGCAGTACCCATGCATTTGTTTGTCCATACATTGTCTCGGGTCTCAATGTAGCAGCAGCTAGAAACACTTTTCTTCCCTCTAATGCTTTGAATTTGGGCGGGAAAGGAGGCAACACTTCCATCTTTATAAGAGTGTAATCTTGGGGCTGCACACCTTCACCACTTGCCCTGTCATGATCTGCACATGGTTGGTCATCCAAGGGAGAGTATATTGTGTATCTTTTATCTTTGACAATCTTCCCCATATCCTTCAACTTCCTCATCTGCCACTGCACAAATGAATCAAAATATGGATTCATATCTGTTGTAATAAACGATCTTCTCCAATCACATCCCAAGCCAAAATCCTTCAGATCTTTCATGGCCAGTGGAGGAAAGTAAGTCAGCCATTTTCCTGGTTTCTGGAACTCTGCTATCTCACGGTCAGACAGCCCAAAACTGCACATAATCTCCCACTGAAACATCTGTCCACCTGATTTTGACACAGCCTTAGACTTTTTGCCCTTGAACTTATCAGGCTGTAGACCTGCATTTGCATCCTCAGGCTCTGGTTCCAATTCTACTGACTCCACCTCTTTAGGGAACACAGGTGGATTGCCAAACTTTTGAATCTCCCTTTCAAGCTTATCTGCTGAGGCCTTAATAGGCATACCGGTGCAGTGAAAACCAAATGGAAGGAGCACATTAGCCCCATCCAGTCTATGGAAAGCAGCAGCAAATTCAAGCTTCGACAGTGAGAACGCATGTCCAAGATGCAAGAACCCATTCATATACGGAAATGGGAAGTTGCCAAAGAACTTCTCACCTGGTTTAGCAGGCCCTTCACCCGGTTCAGCGCGGAAAACATCTTTCTCATCCCACCAGCCACGGACCTTCTTCTCTATCTCCAACAGACGGTCCCTCCTTGCAAAACTTTTTCCACTCTCGGTTGTCATCACACAATAACGACAAGTACTGCATAAAGGGAAAAAAAAAACACAACACCTCGGTCAAACACATAAAATGAAACCGCATGAATGAATATTGAATTGATATAAACTTTAATAAAAATCCAAATCTTCAAATTACATGTATTCGCTTTTAGAACTTAAATTACAAGCACCTAAAAAACAAAAAATATTAAGAAAGAAAACCCAACAGCTGCCAACTTTTCATGCTCCATCATGAACTTAGAAAGCAGCAAGAGCCCATTATATACAAATCAAAGAATACGAAAAGCAAGCCAATTTCGAAAAAAAAAAACTGAATTAGCCCACAAAATATAAATCGCATAATTATACCCTAAAGCAGCAGAATTACAGATTTAGAAGAAAATAATCCAATTCAGCTTTCGTTATCTAAGAGAACAAGTAATAAATAAATAAACAGTCAGTACCTGTTCTGATTCAAGACAGATCGGAGAAAAACATTCCGATGAAATACCAGAAAGTTTTGTCTCGAAAGTTGAAGAGCCAGAGGGGAGTCGACAGAAGATTATAGAAGCGTCTTTGCGGCAGAAGAAGAAGATGGAAATGAAGAGAATAACGCTATGGTGGTAGGGTTTAATGACCATGAGCCTCTCAAGAATCTGACAAGAGGCAAAACTACAAATAAGTCCACAAAATATGTGTGTGATTTCAATTAAGTACCCAAATTTCTAAATTACGCAACATTGCCTAATACTGTAGCATTCTAAATTTTAATCAGCTAGTCACGTCCATAGTTTTAAATAGCAGTCGCTGTTGAAAAAACGGTCGCGATCGCGATAGCGGATCGCAGCTCATTACGATCATAAAATAATAGTCGCGACAGTTAATTGTGTAAATACATTAATAACTAGTAAGAAATTTATTCTATTTCACATTTTTTGACGAGCTTTACTAATTAAACATAATAATAAGTAATCATATTTCTAACTCGTTTAATAACAAATAACAATAGTTAAATTTATTATAAAAAATAATTAATAACACTTCCAATAGATTAATATCACATGAAAAATAATAAAATACATTATAATTTTAGTAATCGCAGGAGAAAGAAAGCAAAAGAAGGCAAAAAAAATGTCTCTCGTTTTATTAGTAACTAAGAGAGAAATAAAATAAAAGAAGACAAAAAAATCCTTTATTTTCATTAGTAATTGCAAGAGAAAGAAAGCAAAAAAAATAAAAAAATGTCCAATTGCATTTCGGGCTTGTTTTTCAATAATTTAAATTTTTTTATATATAATGTCGTTATATAATGACTAATAACAGTATTATATAATGGTAACGTCGTTATTTATTGTTATAGACGTGAAACGATGTTAAGGCTCTTATAACGCCAAAAACAATAACGAATTGTGCCGTTATCGTTATTTTTTTAAAACCATGGTCACGTCCGCATTTTGCATGCAGGGTAACTCTATTACTACCAAAATTAGATGTGAAATAAGAAAACTTATCCCATATTCATAGTGCTTTTTATCCTACTTTTACAAAAGAATTTGACTTTTGGTGATGCCTTTTAAATTAATATTGTTCATAAGAACTAACATGTTTTTTCATGTTATATTTATCACCATTATATTTTTTCATTGCACATTATACACACACACGTATATGCCTTATCGGCTCATCGTTATGTCTATAAATTATTTATCTTCACAATTCATATGAACAATTATGTCTCAGCAATATATATTTTCATACAGCCTGATTTTGCTTGTTTTTTTTTTTCCAACAATTTCTTTATTATTGATTTTGTGTAAAATTTATGAAAAAATATGTTTTTTTTTCATATGGCTTGACGATTAAGAAATATGATTTCTTTGATTTGTAATTTCTGAATTTTTTTCTTTCAAAATTTAAGATTATTTCTTTGATTTTTCATTTTTTATGAAAACATCCAATTAATTTTTTTATATAATTTATTTGTTAAGAAAATATAATTTGTTTTTCTTTATGTACTGATTTTTGAATAAAATTTTAGTTTTTTTTAAATACACTAATTTGATTTATTTGTTGCATGTTTTGGATAGAACATCCAATATATGTGTAATCTGAAGATTAGAAAGTTTTTTTTTCTTTTGGATATTTTAAAATTAATTTTTTTGGAATAAAATAATTTTTTAAAATAACAACTCAATTATTCAAGGGGATTATTTAATACTATGTTGATGTAGTTAATGAATGCATACATAAATTATCATAGCAAGGATGTGCTTCAAACAAAAGATAAAAACGTATCATGTTTAATTCATTCAAGATTTTAATTGAAGGAAAAAAATAAAATAAAAATTACTTGGAGATGAAAGGAAATATTTGAATAATTACACAAATGAAAAAAAAAAAAAGCAAAAAACAAAAAAAAGAAAGAAAAAAGTGAGCTAAGCCAACGTCTCTCTCTCTCTCTCTCTCTAGGCCTGCACTAGCAGGCTCAGAAGCACCACACACGCACGCGCGCGTGCGCACACATATATGTGATCATTTTTCTGATAAATACACCCACCAATCATCCAAGACTCCTTTACAAACCCATATGCGATGTCAAAATTCTTTTTATTCGCATTTAAAGAGCAAATTACTAGATCAGAAAGAGCATCTTCAATTATATTTTTTATTTTTTATTAATATTTTTAATATAAATAGAGAGCATCATTAATTATATATATTGGAGATCAATGTCATATCCAATACTACTCTCTACTTTACCTCTTTATTTTAATAAAATTCATAAAACATTTAATTCTGATTTTTTTTTTTTGTTAATCTCTCTCCATTCGATTAGTGAAGAGGCTAAGTGGAATAGGAAATAATAATTTTCATTAATGAAATATAAGATAAAGAGTCATTTGGACTTCTAAGTATTGGAGCATCTCCAATGATGCTCTCTACCTTTAGCTAGCATTTTTATTGTAAATAGAGAGCATCGTTAATTATATAAATTAAAAATCAATGTTCTCTTTAATGCTACTCTTTATTTTGACAAAATCCATAAAACCCAAAGAGACTATTGGTGAAGAGATTGAGTGGCATAGGAAATAGTAATTTTTATTAATGAAATATAAGATAAAGAGTCATTTGTACTTTCTAAGTATTGGTGAGCTAAAAACACTCGTATCTCAATTTTAAAGATAGAGATTGTGATAAAGAGAGCATTGAAGATGAAATTTTGGTTAAATCTCTTTATTATAAAGAAAAATCTTAATATAAAGAGAGCATTGGAGATGCTCTTAGAGAGTTAAAGACACTTTGTATCTTGCTTTTTAAAAATAGAGATTGTGATAAAAAGAATATTGAAAATAAAATTTGAGTCAAATCTTTTTATTATAAAAAAATCTTAATATAAAGAGAGCATATTGCATTATATTGTAGATGCTCTTAGAATTTTATCCCTAAATTAAACATCTGATTCATCTTTATCGGTCATTTGCTAGCTATTAAATATCTACAATCAACTTTAAAAGTTTATGCGATGGGGTTTAAAATGAATTTATTGTCGGAAAAAGATGAATATTTTGGTGACTTTCTCTTTTCTTTTCCGTCCCTCAGCCTACCTCCCTCCCTCTCTAGGAGCCAAAGCATCAGGGATTTTACTTTTAATATTTAGCTATTTATCAATAAAGATTGAAATTAACACTGTTAAATGGAATTACTAAAATAAAAATTGAATCAAAACGATGTTGTTTTGCTGCAGTTTCTAGGTCAAAGACTTTTTTGTACGAGAAGCTCAATGTTCATTTTGAATATGCAGTTTTTATGTCAAAATGACTTCTTTTTTTTGTGAGAGGTTTAATATTCATTTTAAACAATAAAAATCTTTCTGAGTTGTATGTATATAATTGGATCCATCAAAAACATGTAGCGAACTCTAACCTAATTGTAATTCATGCTGATTAATTCAGACTCAAAATCAAATTTGAGTATAAACAATTTAATGGTTAATGAAATATGTTTCATTTTTTGAATTTTTGAGTTTGATCCGTGAAGTGTGTTGATAACATCGTCTGGATAGGAAATGGTGGACACTACTGATTAATTCAGACATCTCAACCATATAACAATGTGTTCTTCTTCTAAACGAGCAGAGAATTGTTAATTTGTGATAAGTTCTTTTGGGATTAAGATAATCTGCATGACAAATTTGTTTATTGCATATAATCATGCACAATCCATTTCAATGGACTTGGAAAAACCCTAAACTTGGATTAAATAATATAAAACTATACGACATAAAAACAAGATAGAGGAGTGGTGGACACTACTTGCCTTGACATGTGAGACAAGACAAACCCCAAAACACGCTTTTTCCTTTTCTCTCTCCGCTCTTCCGTTTCTTAGAAACCCCAAGAAAGATAACCCCTCCTCCATTTTTTCTATTCCCATTTCCCTCTCGATACCATCATGAGCAACGAATAGTAAGCCATTCTCTCCATCTTTAAATACTTTCACTCTTCTTATATTTTCTTTCTTTTCATTTTTCGTTTTTGCTTACATTATCTCTTCTATTTGTATTTTTTCTTTTTTCTTGTAGTGATTATCTGTTTAAGCTTTTGCTAATCGGAGACTCCTCTGTTGGGAAATCGTGTCTGCTTCTCAGGTTTGCTGTAAGTTCACTTTTCTTTTTTTCTTCTTTGAAAATTATCAATAATAACTATACATTCTGTTATTTTGTGTGATTACAGTTCTTAATGTGATTACTAGGAAGATGGGTTGATCTTTAAGTAATTAGTGCTTAATTGGGTTTCTAATATATTGCTAATTTTAGTGGGTTATTGTTAAATGGACTAGTGATTAGTTTTTAAATTTAACTGGGTTATTTATTTTTCACCCTGTTTCATAATTTCTCAGGATGACTCTTATGTAGACAGCTATATCAGTACCATTGGTGTTGATTTTGTAAGTCTCTGTCTACTGCTATACATCGCTCTCTGGACGGTATTTTGATGTTTTTCAAAATGACCTAAACTTGTTGGTTATTTTGTAGAAAATCAGAACTGTGGAGCAAGATGGGAAGACAATCAAGCTGCAGATTGTAAGTATAGATAACTGCTTTTTCCTTCAAAGATGGGTTTTAATTATGTTGCTTTTTTTTGCCTCTCTATATTGAAATGGAGAATGTGGGTACTGACTAACTAGATAGGTGCACATCTTTTCTAGTTGGAATAAATGGTTGATATGGGTATGTGGAAAGAGGTGGTATAGGTCACTTGCATGCACAAATTAAGCTGTTTGCAATAATGACTCAGGTGATATTTTAGTTAAACAGTTACAACCCTTTGAAATTGGATAATGTATGTTAAGTGTCTGAAAAAATTGTTCATAGTTCAGAAGCTTCACTGACTATTGCCAACGTTGTTGGTTGGCATGATAAAATTTATGTAACATAACTATTGTCACAAAAATGCTTCATTATTTTTCTCCCTTCCCAAGTATGTTTCTTCGTGATTACACTTTGAGTTTAACATTTAACTGGTTTTTGCTCTTTCAGTGGGATACAGCTGGACAGGAGCGATTTCGGACCATAACAAGCAGTTATTATCGAGGAGCACATGGGATAATTGTGAGAGATTCTCCTATTGTTTCTACCTACAGCCTCACCCCAACCCCCTTCTCTCTCTCTCTCTCATTAACACAAACACAATCACAACAGATGCTGATTATATGGTCTTCCCCATGTACTGATTTCTGAAAGTGAACTTTATGCCTTGGGACATTGCGCCATGATTATATGCATTTTATGTTGTTGCACTTTCAAATCTTACTATGCTATATGGAGTCATGTTCAAGAACTAATAATTTGTATTCTGTGGGATTGCAACAGATAGTCTATGATGTAACTGAGATGGAGAGCTTCAACAATGTCAAGCAATGGTTGAATGAGATTGATAGATATGCAAATGATAGTGTCTGCAAACTTTTAGTTGGGAATAAGTGTGATCTAGTTGAGAACAAGGTTGTGGACACACAAACAGCGAAGGTATATCTATTTAATTCAGTTATCTATGATGTGATATGAAAATTTCCTGAAGCACTTCTAATGTACCGAGTTTCTTCTGGCCAAGTGTGCTGAACCATCAGGGAATATCTTGTGCTGAGTAAGGACTTAGGACCAGTTCTACTATATGCAATAACTGAGTCCAGTTAATTATTTTATTTTACTTCAGTGGTATGAGTCGGTGCTCTTTCGTTTAGCATTACTGATCTGGTATGCCCTGTATATGCACTGAGGGAAAGTTTTTCTTACAGTTTTAATAAGACAGATAAAAGTTTGTTGCAACATGTGTTTATTGAAGTGCTATTTTCATGTAATATTGTTTAGTTCCATGTATAGGTGTGCCTGCATGATGCAAAATCTTGAGATTGATAGTTCTCAAATGTAATGAACCAGATATTTCTTGCACATATATAGCCATATTGAAAAGTTCACTTTTGTGTGTGTCTTCTAATACGAGAAAGAGGAAAGCTTCTGATGGATGTATGTAAATTAAGTTGTTTTGTTTGCATTTGCTGTTGATGGATTTTTTTTTAAAAAAAAAAATTGGATAATGGTGTCTGTTTGTAAATTGATCCTTCTTTCTTCTACCTGGATAAACTGCAGGCATTTGCAGATGAGCTTGGCATTCCTTTCCTAGAGACAAGTGCTAAAGACTCGATAAATGTGGAGCAGGCATTCTTAACCATGGCTGCCGAAATTAAGAAAAAGTAAAACCATTAATCAACTTGTTCCTGCTGCTCTTAATTCAAGTGCCGACTTTATTGATTGCAAATACCACTTCTTAATGATTAATAATTATTGTTTTTATTTGGATGTTATCTTGATTAGCTATTTTAGATTTTTCATTTAATTTTCTCCTATTTTAATAGGAATGAATCATTTAACAGAAGATGCAATTTTTTGACACCCAAAGCCATTACTGACAGTGTTAACGTGTTATTCTATGTGCTCCCTTAAATTGAAAAGTTCAGATACTTCAAGAAAACCTCAGCTTTTAGATACTAAGATTATTACACAATCTACTTTTCTTTGCTTCTGTTTTGGTGCATGGTTAAACCTGGTGCTGTTTGCCTATATATTATTCTCTCATGCATTATGCTTGTGAAAATTGCATAGGTTTGGTTGCAGTAATACAGCGTATTGCATCTTATACTAATCAATGCCCTTTGTATTGTTTTTTTTTTCCTTTTTGATGTAAAATTATGCAGAGTAAAGCAAAGTGTAATTGTATGCATGCTCTTCAACTAACTCGAAATCTCTTGCAGAATGGGTAGCCAGCCAACTTCTAACAAGTCTACAGGAACTGTTCAGATGAAGGGGCAGCCGATTGAGCAGAAAAACAACTGTTGTGGTTAGCTATTCGTGTTGTAATTTTAGTTGTGTCCCATGGTTGCTAGGCAAAAATGTGCTGTTGACTTCGTAATCATATGGAACTTCCAGAAACTGTCAAATATATTGTGTGGGTGTGTGTGTTGTTGTCTATCTGTGAAAAGAATTCTCTCGTTTTATTGAAGGTATAAAGATTTTAATGAAATGTAACCGAAATGTTAAATATCTGAAAGAGGCAACTATCAATCTCTCAGAAAGCAGGGAAGTGACAGCAAGGGAACGAATAAGATGCAAATTGGTTGGGAGAAATCTCAAGCAATGCAAATGGTATTCATTCAAATGCAATTAAATGTTATCTCACCAATGCCAAAATCTCCAGTGATACGTTGACAGCTATAGCTTCTTCAGTTTGTAGCATTGAACAGTGTTGGTGTACTTTCATGTGGAGTGGAACGGTTGGTAGGAATGGCAATGGCCATCCTTGCCCTTACCCTGCATCTGAAAATTTTGCTCGGTTCTCGTCCAGTGTCTCGCATGGGGTAATATTTCTCATATCATTCCCATCCTAAATGGGGATAAGAGTCCCTACGATGCATTATGTCTCATTTGATTTTTTGTTTTCGTTCCATCTTCGCCTCATTCTATTATCAAATTTTAAACTATAGTAAAAAAATAATGATTCATATAAAAAATAAATTCTAAAAATCAATAGTTATAGATTTTATATAAGGTATAATTGTAATTTCACAGATGAAGTAGGACAAATGGGACAGGCAAACAAATACTATCCATGTCCCATAGTTGTTCAAAATAAATACGAGGCAGGGCGTCCTATCGTCAGGACAAGACAAATTGCCATCCTTGACGGTTGGCATCTAAATTTGCAATGTGAGCCATTACCTTAGGACTCTGCAGATTGAAGCACCTGTGTTGCCCATCTCCTTCCTCGGCTGTTGTGCTGCCGGAAATTGGAGGGTCCACTGGGTTGCACGAAATGATGGTAATGAACAAGCAACTTCTCAAGTTGCGAAGTTCAATTTTGTGCTTGGAAGTTGGCATGCCATATCCATTCCTCTCTACTGGTCTGCTACCATGAAGATCCTATGAGATTGGTCCATGGGTATAGAGCAAGGCATTCTGCTTATCTTCTGTATCTCCCGTGTAAAAAAACTAGCATCGTCTCATCTGCCTGTTGCAATCATCACCATTGCTTCTCTGCTTCATTGTTCCTCAATTTATTTCCCATAGTTTAACTTGCATGCAAGTCCGTAGGTGTAATGCCAGAAAAATATTGCAATCCTCTTAACTAGATTTTTTTGCGTCCAACTCCTACTTCTGTATATGGCATGTGTAATGCACGATTGCATTCCCCACTATCATTATTACCAAAGAGATCTTGAAGCAAAATGAAAGTCGATATACACGAAAATTACTTTCGATATATCATGCAAAGGCATATGAGATTCAACAACAATACAGTTTGAACACACAAAAATTAGGGAAAAAAGAAAAAGAAAACAGGGAAAACTGATCTGAATCAAATGGACAAGGAGATGAGGGAAAGAAAATGAAACAGGCAAAAGGGAAATTCGGCACAACTAAATATCATCTTCATGATGAAGTGCAGCAGGCCTTTTTTGTGTTGGGTTCAGGTCCTCCAACTACGATTGTCTTCCCGTCTTTGATACTAGCAGGTGCAGGCTCTTCTGAAGAAAGTGACTTCTTACTAATTATCCTATATATCTCTGAAAGAATCGTCTGGAAAGCCTTCTCAACATTTGTTGCTTCAAGAGCAGATGTCTCTATAAATGCAAGTCCTTCTTTCTCAGCGTAGGTTTGAGCATCCTCGGTGGCAACTGCCCTAAGATGTTTCAGATCAGTCTTGTTCCCAATTAGCATGATGACAATATTGGAATCTGCATGATCCCTCAGCTCCTTCAGCCACCTGCTCACATTTTCAAATGTTGTTGGCTTTGTAACATCATATACAAGAAGAGCTCCAAGGGCACCCCTGTAGTAGGCACTGGTGATTGCTCTGTATCGCTCCTGTCCAGCCGTGTCCCATATCTGAGCTTTCACGGTCCTTCCTTCAACCTATCCAGAATACAGAATGTCTTTATGCAGTACACAACAAGATGCTTTTGGAAGTAAATAAATTTACTTTCATGAATGATATAGGATGAAAATCATGTAATGTTGACATAGTAACCAGCAAAGTGGATGGGGAAAACATGTATGTTCTAATCTGGAACGTGGGAGGCCATAACAAATGCGCTATAGGCACCCACATTTATACAAGGGAACCAATTATCATGCTGTTTAATAAAGCATTTTGAAGTGCTTCTATTTCAACCTCAAATGCACTTCTAACTGGTAACCAAAAGTTAAAAATACTCCTGAACCTGTTTACAAGTGTTGCAATGATAAATGAGTAGCTCCAAAATGGTTTACGGTTTTCTTTCTGTGCTTTTCTGAAGGTGCTTCTTACTGTTAATCCCAGAAGAGAAAAGCAACCTTTAACATTTCATAAAGTATATTTATATTAGCATCTGGATAATTAAATCAATATTCTTATATTAAAAGTTCAACAATAAAGGCTGAACACTTCAAAGGAATAGCTATAGCCAACATACTTACTAAAGTAACCATCGGCTTAGTATGCAATAGAAGTATACTCACTATTGGGACTCTTCTAACACTTTTAAAACATATACCTTCATTCTCTTACACATAATCTTGGAACATTCCATAGTCTTAGATAATCAAGAGTCTTTTCTTTATCATCATCATCTCTCAAAGGTAAACAGTTGTTCTCCATTCCAATTTAAATGTCCCCCTTTACTTTCACACTTTTACTTAAAGACAGGTCCGATATTTATCAAATCAAATGAGGGTCATTTTCAAAAGGCAAATGATATATTTGGAAAGTGGACAAATAAATTGGCATCTTAAAATGGGATAGTGAATAGTGGACATTAGAATGAGATGCAGGAAGAAACTAGCTTTTTGAAAGACGTGAATTCGACAACTCAATAGTTTGTAAACGAAAAGTAAACAAAATTGCTTATTACAACACACATGAGACAAATGGGCTTCCTCTGGCATGTAACTACAATTCCTTTTTCCATGGAAACAGGCTTACCCAAGAGATTAATTCTAATAGATTTATCCCAGTCATCTGATTGACCATTATCATCACAGCCAAGGCAACAAACTATCATCTCCAAGCTATTTGAGATTAGAATTTACATTTTCCAATAAACAAATGAAGCCATAGCTTCACTTAGACCTCAGAAGATGGTAATGATGAAGAAGAGATAATTCAACATCACACATCATGTCTAGGCGTAAGGGAATGAAGATATGCTTTATAATGGAACTTCAACAGATTCTACATTTTTTAGGAACAAAGGATCTAAGAATGGTTAAAAAGATTCCTTCTGGGCGGAACAACTCCCGTCTAGGACATGAAGGGCATGCAATCTCATACCTAGGTATACAGTCATACTATACTCTCCTTAAAAGAATGAAGACAGATCTCTGGAACCCTTACCAGCTAAGATATAGTGGTTGGAGGTGAATGGCATCGCAAAAAAGGCTTTGACTGTGTTCTTGTGTGTTAGTGCATGTCTTGTATGAAAACTCTATAACAGTATCTATTTCAGATCCAATACTAATGCAAATGCTGTTGCACATAAAAGAAATTATTATTTCATTTAAATTTCCTTTTCTTTTCATTCTATTCCAGCATACTTTTATCATTGTTTATTTCTTTCCATTTTTTTTTTGGTTGAAATCGAGCCAATTCATAAACAAGGCGATAGCATTAACATCTCGTTCAAATTACTTGAACCTACATTTTGCGATAGCATGAAAAGAAGAACATAATAAAAAAGCATTCAAACATTTAGGGTGTCTAAAAATATCTTGTACCTCTGCTTCTATTCCACAGACCTATAGTAATTGGGCGATGAACTCCTCAAACTTCTTCAAATTCACATATGCCACACTAATCATTCAAAACTACAGAAATTAAGGAGGAAAGAGCGCAAAGGTGACCATTAGCATGTACAACACTGTGTACACTGCCTCTGCTTCTAATATATAGACCTATTACAATCTGATTGATGAACTACTTGAAGCTTTAATCACATATGTGATACTAGTCAAACCATAACCAAAGAAATTACGGAGGAAAGAGCTTAAATCTGGGCATTAGTCAAACCAATTAGTATATAAAAATTATACATTTAACAGGCGCTATTTTCTTCACTAATGCCCACAACAAAAATTCCACCGTAACAACATCATGTGCTTTCATGTAACATGTAAATATTATGAGAAGGTCTTTCTCACATATCTCTATACTTTCCTAAAAATCTCACAAGTAGCCTGCCTGCTAGTCTGCATCTATAAAACCGCATTAATTCTCTGATACCTCAGTGTCTAACGGTGTATCATACACGTAATTAAAGCTTCGACGCCAAAATTCTTAGCTATTTGCAGATTATCCTCCATAGTTTTTTTTTTTTCAATTTCATTTCTCACATTATAAATCCGTTCCACCGACTAAAATTCCACTTATTTGACAATAACTATTTGCAGCCAAAAAGGAATCACAGAAGACAAGAAATCTATTACTATTTGCAGAAAAGAAAACAAATAATTCAAACAAACATCATAAATCTCATGGAAATCAATTCAGATCAAACTGAAATTAGTTTAAATTATAAAATAAACTTAAAAAGAAGATAAAAGACTAACCAGATCAAATCAGAAACACTTACGAGAGAGAATAGAATGAAAAGTGAAGTAGAATTGCAGATCAAAATCAAACTGAAGTAGATCAAGCAAAGTCTAGCAGTATATAGAGCGAGAGAGAGAAGGAGAGTATGGTTAGTTACTTGAAGAGTGCGAGTAGCAAACTCGACGCCAATGGTGGACTTGGATTCCAAGCAGAACTCATTGCGAGTAAATCGGGAGAGGAGGTTCGATTTTCCAACTCCTGAGTCGCCGATTAATACCACCTTGAAGAGGTAATCGTACTCCTCGTCCGGTCTCCTCGCCATCTTTTCTTTTCCCCTTTTTCTTCTTTCTCTACGCTGTCTTCTTCTACTAGCTCTAAGAAAGAGGGAAAGAAAACGATGAGAAAAGAAGAAGACGATGTCTTTACTTGCTTGATCTTTTTCTTTGAAAATCAAATCAAATCTAATAGGGATAATTGGTACACAAACTTTTAAAGTTTTTTTAATTAAGTATAAACCTCTAATTTTTTATTCCAGTGCATCAACTTTTTCAAACTTACAAATCAAGTATTTTTCTTTGTTTAATTTCTTTCAATTAATTTTTTATCTGATTTTTTTTTCAAACTACTAAATTATAATTTTATCATTTATTTTTATAAAAACTTCTTATCCCAAATTATTTTGTAATTTTTTACTTTTTATACACTAAATGCCCAAACTGTTTTTATACATAGGAAGTAAAGAATAGCAAGAATGAAAGGAGAAATTATAATTTAGTAGTCTGAAATAAATGAATATCATTAAATAATAAAAAAAATCAATAAAATTTGGGTGGAAATACTTGATTAAAGTTTTTTTTAAAAAAAATTAAGATACTCTAATGAAAAAAATTAAAATTTATATATTCAATAAAAAAATATTAAAAATTAATATGCTTATAATGTAGTTTTCTCAAACTCATAAGAAGCGATTGAAATGTCAAATGTGTCCCTCCCTCCTCCCTCTCCCTCCGAAAATAAGATCTCAGACTTCATTCCAGGAAATGTCAAATGCTCCCTGGATGATTCCAGTGGTAATAATATGACGAAAGTGCCCCCGACTTTCGGTCCAGACTCCAGATTCACGGGGTGTGGCCCAGTAGGCTGATGATCGGTTAATCATTTTTCTAAAATTCAAATTTAAATCACTAGACGTAACTGAAAATGAGGCAAATCAATCCCCACTCCACTAATTTCAAGTTGGAAAAACCTCAATTTAGTCCCACATCTATATATGAATTATCAATTACATCCCTAACCTATAAATTTTATCAATTAAGTCTCATATGTTTCCTGTGATTCTTAATTGTATCCTTTTGTCAATTTCTTCCGATAACTTAAGTCTAATTTGCATATTTTATATACTAAATGATGTCAATTTGAAAAACATTTAATGAAAAAATTATCAAACATTAACATTTTTTTATCTAGTGTTTATATTTATGCACTAAAATGACATCAAAATATTGATGAACATTAACAAAAAGATTTGATTGATAATTTTTAAGACTTTTGTTACCTAATTAATAAAATTCATAGATTTGGAACTCAACAAAGAATGAATATTTATTTTTGTGTCTAAATCGAGGTTCCTATATATATATATAACACATTTGCAAGCTGTAGCATGTAAAAGTGATCATCTGATTTTTTTGTTTGGTTTTAATTTTTTTTGGTTAATCAAATTGACTAAAACAAAAATCAAACTGAATTAAGGTTTGATTTTTTGAATAAAAAATCGAACTTTCTAGTTCGGATTTTCAATTAAAAACCTTTTTTTAACATCTTTTCTTTTGAATTTTGAATTTTGAATTTTCTCTTAAACTAAGTCGAAAGGCCACTTTTTTTGTAATTGTTCTCTAATTCTCAATGAATACTAATAACTTGAATTGAAGTTTTAGCAAAGAAAATCATAAGAAAATACTATGAGTTTTATGTGGGTGTGTTAAAAAAAAAAAAAACTAATTCGGTTTTCGGTGGAAATTGAATTTTTAGAAAAAAAAATGAAACCAAAAATCAAAAATAGTTTTGGCTTTTGTTTTTTTTCAAATTTTTTAAAAATCCTAACCAAAATTGCTAATTTGATTCAATTCGTTTCGGTTTTAATCAAATAATACTCACCCCTAACAGCATAAATACAAAAGAGTCCGGAAGAAAGCTAAAAAGAAAATAGAAAAAACTCAAAACGTTTAGCTATGTTATGCATATTTATGAGCTACACAATTTTCTGTTTTCTCCTGAAATTTAGTGGATCATAGCATGGATGAGAGTAGCATGAATAAGAAGGTCAGAAGCATCATTGCTCCAACCCTTGACAATTATGATGCTACTGCTTTTCCTATCAACACATGTTACTCCCCCATAATTTGCTACATGGGAAAAGTTATCCTCCTATGATTCAACAATGCATCTTTTTACCTTCTTTTAGTTTGCATCTACCTGCCTTAAAAAGGCAAACTTTGGCATATAAATACATCAATTTTTTAACGTTTTCTCAACCGAGTAAATGAATTTTATTTTTTTATTTGAATATAACGATTTTTTAAAAATTATTAATCAAATATTTTTGTCCAATTTTCATCAATTATTTTTTTATCTCGTACTAATAAATTATGGTTTTGAGTTTTTATTCTTAAAAGGAACTTTCCACTCAAATTATTTTATCATTTTTTATTTTTTGAATATAAAAAAATTTGAATATTTACCATACAAAAAAAAAAAGAAAAAAAGAAAAGGACAAAGTAATATGGGAGGAAAAGTTCCTTTCAAGAATAAAAAGATCAAATCATTATTTAGTAATTTGAGACAAAAGATACATCACTAAATAATGCAACAACAGGTAAAAATTTGACGGTAAATACTTGATTAATAATTTTAAAAAAATTGATATGCTGAAAGGGAAAAAAATCTTAAGTATCAAAATGAATTTGAAATTGAAACAACATTCAAAAACAGCATATGCTTTATTGCTGAAACATTTCTTACCAGAAGCAAGCACAGACGAAGCAGGCAGCCTCAGTAGTTTTACATTACATGGAAACTGAATTGCTTTAAGCAGGAACATCAAGGAAAGGATAATCAGTGTAACCAATAACAGGATCAGGAATATAGAAAGTATTCCTGTTGTACCTATTAATTGGAGCATTTAACTCAAATCTTTTCGGCAAATCTGGATTAGCCAAAAACAATCTTCCAAATGCCACCAAATCTGCATAATTCTCAGCTACAGCCTTGTCACCATCGTCTCTCCTGTATCCTCCAGCGGCAATGAAAGTCCCTTTGAAGGCATTTTTCATTGGAAGTAGACTGTGAGGAGTTTCGTACTTGTCATTCAGTTTGATCATTCTTGGCTCAATTACATGGAGATAAACTATGCCAATTTTGTTTAATGCGTTTGCCATGTAAAGGCCAAGTGCTTTTGGATTTGAATCACCGGCTTCCATGTAGTTGGCGTAAGGTGATAGTCTCATGCCAACTCTATCAGCTCCAATCTCGTTAACAACAGCTTCCACTATTTCCAATGGAAAGCGGCACCTATTTTCTAAGCTCCCACCGTACTTGTCAGTTCTGTCATTTACTTGATCTTTCATGAACTGATCAAGCAAGTAACCATTTGCCCCATGAATCTCAACTCCATCAAATCCTGTCAAATAGAAAATATCAGCTTTCATCAACATAAGTACTTGCCTACGTCTGGTAATTGGTGCTATCAAATGGTACAAAATTCCTCTGTTAGTCTTTCCTCTAAATCATTTGAAAATTAGTCTTTCAACTTTCAATTTTGAATTAGACTTTCCTTCAACTATTTTTTCGTTTAAAATTGAACCTTTCTGTTAGGTTTTCATTAATTTTAACGATTAAAGCACAAGTAATTTATACCTGATTGATTTTTTAATTTTTCTAACAATTAAAAAATATACTAGAATTAATGGATGTTTTATTTTTCGTTCTAAAGCTTGTTTCTTTTCTTCTAAAATATTCTTGGAGTGCTTACTTCTTAGCACATGTAGGAGATAAGAAACATGTTTTGAATTTAAGCATCTATAAGTATTGGCATCCAAAATTTATGGACGTTTTGTTTTTTTCCTCTCAAAAACTAGTTTTTTTTTTTCTTCAAAAATGTTCTTTAATTGCTTATTTCTTAGCATATATGAAGGAAGAAACTAGTTTTGAAAGAAAAACAAAATATTTATAAGTTTTGACATTTTTTAACCGTTGACAAACTACGTTTATATGCTAGAATTGATGAAAACTTAATAGAAAGATCTAATTTTAAATGAAAAAAATATATATCCAACTTGAAATTAACAGTTAGTAAACTGATTTTTTTAAATAACTTAAAATTCATAAAAAAAAAAATTAGATCATTTAGTCAGTTGTTATGTCAATTTTGGTACATGCTTGTATATAAGAAAAGTACTAAAACTTTTTTTTTTTTTTTTGTAATATATAGCTCATAGCTGCTGATATACATTTAGTATAATTCAATACTAGCTAGCCAACACACTTGCCTGCTTCAATTGCGTTGCGTGCAGCGAGCCTGAAATCATTGACAATGTGAGGAATTTCATCGGTTTTTAATGGACGAGGAGGTGACCAGTCTCCTCCATCAAGACCTGGTGTCACTCCTTTACCAGTGCACGATATTGGAGCTTCACCGTTCGGCTGAAAACCTGTATTTACAAAAATCATGCAGGCTTCATTGTCAAAAACCTATTACCTGATAATTAAATTTGAAATTTCTACCTAATAGCTAGCTCGTGTGTCTAACATTATCTTTAATGGTGAATTTTAACTTTTTACTCTTAATAATTTTTTTCCCTCCAGAAGATAAAGACTAATTCTCTTCCACGTGGAAACGATAAAATTTAATTTTTTTAATAAATATAATTTCAGAATTCAAGCAATTGAATTTGAGAATTGGGACTTGAAAATTTATTTATATTTATAGAATCATATGAATTGATAGTTGAAAACAGCTGAAGTGAAAAACATACCATAACTGGAGACACGACCCACATGCCAGATTTGGCAAAAGAAAATGCCACCTTTCTCATGAACAGCATCCACAATCGGCTTCCATGCTTTCACTTGCTCTTCAGACCAAATTCCTGGTGTTTCAGGGTATCTTGAAATCAATTAAAAAAAAAACATGAAAATCAGTAGCATGTCAAGAGTAATAACAATAAGAAGAAGAAGAAGAAGTAAGCAATTACTTGAAGCAACTGAACAAGTACAAAATTAGTGATTGGAGAGGAAAAGAGCTGAAATAAGACAACGCCGTACCCTTGGGCGGTGTCAGAAACTCCAGTTGCTTCGGTAATGAGGAAGCCTCCATTGGTTGCACGTTGAGAGTAGTAGAGGATGGCATGGGGTTGAGGAATGTTGCCGTAGGATCTATTCCTCGTCAAAGGTGCCATAACAACTCTGCAGTAAATGGAAAACCTTCCAATTAATGCAATTCCGAGGTTAAGGAGGAAAAAAAGAAAAAGAAACTAGCTATTGCGAGTCAAATAAATTATTTCTTTTGATTTTTAGAAATAAATTGATTAATATTCTTGTTTTAAAAATTAATTATTTAATTTTTTTATCTATTTCATAATTTTTTTAATTTTAAAAAATAAATAGATATTACTAAAAAAATGGATGAAAAAATACATTTTAAAATAAAATAACGCTAAATTAAATGTAATTAATATTGGCAAAAAAAAAAATACTGAAATAAAAAACTAATTAATTTATTTCTCAAAACTAAAAGGATTAATCTATAATTTACTTAGAAAAGTTATGACAAAATATTATTGCGAACTAAAATTCTTGCCTTATTTCTTTCACGGTAACCATCTCTATCTAGCTATTTGCACACCCCCCCAAAAAAAGAAAACACTATCTGTCATCCTAATCTAATCAAATAAGCAGAGATTTAATTTTGAAGAAGTTAATAAAAAAATATCACCTAGTTGTAAAAAAAAAATAGATATTTCTTTTAACCAATGACAATGAATTATAAATTAGTCTTTTTGCTTTCTTTCAAAATGAATTAAATAGTTCACCTAGTTTTAAAAACTAATTAATTAATTCTTATCTGTCTAAACCTAATTAATTAATTCTTATCTGTCTAAACCTACTTGTAACTAAATATTTTTCATTATCCAATTATTTTATTTTTTACTTTAAAAAAATATAAAATTTAAAAAATAAGTGAAAAATATAAAATGATTTATGAGAAAAATATTTTTTGAAATAAAGTAAAATAAATTAATCATGATCAAACTGGTCAAAGGATTAATTAATTAATTTTTTAAATAAAAAATAAACTATTTAAATCATAAATAAACTATGAATGGATACTCTTTATAAGACTTTTTAGACCATACGACTGTTATAAAAAATGGTGTTGTTAATTTTCAAAAAATAAATTGATAGTTTAGTTTCAACATTCCATTTATTAATTAACTTCCGTTAATAAAAATAAAATTAAAAAATTAAAATGAAATAATCGTATTAACAATTTTTAGTTTTAAGTAAATAAATAAATAATAGAATATCATATATGCTGGAACTAAAACCAGAAAATGAGAACTATGAGGGAGCAGAAACTGAAGATCATTTGAAGGGTTAGCTAATAAATATATATACAAACCTGTGCGAGAGGTTGAATTTTCCCATTTTATATGGAGTGAGTAAAGGAATAGGGCTGGTGTTGGCTGCCATTCCTTCCTTCCTTCCTTTCTTTCGATCTCTGCTTTCTGTCTTCTCTCTTCCCCTTTCAGCTTCTTCTTTTCGCAGTATTCAACTTCTCAACTGGAACACGGTTATTTATACATAAAAAAAGATTTAAGGGCAATAATTGAGATAAGAAATAACAAGTGGGATTGCTAATGCAAGCAAAAATGAGCTGGGCTGGTTCTTTTTGGCTTAAAGAAAAACAGCACCAAGAACTAAAACAATGAGCTTCAACGACACCATCCATATTATAAACAGCATTATTGATATTGAAATTCAATTAATAGGTTAGAGGTTTAAGATATCATTTTATTATTTTAAATGTCTTAATTATGTTTTTTTATTAATTTTTTCAATTATCGTATCCATGCATTTTTAATTGCTTTTATATTTAATTCATTTGATTATTTTTTAGGTAACGAGGATAAAAATAATAAAACAAAAGATATCAAAAGCTATATTTGTTACCTGAAAAATGAAAAAGTGATCAGAAAGATCAATTATAGACGTAATTAAAAATAAAGAAGTAAGATGATTGAAAATTTTAATATATGTACGCGATTAAGACATTTGCAATGATAGAATGATATTCGGACCTTTAACTTTTGAATTAATGGGAAAACCTCAGATACGTTCCCAAATTGTTGAGAAAGTATCCATTTTGCTCCAAAACTATTTTTTTTAATCAATTTTTACTTTTATACTATTTTGATTTTTCAATTAGAGAAAAAGTCAAGTTTTTTTTCATAAAACAACAAAGTTTATTACAAAAATAAAGCAAAATTTGAATAAAAAAATATAGATTGAAAGTCTTTGATTTAGAATTTGTGAAAGCATGGAAATAAAATTGACACAAGTAATTGTTCGGAGAAAAAGTTTGAGACTATTTATAATTAAGGGGTATTTTTTGAGGTTTGGCCTTGATTAATTGTTGACTTGGTTTGGCCGCCCATGTGGGACCACCTTTGATTGGTCTCCTTCTGTCTTCTTGTGTTTGATGTGCGTCGCACATTCATCGCATGCCAATTAATCAAATGTAATTTAGCTCGGCAAATGCAAGTGTTATGGTTGGATGTGGCTTTCCCCTTTTACTTTTGGTTCCATTCGGTATTTTTAAGCCTCCTGTACTATTCGACATAATACATAAAATTATTTTTAAAAATTATTTAAATTTGATATCATGTGTTATATTATGTGTCTATCAAAATATATTAAATCAAAATTGAATAAAATTTTATTTAATTTTATAATTTTTTAATCAAAATTTTCAAATAAGTGCTTTTAGAAAATTTGAAAAGTACAAAAAATCACTATTTAGTGAAAGAAATAATGCACATGAATTTCAATGAATAATGCAAATAAATATGAGTGAATAGTATTTCAAATAATGTCGGTGAATAATAAATAATTGTTTAACTTCAATTTTTTTGTTAATATCATGAGGAGATTTTTATATGAATATGAGATTATCTATTTATTTATCTATTATGTATATATAAAGTTCAAGTGTACAAAGGTTTTTTTTTTTTTTTTGTCAATTTAACACCCAATTGCTTTTTAAGTTTGACCCGTGAGCTGTTTTTTCTCAATTTAAAGTGTTTTTAGTAATTGAATTATATCATTAATTGTATTTTTTTCTTTTTTCAGAATGCATTAATTGTGATTAATATTTTTATATTTTTATCATAAATCTTGCCTGAACTACAAAAAATAATAACACTCAAATAATATTTTTATTATTTTCACAAAGGTTCCAGCACAAGAAAAGGTTTTTTTTTTAAAAAAAAAACGAATAGGAGTTTAATGATAACTAATTATAGAAAGAAACTAGATTTTTTACCGCGCTACGCTGCGGATTGGATAAAATATATAAAATCATATAGAAAAATTATTTCAGTTTAATAATCTGTTTTATGATAAAAAATAATTATAATTTTTAAATGAAAAAAATTTATATTTAACTATATCTTATTTGTGTTTTTAAATTTTAGAAATAAATAATAAAGCAAATAAATTATTGATTTCTTTAAAATTTTAACACCCAATTAATTGTTGGTTCTTTTAAAATTTTAACACCTAATATTATTAAGAAATTAAAATAAAACAAATTCAATGTTTAGGAAAAAAAAAAGGAGGCCAACCGTTTACTGTTCATGTGAATAGTGAACGGACGGAAATTAAAAAAATAGTGTTTAGAGAAAAAAAAAAGGGCAAGCCGTTTACCATTCAAATGAATAATAAACGGGTAAAAAAAAGGAGGGGAGGGGGAAGGCCAGCGAGTGTTGGCAAAAAAAAAAAATGAAAACTTAAAAAACCAAAGTAATATAGCAATGAATAATGATTAACACTTGTTTATTGTTACGGTAAAAAATGGTTTTTCTTTAGTATATAGTATTAGATTTTTTATCTCGCACTATACTTGCGGGTTGGATAAAATATATAAAATCGTTTAGAAAAATTATTTCAATTTAATAATCTATTTTATGGTAAAAAATAATCATAATTTTTTAATAAAAAATTTTATATTTAACTATTTCTTATTTATTTTTTAAAATTTTAAAAATAAATAATAAAGGAAATAAATTGTTGGTTTCTTTAAAATTTTAACACCCAATTAATTGTTGGTTCTTTTAAAATTTTAACATCAAATACTATTAAGAAACAGAAATTAAAAAAAAAATCAATGTTTGGAAAAACAAATAGGGTGCAAGCCGTTTACTCTTCATATGAACAAGTAAATGGATGGAAATTTTTTTTTAAAAAAATCAATGTTTATAAAAAAAAAAAAAGAGGGAAGCCGTTTAATGTTCAAATGAATAGTAACGGATGGGGGGAGCAACGGGTCTAGCAAAAAAATACAATGAAAATAAAAAATAAATAAAAACATCGTAACAATGAACAGTGATTGATACTATTTATTGCTATAATGACAAAGCGTTTTGCTTTAGTATATAGGATAATAAGCGAAATTATGTCAATTCAAGTTGTAGGAGGCTTCAACGGAAAGAAGATAAAAGGATCATCCTAATTCTTCATTTTCCAGCCTTTTCTCATACTATTTGTTAATTTTGTTCCACTATATAGTATGGAGTATACACAAAAAATAAATAACTGAGAAATAATCTATTTCGAAAGAAAAAGAAAGAGAGACATGGGCCTGAAACAACCTTGATGCTTTAGGCTTGGTTGTCCATCTCTCCTTAATCATAAAAATAAAAAAGGAAGAATAATAAAAGAAGAAGAACCAAACCTAAACCAACCTAAATGCACAGCAAAAAAAAAAGAAAAAGCCTAAATAGACAGAACGGCAAGAGAAAAAGTTAGAGAAGAAAACTTTGTCGCAACTTGTCCCCACCTTTTTCGGTAGTATGCACAGAAGAACAAGGAGTAGGAAGTTGCGATCTGTCCAGCGCCGCCAGACTGAACGCCATCTGATGCCGGACGAAACCACCCATCCGACCAGTGAAAAAAAGTGACAAAATGTTAGAATCAATTCATGATTAATTTTAGTTTGATATTTATAGTGAAATAAAAATGATTCTTGATCCTATCATTTGAACAAGATAAAAAAAAAAGGTTTTTTTTTCTTTTTTGATAAACTACTTTAATTTACCGTCAAACGATACAAGAAGTAACATTGAGTTTTTTTTTTAAACAGATTTTATAGTGATTTCACAGAAACAATCTTTTTAATATATTTTAAAAAACAAGACATAGGCATTAGTCATATCAAAATATTTATGTTTATTTTTTTATGACATAAGCATCGTTATGAATAAAATCTATTATCAATCTAATCTATTTATTTGAACTCATGTCAAATAAGTAAAATAATATGATCAATACAAAATAAAATTGACTAAATTAATTTTATAGAGAAATCAAGGATGTAAATCAAGAGAGATTGTGCTCAAAGATTGTATTAATCTAGCTTTCTAATTAGCACAACAATAAATAAATTTTTAAACATGTCAAATGATTTAACAATAATGACAACAAATGGTTTATAAAAAAAGACGATGCCAAGTGGTTTAACATGAATGACTTTTAATTACTCGTCTGGCACAATATTATCAATTAAACTTTAATTCTCGGGATCTCTTTGATAACTTATTTAAGTAATTTAAAAAATTAAGTTATATTATTTAATTTAAAAAATTTATTTGATAATCTAAATAACTTCATTTTTAAATTTTAAATTTAGTCAAAATCTATTTAATTATTATTTTTTTAACAAACGTTAAGAAAATTATTAATTATTATGTTATTTTAATTTTTTTATTAATTTATACTTTCTTAAAATGCCCTTTTCAGATAATTGTATTTGAAATTTTTTCTTTTTAGGATCGAATTTAATTAAGGATATTTTTTTTAAAATACTACTTCAAGTTTTGATATCCGGAATGCATATAAATAAAAAGGTTGGGAGAGTAATAAATTAAGGACTAAAATTGAGTTTTCCTTTAAATTTTGATTAAAAAAAACGGATATAGGCAAAATTCCACAGCCTACAAAACCCTAGTAGGAGTCTTCACATCTCTCTCTCTTCTAACTATCCTCTCGTCGCCTCTTTCAGCTCTCGAGCTTAACGCCTGTAAGCACATATCTCTTCCTCTGTCTCTTGTCACGCGCACACAGATCGATCATTTCCTGATTTGTATTAGACTTTTACTAGCGTTCTTAACTTTGTATTTGTTGTTTTCAGATCTGAAAACGGAGCGACTAGTTTCCTTTTTCAGTCATGGCTCTCGTAAGTTCTTCAATCTAATTTTGAATTGTTATTTTCTTTCTTCACTTTTGAATTATAAAATCTGTTTCGTGTCTTTGATACTGCAATTGCGTGATTACATTTAATTTTGGTTTGGTTTAGGTATTGCATGCCGGTAAGACGAACAAGAATGCCTACAAGGCACTTATTGCTGCAGAATACTCTGGTGTGGATGTCAAACTTGTTGAGAATTTTGAGATGGGTGTCACCAACAAGACTCCTGAGTTTCTCAAAATGAACCCACTTGGGAAGGTATGCTTTTCTTTTTCTTTTTTCCTGGATTGCTTTTTAATTTGTCTTAGATTACATTTCTAAAAGAGATCTGTTAATAATTTAATAGGTTCCTGTCTTGGAGACACCCGATGGTCCTCTCTTTGAGAGCAATGCAATTGCTCGCTATGGTAAGACTATATGCGCGATTTGATTCGCCTTTCTGTGCACACACTTTCTTGGTCTGTGTTGTGTGTTATAGATTATATGATAATTGTATGAACACGTTTTGAGTAATTTACTACTTGTTCTTGCAGTTACTCGCTTGAAGGCTGACAATCCTCTATATTGTTCATCATTGATTGATTATGTGAGATCTTTTTGCATTCTTAGTTGTCATAATGTTTGTTTATTCGAACCAAAACAACTACAAAGATAAGGAAGTTGCTTGTGTTCACACCATCTGTTACACTAATGTTTTTATTATTTGTGTTAATCCCTAGGCTCGTGTCGAGCAGTGGATAGATTTCGCAACAACGGAAATTGATGCCGGTGTTTCAAGATGGCTTTATCCTAGACTGGGATTTCAACCATATCTTCCTCCAGTAAGTTGTTTTTTTCCTTCGTGTTCTGTATTTCCTGACAACTCATCAAATTTTTCTCCTTCCGTTATGTCCTCTGAAATGAGTTATTCTTAGGTTAACAGTATGTTAAATTTAACCTAGTTTTTAAATTTCTTTTTTATTTGGACTTAGTTGAGTCATTTCCAATGGCCAGTTATATGTGTTTTGAGTCATATAGGACCACATTTTATATGGGAAAATCCTGCTCTTATATATACATACAGGACTACAATTTAAGAGAGCGAATGGAGTGATAAAACCATTGATTTTTTTTTCCACAGCATAGCAAGTACTGTTTGTCACTAACAAATGTCGCTTCCATTTAGAATGAGCATTTGGACGAATGTCTATTATATGACAACATTGAATGTACATGCTTGGTGATTGTATTCTTGATAAGATATGGCATGATTATGAGGTTTTAATTAGTTAATTCTTCAATCTTTTATTCTTAAGATAAAGCAATATTCCCTGATTCCCTTGTATGCTACTTCTGCTTTTTATCATACTGTTGCTGGCCCTTTAATATGAACTTAATTATGTGATATGTTGGTGTATGAAGGCTGAGGAGGCTGCGATTTCTGTGTTGAAGAGAGCACTGGGTGCCCTGAACCTTCATCTTGCCTCAAACACCTACTTGGTTGGGCATTCTGTGACTCTTGCTGACATCATCATGACATGCAATCTTTATGTAGGATTTGTTTTTGTCATGACCAAGAGCTTTACCTCAGAGTTCCCTCATGTTGAGAGGTACTTGTGGACCATGGTTAATCAACCAAATGTCAAAAAGGTAGTGGGTGAAGTCAAGCAGGCTGAATCAGTTGTGCCAATTACAAAGAAACCTTCACAGCCTGCTAAAACAAAGGCCAAGGATGAACCAAAAAAGAAGCCAAGGAGAAAGAGCCAGCAAAGCCCAAAGCTGTACCTGCTGCAGAAGAGGAAGAGGCACCAAAGCCAAAACCCAAAAATCCTCTCGATTTACTCCCTCCAAGCAAGATGATATTGGATGACTGGAAGAGGCTATACTCCAACACCAAGAGCAACTTTCGCGAGGTTGCTATCAAAGGTATTTTTTACCTTTTTCTTTTGAATTTCTACCTTACCTGTTCTCTTACTTCGAGCATAATGTTTAAGCTGTGGAATCTGGGATTTAAAATAGTGAAAAAGAAATAGGAGAGATCAGGATTTTTTTCAATAAACGGAATTATTTGGATCAGCAGAAATTTCTGTTGGCTCTTGGCTGGAGCCAAGTTTTTTTTTCCTGAAGTGCAAAAGGAACTTATCTATTGTGATTAATGGAGTTATGGTCTGTTATCTTTGATTTCTATTGTAGGATTCTGGGAAATGTATGATCCCGAGGGATACTCTCTGTGGTTCTGTGACTATAAGTACAACGAGGAGAATACTGTGTCATTTGTCACTCTGAACAAAGTTGGTGGATTCCTTCAAAGGATGGATCTGGCTCGCAAGTATGCGTTTGGGAAGATGCTAGTGATCGGCTCAGAGCCTCCATACAAGGTCAAGGGACTGTGGCTTTTCCGTGGGCAAGAAATCCCTCAATTTGTCATGGATGAGTGCTATGACATGGAGCTGTTCGAATGGACTAAGGTTGACATCTCAGATGAAGCTCAAAAGGAGCGTGTCAGTCAGATGATCGAAGATTGCGAGCCTTTCGAGGGGAGGCCCTTTTGGATGCCAAGTGCTTCAAGTGAAGCAACTCTATATATTAATGTCATGTTTTTGGCCGCAACCTCTTTTTAGCAGTGAGTTTGTCTATTGTTTCAGACATACTTCAGTCTAGACATTTTAATGATTTGAACAATATAGTGTTTTAAGTTCGTTTTTGCGTTTTACTTGGTCTTGTGAAAGCTACCTGCCTGTTCGGTGGTGGCATTCTTTTGCCTTTGATCTCTAGGGTGCTTGTATTAACCTCCAGTGTTTGTCAACTCAGTTCCATCTTCCGAAGTTATGATACAGGACAAAAGGAGTAATTTACAGTTGCAAGTTGTGCTACCTATTAATTCTAAGGATGAAATTCTGAGTTGGTTAAAGTTGGTTCCTTTGATATGGTATCCAGCTTTTGACTCGTTGTAATTGAGAATGAAATGTAGTGCTGGGGACTGAGTCACCAGACGCTGGCTAGGCTTAGTTTGAGCCCAAAAACTAGGGCCCGAACGATGCGTTGGTTTGGGTCGTAGATCAAAGGAATCTTTGTCGAACCACATGATGGGAGTGTCTAAAATGCTGTCAAGTCAGCTACCAATCACAGGACAAGGAAGCTTATCTGACGTCACTATGGATGGTGAACTCTCTACTCGCAATTGTAGGGAGAGAGCATGGCTAACTTGCGATTTGCCTCTCTGCAAGTAAACCTCTATAAACTTTATTCAAGCCATGGATGGCCCTGAAGAATATGTCAACATGCCTTGAAAATAAGTATGTTGTTTTTTATTAAAAAAAAAAAAAGCTGTCTTTATGCATTTGGACTTAATTATAAAGATCATTGCTTAATTCAAGTTCAATATAATGGCTATGATACACTCCCATCAATGTTTTGTTGTACGACAAAAATTGTATTTATTCTTTTGTAATGTGATAATTTTAGATTTTTATTAGTAATTCATATAATTTGAACCACAAAGAATCATTTTTAAGATAAATCTTGTCATTTTTTTGTTATTTGTAAAGCTCAACTTTTTTACCATGTAATATAATGTTTAAACGATGTTATTTAAACATTTTATTATTATTATTATTAAAAAAAAAGAACTATTAACATAAAAAAGAAAATATTTTTGACATGTCGTCTGTATTAACTCTTTTTAATTGCCAAAAGCAATCGGGAAGAAAGTTTAATTCAAATTCAATAGAATAACTAACGAGCGATTTGGCTTTCTGCAAGCAAACCTCTATAAGCTTGATTCAAGCCATGGATGGCCCTGAAGAATATGTCTAATGACCATGAAACAAGTTGGGTATAGTTGGCCTTAAAACAAGTCGGGTATAGTTGGTTAATTGCATGATTCTTCATTATTATATATATATATATTACCTCTTTACTTTTATTTATTTATTTAGGGTTTATTTTTTTATTCTCTAAACTTTTTTAATGTAGAATTTTTTTATGAAAATTTATCATATTTTTTGAATAAAATTTTATGATATGTCATTTTTACACGACATATTACTTTACATATCACTTGTTATCGATAAAATTGATCGAAATTCTATTAAAAATAATATTTCGTATTAACAAATCGAAAAAATTGATGAAAGTTCTTTTGAAAAGATCACATTAAAAAATGTTTAGTATAAAAGAATCAAATACATAAACGATAGAGAAGTCACATCAAGAATATATGACTAATCCATAAATACAATAGTATTGTTAATCGTATTCGGTGGCCTTGATAAGGGTGACGATGGCCAAAGAATCAATTTCCAACTCTCCTTACTTTCAACTTGTAACCTTTCTCCCAAGCACGTCATGAATCAAAGCCATTCTTTGCGGCTGCTCTCCCCAAAGCCTTCTGTGTAGATCTTAATCCAGTCAAATATAGGAGCTAACAGGTGTCCTTTAATGGATCAACAGTTGATTTGATCTAGAAGAAGATTCATTTTCAAAGAGTTCCCGTCAAACATGTACTTGTTGCCTTGTTGAATGCTCAAAATCATTCCCCGTTTGATCAAGTTTCCTCTTAATTTCTGTCATAAAATGACAAAACCCCACTAGGCATTACGTTTCCACGTAGTTAGAAGCATCATCTTTCACTACTGATGCTCTCTCTTTTCTTCTTCATTTTGCAGCTTACACGTTGCAGGCTTTTATTTTGCCGTCCAAATTGGACTTTTTCAGTGGCAGACAAGGCATGTATGTTTTGGTGCCATTTATTTCCATTTCCCGGTTGGATCTCACTAGGCATTAAGATGTCATGATGATTCATTGCAAAATAAAATTGAAGTAAATAGTTTAATTTCTCTTTATATAATAGTTTAAGTATCAAATTTGTCCTTACGGTTTTTTAATTACGTTTATTATGTCATTTAATAATGTTAAATCTTTAGTTTGACTTCTGATTAATTTTTCTAATCATGAATTTTTTTTTATCGAAACACTACTAATTAAAATGCAAAAAATAAATATTCAAACGGCTTTAAATATGAAAAGTCATGTAATTTTAAGCGATTTTTTGTAACATTTTGATAAAACAAATTTATTCATGGCCAAAAAATTAATCAAAAATACAGATTATAAACTTAAATATTATTCAAATATATGGTAGATGTAATTAAAAATGTATAGATAAATTGAAAAAAACTTAGATTATTATGTAAAAATAATTTTAGCTATTTATGCAAAGCTAAAAAGAACAATATCCAACAACAATCGTTAGCCTTTTGGGTACCTTCATAAAGATCTATTTTTTTCATGAGTATAATAATTTTAAATAATGATTATTATGTTATATAACAATATTAAAATATTTTATTATTATTATTTTAATATTATAATAAATTACGATTGGTTACGATAATCACGATCGTTTTTTCGAACTTACTATAATGTGTGGACTTTAGTGTGCTGGGATTGGAATTTTTGGCCGCAATTTGAGGTTGCAACTCTTGTTGACAGACAGTAGTCATGTTGCAATTTTTCTACTCTATCAAAGATGGATAAATCATGCATTTTGAAAAGGAACAATTGTTTATTGTTATTTTTATTTTTTCATTCAAATATGAGTTTACTTTGAATCAACTCTAAATGAATTCAACACTTGCGCAAGATAACAGAGCCACCTACTGGCCCACGAAGGTTCAAGCCAATTTGCAGTATCAGTCAAGACTGAAGGACCAAAAATTCCAACCATAATGCTGCCAATATAAGGCTTGCTGTGATCTCAAGTTTGGTGCAACAAGTTATTCCAAACTCTCTCTACCGATCATACTTCATTTTTTTTTCTTGAATATTCTTCTTTACTGTTAGTCTTATTCCTAGTTTGATGGAGAGAAGAGAAACCACCGACCAGGAGGCAGAGCAGATGGATGTTGAATCCCAAGATTTGGTCCAAAACCTTCCCACAGAAATAGGCATGGGAGGCAATATTCTCTATCAATACCAAGGATTCTGGTGTCCAAAGTTATCAATTAATGGCATGATGTTGTTTCAACAGCACTTCGAAGCACAAAAAACTGACATCATCCTTGCTAGCATTCCAAAATCAGGTACCACTTGGTTAAAGGCCTTGGCTTATACTATAGTCAATCGCTCTCATTACTCACTTGAAGAGAGCCCTTTGTTTACCAACGGCCCTCATGGGGTTGTCCCCTTTCTCGAGTTTGATTTCAGCTCCGAAAACCAGTTTCAGGAACTGGACAAGCTTGCCAAGCCTAGAATTTTCGGAACTCACTCACCTTACATGGCACTGCCATGTTCGGTCAAAGATTCTGCTGCTAGAATCGTGTATGTGTGTCGGAATCCTTTAGACATGTTCATTTCCTACTGGAAATTTAGTGGCAATATTCGAAAGGAAAATGAGAAACATCTTTCACTGGAAGATGCTTTTGACAAGTTTTGTCAAGGAGTTCATGGCTATGGTCCGTTTTGGGATCATTTGTCAGGGTATTGGAAGGCAAGCACAGAGACACCTGATAAGGTCTTATTTCTCAAATACGAGGACATGAAGAAGAACAGTGTCTTCCACATTAAGAAGCTGGCTGATTTTCTGGGGTTTCCTTTCTCTGTGGACGAAGAGAAGCAAGGTTTGATGGAAGAAATATCAAGGGTATGCAGCTTTGAAAGCATGAAAAACTATGAAGCAACCAAGAGTGGTACAGGCCCTCTTGGAATTCCAGCTAGTGCCTTCCTCAGGAAAGGAAAGGTGGGAGATTCACTCAACTATCTGACACCTTCAATGGTGGGCCGTGTGGAAAATCTTATTCAAAAGAAGCTGCAAGTTTCTGGTTTGAGTTTCTGTATGTCTGATAAACTCCAAAATGGTGTTTGAGCTTTTGTACTTTTTTATCTTTTTGAGTTCATGTCGTAGCATTTATAAGGTCATGGCTGTAATGATCTTTTGTACTTTTTTATCTTTTGAGTTCATGTCGTAGCATTTATAAGGTTATGGCTGTAATGATCTTTACACTATGTTTATGGAAGAATTGAAATAAGAGGAGAGAAAGTCAAACTAATGATTTCTTGTTTGTTGTTTGGACATGCATGGAACGAACCCGTAGAGAAAATGAAAGAAGTCCTTCGCTCAAAGAACTTCTATATATATATATATATATATATATATATATATATATATATATTTTCAGACTAACGATCTAACCATCCCTGAATTTCAAGTAATTTGAAGTTGAATATTCAATCTTTTTATTAGTTTTTAAGACTTTTAAACTTTTAATTATTTTTAGATTTAGCCATTCTTTAATTTTTTATCATTTATTTCAAAAAACAATAATTACATAAATAGTTTCACGATAAAAATTATCTAATGAGATAAAATGTGGAGGTCAAAAAAAAAAAAATAGCTCATTTCGAAGTTATTTTTTATTTTTCTGATTTTTTATATTTTTAATATTTAAAAAATAAACAAACATAGTTTCTGATTTTGAAAAATTCTAAAATGTTTCTATAAAATAGATTGAATATTTTTTCAACGTGTGTCAAAAATTTTAGATAAAAATACCAACAATTGAATTTTTTATAGAAAAACATGATAACTGAAAATAATTAAATGAACTAAATCTAAAAAAAATTAAAAGTTTAAAAATCTTCAAAACTAATAAAAAAAAATTTAAAAACTCAATTACAAATGACTTAAAATTTAGGGAAAAAAAATTAGGAATGAAGCCAGTATTTTTGTGATAAACTTTATAAATTCAACAATACTAATCAATTCTAAAGTACTCTAAATTTTATTTTTTATTTTTTAAATTTAAGCATCGATCTTTTTTGTTATCATAAATAGAGTCTATTTTTCTGGCTATTAAAATCCGAATATATTTTTTGCACGTAATCCAATGAAATAACAAAATTAAAAAAAAAACTTCAAATCTAAATAAAATAAAATAAAAACCCATGTCACATTCATCTTTCTCTCTCTCCTCTTCTATTGTGCAATAATTAATTCAATCAAAACCGAAAATTAAAACCCCATCATTCGTGGCCCCCATGGTTTCAATGCACTCCAGAAGAGCAGCAACTGTACTGTGGGCTTTGATGAGAACGAGTTCAGCACCGACACATTTCAAGGATTGTCCCAAGGGACCAACAGACTGCTCCAGAAATTATTACTTGACATTAAAGAAAAAGATAAAAGGACACGTAGATAAAGAAAAAGGAAAACCAACCACTTAATTAGATTATCAAATACATCCTAAATAGTAAGGTTTGTTCCCCTGTTGATAAGGGTGGCAAGAGATACCTCAAATTGAGGTTTTCTTACTGATAAATATTAATGACAAGAGCCATTTAAATCTGAGACACATGAAAAAAAATCACATTTTAAACAACCTAATAAGGAGAAAATTAAAAAACTCATTTGAATCATTTAAAAGTCTATAAAATAAAAAGGACGAGATGCTATTGGAATGATCAATAGTTTATGTTTTAGTAAATAAATGTCTTTTCGCTTAAATAGAATAGTTCATTATGTTTGTAAGTCTATTTGAGTCTTGTGAAAATTATAATGATTATTTATTATTTTCAGTATTAATAAAATTATTTTCTTTTTTTATAAAAAAATTGAATTCAATTTTTTTCTTGTTCAACTACATATCATGTTAAAAGATAACATGTAAAAAACTAAAAATTAAATACTGAATCTGTTAAATATTGAATTTTTTAAGTGCTAAATAATTAAGTACTAAATACGTTGCTAATAAATTATTTGGTATTTACTAAAAATTAAGTGCTTAATATAATAAGATTGTTTGATAAATACTATTGCTCGAACACATTAAGACTATATACTTGATAATTTTCACTTTGCAATTGTAACATAATATTTTTTAACACAAATAAAAATATATACATAAATGTGTTTGTGTGTATAAATAAATATATAAAAATTTTAAAAAATAATTATTTATAAAAAAATTAAATACAGTTTAAGATGACATTAATTATCGTATTGTTCACCAAATAAATAAAATTTTAAGTATTAATTAATTTATTTATAATTTGATCTCACAAATTAATCAAACAAATACACAACGTCTCTCCTAACCCATATAAAATCATTGCTTATAGACAATATTGGTGAATACATATGCAGGAAACAAAAAGAGCCGAATAAATAAAAAATGCCCCTTCTGACTATCTCTGTGAAGGAAACAAAAGGAGACGAAGAAACCATAGATTCCCCGTCTGACCATCTCTCCAATCAGAAGTAACGTCAATCTTGGACAAAAGACGGCAAGAAGAGTACAGCTTCTGCCCAACGGTTGATGACTTCCTTCTGTCTCTTTTATCACTTTCCTCTGTTCATCTTTTCTAACAAACAGTGAAGCTGTGGTCTTTGCATTCGAGGATTCCAATCTATAAAAATATCCTAAAATTTAATCCCAGCGGCAGTCACAGATTAGATACATGTGAAAGCAAAAAAACAAAAAAAAGGTAATCTTCCAACTGGCAGTATTGGTTTACCGTACATATGTCTGTACACAAGAATATCTTCATGAAAAGACTTTTCCTTGGACTCTATTACAGGGAGAGGTCGGTTATCTAACCCGATCAACAAATTTTCGATTTAATAAAACCTGATCTAAAAAAGTTTTTTTCTCTGTTCATCAATTTATGATACCAAACCTGTATCTTTGAGTCATCATTGTTTAATAATTAATTCACGCCTTTCCTTGATGTATTAGTTTCATATGAACACACTTAAGATGCTTATTTGATTTTTTTATAACTAGCAGCTTGTTGACGATGATGGAATGAAGATACTGATAATAAAGAAGATCTCTTTTGTTTCAGCAATAAAGATAATGGAAATCGTTTTTCAATCAGTTTGTATAATTTGTATAATTAGGATTATAAAAATATATAAGAGTTATATAATTATATTTAAAAAGTTTTAAAAATTTTTCGATCGAATGTGTTAATTAAAAAGTTTTAAATTAAAAACTTTAACTTATCATAGTTAAATGAATTTTGACTAAATTTAAATTTTAAATATGAGATTATTTAGATTATAAAATAAAATTTTTATATTATATACTACAACTTAATTTTTTAAATCACTTAAATAGATTATCAAATACACCATTAATAGTAAGGTTTGTTCTCCTATTTATAAGCGGTGGCAAGAGATACCTAAATATGAGGTTTCCCTACTGATAAGTATTGGTGGCAAGCGCTACTTAAATTTGAGACACATGAAAAAAGTCACATTATAAACAGTCAAATAAGGAGAAAATCAGAGAATCATTTGAATCATTTAAAAGTCTATAAAATAGAAAAGACGAGATGTTATTCGAATGGTCAGTAGTTTATGATTTAGTAAATAAATATCTTTTCACTTAAATAGAATCCTTTATGATGTTTATAAGTCTGTTTAAGTCTTATGAAAATTATAATGATTATTTTCAGTATTAATAAAATTATTTTTTTTATAAAAAAAATTGAATTCAATTTTTTTTTCTTGTTCAACTACATTTAATGTCAAAAGATAATATAGTAAATACAATAAAAAGTATATGAGTTGCCATAATATTTAATATAATTTTTTAATCTACGGAAAAAGTCCAATAAGATTTCTTTTTAAGAGACCAACGGAATATCTTTTTAATTCTCTCTTTTGTTTATCTTCCTCTCCTTTTTATATACGTATCTCTCTTTTATAAAACAAACGTTAGTGATTACTATGGAATAAATTTCTTGAAATCTGTCCATTCAATTATGCTAAAAGAAAAGCCGACAATTATTGGTAGCCCACAAACAAAATTGGCAACAACATCTAAACCAAAAGCTATGTACACATATAATATCTATATATATATATATATATATATATATATTATTCTTTATGCTTTGCTTCCATATCCATATCGAATCATTCATGAAAACTTCACGATCTTATACACTCGTGGGAGAGAGTAAGTAATATGCCTCGAGAAAGTAGAGCAAACTAAATAGCCTCCAGCTACTCAGATATACAACCTTAGACTCAAAAGAAACTAGTAACATGTCCTATAATGTATTTAGAAGCGTTTTTGTAAAATACTTTCAACCTTTGAAAACGTATCAACGTAATGCTATTTCAAGTTGTGTTTTCGATGATTTTGACAAGTTCGTATAAAAATAATTACACAAAAAGAATATCAATGGTATCCGAAAAACAGTTATGAACATTACCAAACGCGTTCTAATTATTCCAAGCAATCAATTACGCAGATGATATCCTGGAAAATAATCCTCACGACCAAATCTATGGAATTCTTGACGTCCAGGAGGCTCCAATGGTGACTCTGGAAAAGATGAACATCTAGAGCACCTTAGTTTGTCCCGATTGGAGTCGTCATGCTCGTATTGATGCTTATATATTGCTGGGAGATCAATGGGTCCGCCGCATGAGTAACAAGTTGGATAGGTTGCGTGCTTGCTTCCAGATTCTTTCTTCTTCCCTCTCTCTTCTCTGTTCCCCTCGAAACTACTCTTGTGCTTGGGTTGATTCCTCCAATTCGGGTCCGAAGATGGTGTCCTTCTCTTTCGAGAACCATCATCACAGCAACAACACAAACATGGGGAGCAGTTGCTATCTCTATTATGCTTATTACTATCACCACTCCCAATGCATATTAAACAACAACATATATTACTGTCGCCATCCTATTCATACAAATTAAACACAACACGTTAGCCTACAATTATCTCTTAATCACAATCATAATCATCTACGTTAGTAAATTAAGAGAAGAACCCAAGTTTTTGTGTTTGTTTTGGGCATGGAAGAAGATTAAATAAACAGAAAAGGCTGCGTAATTTGTTAAAAGAAAGAAAGAAAGAAAGAAGCTTTCAGTCTCACCGAGGAGAGGCAGTCTCCGCAGCACCAACCAAGATCATCACAGCAGCAGCAGCAGCAATCAAAGTCGCAGTCACAATCACAGTCTCCGAAATCGCAATCAAGATCCGCCATATCTGTCTGTATTGCTCGAACTCAAGCTAGAATTTTTTACATGAGAAAAACGAAAAGAAATATAAAGATTAATGTTGCTCATCAAGAGGGACATGCTTATATATATAGTGTTTATTGTGTTTCCCCGGATAAAAGAAAGGAAAACCTGCAGACAGAATCTTTTTTTGTCTCTATTCACACGCTTACCCTTTACGTAGCGCTTGAGCTTTTGTCTCTCTTTATCCTTGATGGATTTTTACTGCTGCTCTTGTAAATATAATGAACTATAGATATGTCTCTCATTTGTTATTTTATATGTTTTTATTTATTCATATTTTCTTTTATTCACAAAAAGTTTAAAATAAATTGAAAAACCTAGAAATTAAAGATGATAAAAAAATGGAAACCCTTGAAAGATAAATATAAAACTAACTTTAGAAATTGGAAAAAAAAAAAAAGTAAAAGACCATGTTCATAACCCCTTGTAGAATGAAATAAATTTTACAAGATTTGAGTTTTTCCAAAAAAAAAAAAAAATTCAGGATGTTTCAAGTCTTTTTTTTAATTTCTGGGTTTTTCAATTTTTTTCTATGATTTAGATTTTTCAACTTTTTTTAAGTTTTTGAAAATTATATTTTATTAATTTTGTTGATCAAAAAATGACAAAAAGGTATATGGAAAAAATATATATAAATGAATAATGTTATATTTTAAATACAATGACTATTATTATAATTTTATTAACTTTAGATATATTTATGAAATATATCAATTTGTTAATAATTCCTTCAGGACATCGCTCCTTAATGTGAACATACAATGGTGGCAAAATCCTACAAAAGGCATATGGAATAACACTTTCAATTAGCTAGTACTCTTAGGTTTTGAAAAACAAATTCATTAGTCGATTTTTTTTGAAAGTGATCATTTAGAATTTTTTTGTTCATTTTATATTGTTTTCCAATTTGTTTTTTTTTTAAAAAAGAAAAAAATATAGTATGACGTGTGTGCAATATCTCTTATCAAAAAGTATGAGATACCCTACCTACCTTGCCATTTATCAATTTTTTTAAAAAAATTTCAAATCAAAAGAATAAAAAAAAAAATCAAAACTAGACGTAACAATGAAGATATAAGCAATTTTTTTTTTAATAATTAAATTTCATGGATAATTAGTTCCAGCATAAACAATATCAAAGGGTTGGTTGTTGGTTAAGAAAATATACTTCATTCCTTAACTTCATGAGTTCAAATCTTGGGTTAATATCTAGAAAAATATATTAAATTCTTATGAATTCGTCAGATTAATTTTTAAGATTGAACAAAGAAGAGGTTTAATTTCGATTGATGCGTAAACTGAATCAAAGATATCTTTTTTTATCGAATAAAATGAAGTTTATGAAGAAATAATTTAATCTATTCATATATAATGAAAAAAATTCAATCTATTTTTCTATTAATTGTTTTCATCTAAATTAATTGAATTACTCATGTGCACATCAATACACATGACTTAATATTATACTAAAAATGACCCATTAGTCGCTATCCCTGTAATAATTTAATTATCACATAAGCATGCATGCATTGAATGATATAATAATAAAGAAAAAAATGTGTTAGGTGTTTTTCTTATGGATCCTAAAAAACCAAAAAGAGTAATGTTCAATGATATGTTCCTACTGCTATACAGTATCGACACAAAGCTTACCAATAGATGGGTTAGCGTAATAGTCAGTAAATCAATACATTAACTGATATTTGGGCAAGTATACTGTACTGGTGATTATTAAATCATATGGATAAAATTCACTTCGTATTCTTTCCATATTTAATATTATTTACTTTAACTCTTTTATTCAGATATTGTATAAAATAAATCATATATTGTTAAACGTTGAAATAAGTCAATCATTCTGACTAATGGCCGATCAATCATATAATAAAACATGATTAACAAATATGGATAGAATACGTAATACCGCTGCACCGACCTATAATCTGACTTAGATTTGAAAAAACTTGGAATATTTTAAAGGTTGCATGGTGTCAATCAGATTGAGCAGGCGAAAACCAAAAATCTAACAACTTCAAATGACGGCGCCCAAAGTGTCGGTTTTGTAAGAATAATAAAATTCAAGATTGTACACGATTCTATCTAATTGTTGACATGCATGGTTGAGCTTTACCTAACCACGTCAATGCTGTTTGTTGCTACGTCGAAGAAAATGTTTAAAAGAAAAAAGAAAAAATAATTGCAATAAAGAAGGGTGATTTTCCTTCCTTCCTTTCCCTTTTTTAAGATTTGATTCGAACTTCGTTAGCCGAAGCATGAGCACGTTGTTTTCGTCCAAAACCCTAGCTAATGCTAGGGATGGTCCCTGCCTCGTCTCGTCCTAAAACATTTTAGCTCATTTTCATCTCGTATCTCCTTTAAGATAAAATTTTAACCATCATCTCAGTCTCAAATCAGATAGAGTGAGATGAGATAAATTATCATCTTTAGCTAATGCACAATCCTATCTCTCTTAATTAATCATTACTGTTCAAAACCATCATCTAATAGATAAAGTCAAGTTTAAAAGTTTTTTTTAAAAAAAATCATTAGAAAAATAGGATGATATGAATCGAATTCGTGATTATTCGATCATTAAAATTCTGATATCATATAAAATATACTCTCAATTTTAATGATTAACTTATTAAATAATGTCTCAACATAGTTTTATATCATTCTCTAACAGTTAATTATTTTTTGTTAATTTCGTTAAAATAACAGCAACGTTGTGCATTTAAAGAGGAAAGATTGCGATGTTCTATATCTCATGTTAATTGATTGTGAGGAATTTGAAGCCGTTTAGTTTGGTCGATATTCCTAATTTCTGATAGTGATAGTTTTTAGTGAAATGGGTCCATGATTGAGTTGCCTGACTTGTATCCTTGTCAGCTAATTCTTTCTTCTTTTTTGATCTTTTTTGTTCTTTCCGAAAGTTTTATGCTCTAATTCCTTCTTCAATCATTTACGTATCTTTGGCTTTATGGAACCATCACAGAAACTACTCGGGCAAATGCTCTCCGTATTATTTTTAGAACCACCACAGCTAAAGCATGCAATGCAGGCGAAATTCTTATGTTTAATTAATTACAAAACAATTATCTATTAGCTCCAATAAATCATATATAGAACCAGAATTGCTGGTTAGATTTACCATTATAATGAAATAATGACAGAAAATACTATGAAAATAGAAATTCTCTAGTTAACTTATTAATAGGAGTTTATAATTAAGACAATCATTTAGGTATCATAATCCTTTTAGTCATTTTTGTATCAATTTGGCTTTAGGTAAGCATATTTTCTTATGCAATATTAGAATTAATGATAATAGTGGTAAAATTTTTAAAAAAAATGGTAGACTCTTTTACCGCTAAACTATATTCGTTATGATTATTGTATATAAACAAATCTTTTGTCGAGTAAGAGAATCGAGCATAATCTAAATAAGATCGTAAGGGAAAAAAAAAGAAATTATAAAAATTAGAGCATTTATGTGTATTGTATTTTTTCATTGACTGATGGTGAAAAAAATGATAATAAAAATTGTTTAATTGTCGTGCTATTACTTATAACAATAATAGCAGTCGTGATGATAGAAGTTAAGTGAAATTAGTGATATGTTGGTGATTATAATGATGGTAATGTTGATAACTTGATTATGCAAATTAAAAAAAGCCAAAAATCCATTTTTTATTTCTTTAAATAATCTATTTTAAATTTATTTTTTTAAAAAAAAACATGAAACATGAACCTGTAATCATACCAAACAGCATTTTTAATAATTTTTGGAATTCGATTTACTAAATTGTTATGCAAACTCTATACCAATAACTATATACCACCACCCTTCGTTGCTCGTAAATTTTCCAAACATATTATGACTATCATTTTTGTGGTCATATTATTGTGACCACCTCTATATCATTATTGTTCATTGCAACCATTATCATTTACCAATAATACAACAATCGCCATCAATTGGTATTACAATAACCATTATAATCACTATTAATTAGAATCATATTAATCATAATTATCACCAACACTATTAACCACAATACTACTATTCCATCCCTGTAATTAAATTATTTAATATTATTAGTTTTTAATTTTTTTAACTAATAATATATTTCTTAAATTAGCTTGTATTAAAAAAAAATCTTTCATATGCTTTTGTTAAAACAATAAATATAAATATTTTCAAAAAAAAATATAAATGATAAACAATATGTAATTTTTATTTTTCAAAAAATAAAAAAATTACTAAATGGACTTAATATTTAATTAAATATTTTATGAAAAAAGTTCAATAAAAAGGAAATTGACCACAATTCTTACTAGAGAAGTGCATCCAATACAACATTCATAGAGTTACAATCATCATTACGGACTTACAGTTGTCGGCATAAGGATGAAATTGCTCATTGGTTATTTTGCTTGGATTAGTGGAGAAAAATAGGTTTGTTAGAACATCTTCAGTGATGCTCTCTACTTTTAGCTAGCATTTTTAATGTAAACGAGATAGCATCATTAATTATATAGATTGAAGATCAATATCCTCTCTAATGCTACTCTCTACTTAACTCTTTATTTTGACAAAATCTATAAAACCCGAGAGACTATTGGTAAAAAAGTTTAATGGCATAGGAAATAGTAATTTTCATTAATGAAATATAAGATAAAGAGTCATTTAGACTCTCTAGTATTGGAGAGCTAAAGACATTGTCTATATCAATTTTAAAGATAGAAATTGTGATAAAGAGAGCATTGAAGATGAAATTTGAATCAAACTTTTTTATTATAAAGAAAAATCTTAATATAAAAAGGAGCATTGGAGATGCTCTTACTATGGAAAAAATTATAGATGGAGAAGAGGAATAGTGCTTAAATATATCCTCTGTCTCTCTCTCTCTCTCTCTTTTTTTTTTTTTTGGGTTAGCTTTTGTATTTAAGACTAATTCTTTCAAATTTTGCTTTTAAACAGATCAGTCACTTTCGAAATTGGATTGATGTGTTTACAGAACAAAACTTTTTTCATTTTTTCTTAATCTTCCTTATATCCAAATCTGAAATAATAATATACGAAAACAACTTGACATAGATAGATTCTACTATAAAACATACAGAATCTTTTTCCCTAAAAATTGTCTCCACAAGGTTTACTTTGCTGGCGTAATATATAGGCAGGAAAAGAATTTGGGTTTTGGTTAGTTGGTGGCCTTTTTGGATTTTGACGATCTAGCAGCGTCTTGAGACGTATATTCTACAGGATATAACATGCATGTTGAGTACGTACATAATAATGTCAAAGGAAATCTTTTATTTCTCTCTGTGGATTCTAAGTTCAAATATCTGAAAAATCCGTACAGGGATTGAACGGCTGAAAAATCGAACAAGTTATAAAGTTTGAAAGAATATGTAAAATTCAAGATTTGTAGATCTTATTTTAAGCTTTATTACTAGAAGTCAATACATTTGGTTTTTCTATTTGTTCTATTTAATAAACAAATTAATAGATTCAGTTTTTAATCATAATTGAATTATAAAATTTATATATCAAATCTATTTAATTATATCGAAATAAGAATTAAAATATGATCCATTGATAGCTGTAATCACCTAAGTCGAACCGAATAGTTAATTTTTTAATAAAAAAAATAACCATTCGTTTATGGTTAATAGCCAGATAATGACTAGTTTCAACTATGATTGTGATCGTGGATTTTAGGACAATCCAACCATAACCGAACCAAAAAAAATAATATATGATCTTTTTTCAGCTATGATCATGGTTATGGATTTTATGATAATCCTGCCATAACCAAACCGAAAAAATAATATATAATCTTTTTCATAACCTTTTGTATTAAGTAAAATTACAATTATACCCAAAGTGTGCTTTGCTGATCTTGGTGGTCACCTACAGAATTGAGATGAAAAACATGAATTACTTTTCTTTCGATCCCTGGGGGAGTGGCTAGCCTATTTCAAATCTTACTGCTGATGTGAGAGGCACATGCTCCTCCGTACCCACATAGACATAGGCCCAAGGTCCCGACCCACAAATGAAAAGAGAGAAATTTGGGACTCCAGCATTAGGAAGACTGTTTAGGTAGTAATAGTTTTTTTTTTTTTTATCCGTATTATGTTACAAATCAAAATATCACATATAAAATTATTATAATTTGATATTTCTTGTTATATTATGCATATATTAAAATATATCAAATCAATACTAAATAAAAATTATTTAAATTTTTAATCAAAATTTTATATTTAACCGATTATTCTTTATATTTTTCATAAAATTTTTATTAAAAAATTACTTATTTATCTCTATCCACAAACTAAAAAATTTATAATAGTATAAAAACGCCAAAATCAATAGATTTTTAGCTAAAAACTTATTTTGTAAATTGTTTTTCTAAACAATTTTTTGCTTTCAAATTTTTTATTAAAAAATCGGAGGAAAAAGAGGATCAAACTGACAAAAATGAAACAAAAAAAGGGATCAAAATTAAACAAAATAATATTTATAGACTAAAAAAATATTTTTAAAAAAAGAGGGATCGAAGTATAATGTCACGAAAACTTTCATAATAATTTTTTTTAAAATGTTTAAAAACTATAAAAATATAACTACATATTGAAATGAATAATGCATATAAGTCTTGATGAATGATGCGAATGAATCTAAATGAATAATGCTTCAAATAGTACAACGAATAGTAATCGATCGTTTTATTTTAATTTTCTTTTTTGTTAATATATCGTCTTATATTCAAGAGGAGGATTGTCCAACTGTGCCTAAAAAGAGAATAGAAGAATTATCAATAAATAATGAATAACTAGTATCCATTTCATGCTTTAAGAATGTTGATTTTTAAACTTCTGTACTTATTTTACATTACAACATCTTATATGATTGTTATTATTATAAATTGATGTTTTGTGTGGTTTAATTTTTACGTGAAAAATCGTATTTGGCTATCGCTATTGTTGTGTTTTTCTATTATTATTATTTTTTAATATGTTATTATCCAAATTTATTAAATTTATTTGTCAACTTAGATTTTTTTAAAATAAAATGGATGGTCAATGGCTAACTGAATGGACAATCGAAAACCGATCTTTATTGATATACATGTATAATATGTTTTGCAATTAGTACTCATCCACATTATTGAAAGGCTACTTAGCCCATGATATTTCCACAAATAGGACTATCCGACCAATCACTGAAGGTTTTATGGTCTAATAAAACCCGGATGACTAGTACTAATAAGTGATCCGGACATAACTTATTTTTTTCTTTGCCAATCAAAAAAGATAAACCTTTAATAAAGCCATAACGTCACAGAACATTTGTCATGTCATCACCAAATATGATTATATATTTATCGATAATTCAATACATTTATCTAAAGAGATTCTAAACTAGCAATTGGATGTGAGATGTCATTATATACAAGGGAAAAGGACTAACTTATTCTTCACGCTATACAAGTTGATAATCTTCTCCACTATAAAATGATTAACACCCCAAGTTATATAGGTTTTTATTTACTAAGCTGAAAAAACTGATATAGTATCATACGGACTCTTCTACTAAGAACAAAAATACTATTAAGTTTATTCAAGCTAAACACTTACTCTTCATAAGTTAATTTAGTCATCCAAAGGTCCTTTAAGTACTCGAACAAAGATTTGTTTTACAGCTACTTGCTAACAAATCAACAATCCATAAGCTATATCAACTATATGATCAACTTAGATAAAAAACTATTCAACTGTTAATATATTTCATTAATAATTATACAAGGATTATGATCCCATCGATTATGGTTATTAATTTTTATGTTATGGTAATGGTTTTACTTAAAACTATATCCATAGTTAACCACTGCCATCCTCAACCGTGAACCGTGGGACTAGGTTGAACGGGACAAAGCAAATATTAGCACCACAAGGACTAACATACAAAATAATATAAAACACAGGGACTAAACAAAACAGAATTTACTCATAAGACAAAAATAAAAATGGTTACATAAAAAAAAAAGGGAACAAGACAAGTCCCTCCCGTCTGAAAAACCAAAGAAGCATAGTCCCATCAATTGAAATAAAGGAAACATAGGGGGTAACGTTACAAAAACAAAGAACAACCTTTCCTCCTTGTCCATGTCTGACGTCCTCTCTCTCTCAAGACAATAGACATTCGCATTCCGCTTAGAGAGAGAACGAGCGAAATGAGTGAAATCTCAGAAAGAAACAGAAGATCGTTTCTTTTATTACTATTCCTTTCGTTTTCTCTTCATTTCATTTCAGGTTTGTTTCTCTCTCAGATCTCTCTCTCTCTCCTTTCCGTTCTTCGTATAAATTATGCTTGTATTTCTTCTTAATTGGGCTTGATTTATTTATTTATGATTTTTTTATGAATTTGTGCATGGATAAATAAATAAATTATAATGTTTCAGTTTTCATAGAATCCATTGGAATTGGAAAAAGAAAAACCTAATGTGATGCATGTAGGGAATTCTGCCCTGAATTAGGTTTTAGGATTTTTATATTATTTTTTTTAATCTGCAGTCTTTTTTTTTAATTTAATTTTTGGGTTTCATGTTGTTTCCAGTTATATCCGATGACTCGTCCGGTGCAAAAAATGGGACGAAGGCTGATCCGCATGCTGCTTCTAAGAAAGATACTGGGCCCAAGATTGCCATTATATTTGTTTTCGTTGTGGCAATAGTGTTTTTTGCATTTTTCCTCTTCAAGTTTTGGCAAAAGAAGAAGAGAGAAGAACAGTATGCGCGTCTTTTGAAGTTGTTTGAAGAGGATGACGATCTTGAAGTTGAACTCGGCCTTCGGGATTGACATTTTTGTTTCTTGAAACTTGAGTTTATTATAGTTAAGTTGTGCCTATTAACCGCATGGTTTTTTCGGTTCCCAGTTGGAGAGATTTTACTGCTTTCTTCGTAGGTTTGGTTAGTGTGTACACTGTTCTTAATTCAATATGCAATTTTGCTTCTTTTGTTCCTCTAAAGGTCACAGACTTTTATGTGGTTATTGTGTACAAGAACAGCTTCTTTTGGGAATGTTAAGCACTCAATTTATTTTTCTGAACTCGAGAGATGTTTTTAAGCTATTTAGTACTTGCTCTGAATGATAGTATGTATTTTGCTGGCTATGAACATTATGTTCTGACCTTGGTTATGTTGTGCAGGTTTAAAAGAAATTTGTTCGGAGGAAACTTGCTCCTCTGTTGGCCAAGATTGGGCTGTTGTGATCCCTGTGCAGAGGTTAGATGTTTTTTTGCAACTGAATACTGTAATATTTGTCTATGTCATGTTAAAATTAAAACTTTTCATGAATTTGAATTCTTTGATTACTCAGAGAAGAGAGATTCTACTTTGTATAAGTTTCGTGGGTCTTATTCCCAGTTTGTAAAAATGTTCGTTATTCTGATGGAGGTTGAAGCGTGTAAGAATCAAACATTTTGATACGAAGCATCTTGAATGCATATATATATATATATATTCCATATTAGCAGAAAGGATGAGTTGATGTGTCATCTTCTAGTCTGAATTTTGATGTGGTAGTGTTCATGATTTGACACCTTCTCTAGCTTCAATTCCAAGCCATATTTTCTCTGTGTGCCCATTCTCTGGCTTTTGACTTATTTAGTTTCTGTTATCAAAAACAATAAAGAAATGAAGAAATATGCTCTGAATGTTAGTCTTATAGGCTAGTGTGAATGAATATAAGCTGTGTCGGAGCAGCATTTTTTAGCTGGATATGCCTTTAGTGAGTTTGAGACTTCATACATTCTGAACTTGTTATGAACGAATTTACTGTGTTTCTAAACTTCCTTTTCCTTTTCTGTTTTTGATGATTTTTAAACTTCATAGATTCTGGTTAGAAAATTCTCATATGAGAATGAGAATGAGAATGTTTGACGGCTACATGCATTGTCCATCTGGTTGGGAACTTGTTCTTTGTGATTGAAATTTCCCTGATACACATTTTGTATCTCACATCAGCTGATGAGCAATTTGTTATCAATTTACTGGGTTGCATTTGGTTGCTGAAAATATTTTAAAGTTCTCAGTCTTTGGTTCATGACAAGCTTTTTTCTGCTCTGCATCCAATCCTAGAAAATGACTTGACATTCTGAGGCTTGTTTGCAACTAGGGACAGAGTGAAAAGGTGGGCGTAGTAATTTGGATGAAATGCATTTTTCCCTTTATAGATTCATCTCTTTTTTTTTTCCATTTATGTGTTTAAAATTCTAGTTGTTGCATCTATAGTTTTCAAAAAATTCCAGGTTTTCCTTGACCTTTTAAAAAGTTTCAAGCAGAGGGAATAAAGGTCGGCAAGTCCATGTTTTGAATTTTTTTCCTAACCCATCAACACAACACCATTATATCTTATATAGTACTGTATTTATCAATCATACCCTTCTATGAAAATATTAATCAATTGTAACCTTTAATTTTTTCGTATTCTCTTATCTGCCCCTCTGTCAACTATTTTCGCAAAAGTTAAGGGTCACGTGTGCAACGTGTGATAATTTTAGTATGGATTTACAAAAACATCCCTTTAAGTAAGTAGAAAATGCCCGTTTAAGTAATAAAAAATTAACGTTCACCTGTGCTTCACATGATAGTTTCAACATGTAATTAAGCTTACTTAGGTTCGAATTTTTACACCAATATATATGTTTGGGGGGAATAAATAGCTTAATTTGTTTTTATATAATAGTTTGATTTTTTAATCAGTTTTTACGTTTCTAATTGCATCTATTATGTTTTTGAATAATATCTTGATCAGTTTTCCGACCATTAGCAAATGTTTTACCCAAATGCTCATGATTGAAATGCAAAAAATAATAAAATAAAAAAATCTCAAAGATTTCAAAGAATAAAACATGCAAGTCATGGTATTTTAAGTGATTTTTATTTTTTATTTCACCCAGAGGTATTTTAGTTAAAAATCTATCCATGGTTAAAAAAATTAATTGAAAGAACATATTGGATACTTAAACATTATCTTAAACATTATGTAAGGACCTAATAAATGCAATTAAAAATGTAGTGATAGATTGAATATATATATATATATATATATAGTTTTATTGACTTAAAGGGTATTTTTATTAAAATAACTCACGTTTTGTTCGTGTTGATTAGTAGTTTTAACAAAATTAATTTGACATATTGATGTGTTACAGCATAAATTAAAAGTTGCAATTGATTTTTTTTTTTATACAAGTATATAATTGATAAATGATGTAATATATAAATATATATTGATAGCTTTCTTCTTTCTTTTATTTTAGGTCTTGAGTATTTTTGTGAAACATCATAACACGCTCCGTGACAATTAAGAGGAGATAAGAGTAAAATAAGAAGGGAAAAAAAAGAGAGAGATATGAAAAAATTGAGCTTTTTATTATATTTGTTAGATATTTCATAGTCAAGGATAATATTAAAATTTCACGTATTTCCCAGTATAATAAATGTGGTCTGTTTTCTTTAAAAAAATCTCAATCATGACCAAAAGCTTATTCAATTTTTTACGCTTAAGTTCTGTTTGGTATAGAGTGAAAAATTAGAGGAAAAATATTAAGTATGATTTAAGAGTCGAGTGTTGAGAATTTAAAAAATAATTAAGAGGTGAAATGTTAAGGATGTTTGGTAAAAGTCAGAAAAATTATATAAAAAAGAAGGATAAATTAAAGATAATTTCGGGGAAAAAAAAAAAAGGAGAAAAGGGCACGAAACCCAACCAAAAAAAAAAAAAAAAAAAACAGAGAGAAAAAAAACCTCATAAAGTTTCCTTAACCTTCCCCCAACAAGGCTAACATTTAGGTGATGTTAGATAGGAAGTTAAAAAAAAAACAGAAGTAAACTATTATATAAATAATTATTACAAGAGCAATTTATTAAGGGTGTAAAAATTGATTTTTAAGAATGTTTAGTGTATTTATAAATTGAAAGGTTAAATACTAATGAAAAAAGAGAAAATCGTTAATAAAGATTAGTGAGACTAGATTAAAAATTAATTTAATATGTACTTGAAGGCAATAATAATAATAATATTGCTTGGAGGGTAACCCGCCATGTTTGGAGGATAATATTTACCCTAAAAAAGCACCAATTTGGAGCACATTCCTAAATACTTAACCCCCTCAAAAAAAAAAATAAATAAATAAACTTTAAATTTACCCTTGTAAAATTTAACTCCTTTTAACTCTCTACCAAACACTCCCTTAACCTCCATAAAATTTCCCTCCTCCCGTAATTTTGTACCGAAAAAGAGTAAAGGAGGTGAAAAATTATAAGAGTAACTTTTCACCCTTTTACCCCCCATACCAAACATATCCTTAAAAATAAAACTCTCAACACAAACCCTCGAAACCTTCCTCCCCATTAATATTCCACCCATACATGGTTCATTTTGTTACAAATTCGTTTCTAAAATAATATTCTTTCAACCTCACTGAGTAATGATTTTTTCTATCCTCTCTCTCCCTTTTTTTACCTTTCCATTTTCCTTTGTAACTCTCTTCAAAATAAGATAGTTATTCATTGAACATTTTGTAAAAATTTTGGTTCAAAATAAGATTCAGTAGCAATCCTAGTGGGGTGGTGGCAGGAGTGCCAAGAGTGCGTTCCCTTTTCAAAGATAAACAGCATCTTTACCAAATAATGACCAACTTTATCTCCATTTCCATTCGATGGTTTGGTTATGGAAGCTGACCACCCAATGGACAATTCATCATGCAATATGCCAGACACTTGCAATTGCAGCATAGCATCTGGTGAAGAGATAGATCAATCCGGAGAAGTTATTCCTTGTAGAATCTATGAGCATTTCTACCAAACAATAGGTCTGTGAAGTTGTCTTCATTTGGCAATGACTTGTAAAGATCAAAGCATATTTCACCAAGATAGGGGTTAACAGGAACCACAAGATTAAGCATCTTTTTCAAGATAAGGAAGAAAAGCAACCACAGAAATGTATGGATAATGGATTCCTCAAGCACTCAGCAAGCATGCCATGATCGGAGGCAGACTTGTGGCGGTGGCGCGTGAAGAGAACGGGGATGGAGGATCGTCTGCAGAGGTCTATGGTAGTGAGAAGGCGAGGGAGGATGGGTTGGACCATGGAGGAGAAGTAGTTTTGGACATCGATGACTAAAAGAAGAGATGTTTTGGGGTCTGGTTTTCGGTTTCTGGTCTCGTATTTCTTGTATGATGAGCAATTGATCGAGGCAGCCATCGAAGAAGAAGGGATTTTCTTGATTTCTTGAATGATTTGAAGGTTTATATAATTGTTTGTACACGTATGGACGAAAGGAGGACGGTCTGGAAGGTTTTCCTGGGGCTTTCCTTGGTTTATTATTTTTATTGGATAATTGATCGAGAAGTTAATAAATATATTATAAGTTATATTCTGTATTTTCGTAAAAATATGAAATAGTTTTTATATATAGTTTATTATTTCATGTTTTACAATTATTGAATAATTAGTTGAAAATTTGTTATATATAATCAGAGTTGTATTTTGTTTTTACATTAAAAAAATGAAATATAAGGGTTTTTTTATGGTTTATATTTTTATATTTTGCTACCATTGAATAATTGATTGAGAAATTATTAAATATATTAACAGTTGTCTTCTGGTTATTTTTTTTATATAAAAATATGATATTCATCATAAAAACTATTCATGATTTATTTTTAGTTTTTTAGTTTTACCCAAGCCATGTATTATATTTTTATGTAAGAAGAGGAGTATAGTTTTATTATAATAAATAATTAGTAGTTAATTTTTTACAATTTCACTTTATCAGTGGGGCCACTTTGCATGCATCATTCTGTGAGTTTTTTACTCCATTTTTTTCTTCATTCTGATCTCATAAAATGTCAAAATTATGTTTTTTTTTCCTCCTGCGTGTGTGACTGAGTAATTATGAGAAATTATTTGACATATGCAATTATATATATATTGTTATGAAATAATAAATGTCCATCATCATATTCATCCACTTTTCATATCCTCATTATTCATGATTCTTAATATGATTCAATTTATCATTCAATATGAGAAATTAAAAGGGTGATGTAATTGATTATTCATAATCCCTTTCAATTCTCTCCTCAATTTTGAAGTCTATAAATAGGTTTCATTGTTCATTAGTTGGTGTATAAGTTTTCTACGGAGAATAAGAGAAACTTTAAAGTTCTTATTACTTATATTCATATTATAGTGATTTCATTTTCTTGTCATCCTTTTCTTCAATTCTCCTATCATTTTTATTTATATATATGAGATTGTTAAGAATATAAAAAAATATATCAATAAATCATTCAAAATATATAAAAAAAATAAAGTTGTAATTTTTCAAAAGAAACAGACAATATTAACAAAATATAAATTAAAATAAGAAGTAAATGAGTATGTGATCAAATTCTTTGTAATTGTTTTTTCAAGTGCGGTGATGTCACCTTACCTTATTTTCAAATACGAGAAAAAAGTATTCATTTACTAAGAAAAATAAGAATATTCATAATTTGAAACATCAAGTTATTTATTAAAAAAAATGGTTATCATAAAATTTTTTACTTTATTAATCGCACAATTTTTACTGATCACGGTCACATAACGACGTAAATAAACGTAACATCATGTTAAAATTCCGTTTATTATTTTTAATATTAATTAATTTAATTCACAACCCTTTTGTTAATAAAAAGGCAATTTGGGTTATTGAATTTTTATTATCGCATATCTAATGGCAAACTTATAATAAAATTGATTTTTTTTTTATTTGTTTATGGAGATCGACTCAATTGTGATCTGAAATTTGATTTAAATAACAACAGGTCACGTGAAATGAATTTATAAACTATAAATAGCACGTTGTAATTTCATAAAATAAAGATGCAAAGTGTCACCGACAAGAAAATTATTAGCAAGCAGACAACACATTCATTAAATAACTTCAGCATAGAAGCAGACAACCAAGTTGTTTCTGTAAGAACTGGTGCTCACCTCATGCATACGATTACAACAAGCTGCATGCAAACTTGTTCTTGTAGAACAACAATTTGATGCCTTCTTATTTAGGATAGCTATATATATATATATATATATATATATATGATCAAGGCACTGGAAGCCACTTCTGGCTAAGGTTTCCAGTGGGTTGAGAAATGATGATTTCTTTAAGGCTTGGGTCGGAACGCCTCACATCCATCACGAGTCTACTGAACAAATTCAACATTGTGCCATCATTTTTAAACATCCAACGTTGTTGAGAAGAACCAGAACAAGGGAGGATGAGGACAATGGTTCCTGGTTGATTATTGCTATTGCAGCTGATGCACATTTCCTGTTGTTGTTGAGGTCGTATAGAACCATCTGCATAGAGAGCCCATTTTTGTTCTATCCGACCACTACGGCATTCTGCTAACCAAAGGGACGTTCTATCTCCCTGTACTAAGCATAAATCATCAAACCCAACAATGGAGGTGACGAAAGGCGTTGTGTTATTGTTGGCAAGCCAGCCCTGACTGGAGGCGTAGTTGTTGGTCGCCATATTAAGGTTGGAGCCAGCATTCCCTGAAGATGTGCTCAAGGCTAGTTTTGAACGAGGATCTATGATAGATCCGTCATCGCGCACCTCCCAGAGGACATTTGCACCCATTGTCACAGCCTTATTGCAATCGTAGATCATCACGGAGCTTAGTCTATTGTCCTTGGTCAAGCACTTGCCATTAGATTGAATTTTCCTATCTTTTTTCAGGGTCCACAGTTGATTCAATTCTGGAGTAGATTTACACTGTTGCAATTGTATCGGATTTCCATCAGCATATACTCCATCTTTTACATCAGCACACAGACCATTTCTGCCAGTGATGCGAATCGTGGGCTCTGGAACAGAACAAACATTGTTACTGTAATATTTGGCATCCATAGACCTTTTAAATCGAGATGCTTGGGGGTTGCATACGAATAATAGGAGTCCCAGGTTACTGATTAAGCTATCAGTTACAGTTACACTGTCCACGTTGAAAAATGTACCGTCACGTTTTCGTAATTGAACTGGTCTCGCGAAGACTCCTTGATTGGATTGTTGGATTGCAGTGGAGAGAGCTCTCCAATTGTTTTCTAAGCTCAGCATGGCCTCATCTGGCAGAAAGTTACTTGTGGCTTTGATGCTGCGACACACGGAATTCTCAATATATCTGAATCGTGCTGCTTCCGCAACCATCTGAATGGCAACCAAAAGGGAACGAGCGACGGTGTATTCTGTATTACCAGGGCCGCTTCTCCAATAATAGAGGTTCGTGATGGCTTGATCGAGAGCTGACATTCCTAGGGGTATGTCCTTTCGACCTGCTCCTGCAATTCTTTGAAGATCTATATAGTTACCGGTGAATGAAAGGTAGTCACGTTTTGTCTCAGTGAAAAGTTTAGAAAATGCAGGCCCTTTAGAGTCACTGAAGAAGTAGGACTGATCACTTGCCCGATAAGCCACCACATATGCATTGGTGACATTTATTGCTAGCGTGACAGATAACTCTAGCGAATTTGAGAGCTCCACCAAAAGATCAGATTCAGTAACCGTAGATGGCTCACGCATCACTGGTATATCATGAACCTTATTTCCACTTGCCAGATGGCCTCGTAGATCTTGCAGAAACTCCGAGTAACTTTTTCTGGTAGCATCTGCAGTGGTAAAACTCACCACCGTATAGGGCAGTGTTATACCGAATCTAACTTCTGTGGATACTAGGCACAAATCGGAATTCCATGCTGCTCCGACCATGGCACTCCAAATCCATGTTGCTGCGATAACCAACACCTTCATCTTCACCTCCATTAGCAACTGCAGAGAAAAATATTTTACAGTTTTCGCTGGATTAACTCACCTTTTTATGGAAGGACTGGAGACAGAAAATCGTTATAGTGACAATGATTGGCCTTCTTCATTCATTTCATGACGCTTTTCTTTTTTCTTCTTTTTTCTTTCTTCCTCGGAAATCATTCGGCGACTTGATTCTTTATGAAAAGTATAGGGACCTCTGATGGCATAATACAACAAAAATGTGTTGGTCTGTAAAATAGGTAGTCGAAAATGGCGGCCTAGGCTCTTACTAGTGTGATGTTTTCGTATATTGCCGCCGCGGACTCAGTAAGAGAACAATTTAAGTCTCTTAAAAAAGAAATCATGTTAAACTTTAAATAAAAATCGAAGTTAAATTCTATAAATATTAATATATTCAAATAAAAAGAAATCAATTGCATATCAAATCAACAGAATATATATATATATAGAGAGAGAGAGAGCATTCAGAGTTTTTTTTTTTTTCTTTTTTCAGTTTGTCAAATGCATTTTAGCAGAACTGAAAAATAAATAAATTTCTTTTTTCTTACCGCCTAATATTTTTTAAAAAAATTTATTTCTCAATATCTTTTTACTTCAAAAATATTTATGATAAATACTTACAATTAATAATAAGTCTTGATAATTTTTCATCAAAAAATTGTATTTAATTAATTTTTCCTTGCCATATTAATTTCCTAAAAAACATGATTTATTTGTCTTTCTTTTTTATTTTTGAATAAAGATTTGTTATAATTTTAAGAGTGGGTTTCAATCAAAAAAAAAAAAAGTATGCTTTGATTGATTTTATAAGATATTACGAGATAAAGAAAGATAATTAATGTTAAAAAACGTAAAAACATTAATTAATTTACTCTTAAATAATATTAAACGAGACAAATTAATCCCTCTAGGATTCCAGGGTTTTTTTTTTTTTTTACATAAATTATGCACATTAGATTCATATATTATCATTTATTAAATAAATCACTAATATTAATAGCAAAAATTTCCAATCGTATTTGAAAAGTATGGTATCATTAGGTATTTTTTAAAATTTTATTTTAATCATTATATTTGAAGAGAAATTAATTTTAAATTATCTAAAAATAAAATAGACAAACAAATAAAAAAAGTAATAATTGAGAGCCACTAAATTAATAAATGATATATTATAGAATCCATAGCCTTTTGACTACTCTTTTTAAATTTTCCACATGGAATGTCGGAGTTAAAAATAGACAAAAAAATAAAAAATTCTTGATTCAGAATATATATTTTTTAAAAGAAATATTTGCTTAATATACTTTTTACTAGAAAAATAATAACTATCAAATACTTATCATTTATAATAAGTTCTGTTCCACTTGTAATTAATAATATATTTTTGTATGTTTCTAACATTTAATATTATTAAATTCAAATTCAAATAGAAGATTAATAGGCTCAATATATTAAAATAAAAATTCTATTCAATAGTCAAACAATTAAATTGTTGTGCAATAGGTTTACTATCATTGATAAATTTAAAAATATGATAATATACATTAAAAAAAAATTAACTTTAAATATATGTGTGTGTATTACATGATATAATTTTCGTTTCAAGCTTTTAGTCCCTTTATGCATTTCATCGAAACTAATATATTGAATTGAAAGAAAAATATTTGTTTGTAAAATAATATGGATATATTATTAACTTTCTTTTTTATTTTTTAAATTTAATTAATTGTTAATGTTGGTGTTATCTGTTAATGTTAATTAATGCTGGATTATGCATTTAAAACATTTGGTTTTACTTGTTTGTCTATGCCTAAGCTCTCTCTCTCTCTCTCTCTCCATATATTCCTTTTTACCTATGGAAGCCGCTTTCGTCGTTGCTTCCTTTTTACCTATGGAAGCAGGATATTCCTTTATTTGGTCGATTAACAGAACCAGAAAAAAAATATACAAAATACAAAAATGACCAAATTTTTTAAAAATAAGATAGTTATTCGTTGAATATTTTTTAAAAATTTTGGTTCATATTAAGATTCAGTAGCAATCCTAGTTGGGTGGTGGCAGGAGTGCCAAGAGTGCATTCCCTTGTCAAAGATAAACAGCATCTTTACCAAATAATGACCAAATTCCGAACTTTATCTCCATTTCCATTCGATGGTTTGGTTATGGAAGCTGACCACCCAATGGACAATTCATCATGCAATATGCCAGACACTTGCAATTGCAGCATAGCATCTGGTGAAGAGATGGATCAATCCGGAGAAGTTATTCCTTGTAGAATCTATGAACATTTCTAGCAAACAATAGGTCTGTGAAGTTGTCTTCATTTGGCAATGACTTGTAAAGATCAACGCATAGTTCACCAAGGTAAGGGTTAACAGGAACCACAAGATTAAGCATCTTTTTCAAGATAAGGAAGAAAAGCAACCATAGAAATGTATGGATAATGGATTCCTCAAGCATTAAGCCAAATACTGCTTTAAAACGTGTGCCTATAGACGAAGTAACTAACTGGAATTTGGTTAAGAGTTTGAAGATAGATAAAACATACGATAGATACTCAACCCAACTCATGGAAGGTTCACACAAAAGCCGAGAGCTTCACACAAGTAATAAAGAGCAATAGCTTCCTACACAAATGCCATACAAATAAATAAATAAATAATATATTGCTAAGATTCAAAATCCTTTCATCTTTTCTCTTCGTAATACGCTTTCTTGATTTGCATCTTTTCGTGGATTAGATACAATCAAGAAAATATATCTTGATTGTTTCCCTTAAAATTTGAAATGGAATAGCCCCAGTAAGATATAAACTATTTAGGAAGAAATATTGAAGTACAAATCATTTGAGTCAAACTGGTGCATTTATTAAGATATGGATGTTACGTTCATAATAGAATTACTGGTGCAAAAGTCTTGGAGAACATTTAAAGTTACATGACTTGAAAGAAAACCCAACTTAATTATTGATTATAAGTTTATTTAATTCCATGCTCAAATGAATAATACATTAAAGAATAGAGATTATTGGATAAACGCTGAAGCATGTTGAACAGAACTAGTGAAAAGATAACCTGTGGATGATTCCAAGCAATTATGCCCAAACAGAGGAGTTCGATTTGCCGAAAGGTCTTTTTGGGTATAATGCATCAAGAAGCCATCAGGGCGATTCGATCAATCAGTTGCAGTCATCCAGCAATGAATAAAGCAGGGTTACCTTCCTGTCTTGGCTCGTTTCATTCCAGCAGTGTTGAAGGGTGACATGCTAGGGCTCATGCTTGGGCTCATGCTCGGACTTTCCTCCCTTAGTGTACCGTTTAGCAAAGCCAGTTCCCTCAATTGATGTTTCTTATAGTGATCCAAGGATTCATCCTGCAGAGAGAGAGAGAGAGCATAGCAATAAGAGAGGAGAAAATCAGCAAGTTGCGACAGAGACTGAAAATTTAACAGCAAAATCCATTAGTCATTTATGTCCATACCACAGGCTTCAAGAGGCTTTCTAATATGGTTATTGCATGATCCAAGCGGGCATTTATTATATCCTCTGGAAATTCCGCCTCCACCAACACGTGCAGCGGTTCATTAAGGTGCTCATATCCAGGTTTGTCTTTTAGTTTTTCCTCCTGAAGAAAAATCATAGTCAATCATGTGAGTTTGGGAAGGATAAAAAAGATGGAAAACAGGTATCACAGGATCAAAGATAGCTGAACTTCCTTGTGCAATCAACAAATCATTTATCAAAGGAGACCGACTACTATGAAACAAAAGCTTTCTTTTAAGAGAGTTCAGAAATGCTAATTGAAGTTCCCTTCTGTAACACAGCAAATAAATGGTCTGCTTCACTGTCCTCAAAATGTGATTCTACGTTAAATAATGTGATTCCTAAATAAAATCTCTGACAAAGAACACAGCTGAATTAAAAATATAATATACGAAACTGGATCATTGGAGCTCCAACTTATTTATAGTCATATTTCTGATCAACTCAATTATTTACTACCTCTCCTGGCCGTCAACATAAAATACAAAACTCTCCCAAATGACATGACACCCGGTATATAAATAATACACACTCAGGCATATGCAGCATACACAAAACAGTATTAGTCATTCTTTAATGGAAACTGGGCCTGAAAACTGATTTAAACCAAGCAAAAACAACAGAAGGAACAGGTTCAGCCCATAGATTCCACCTTACAGTTCTTTGCATTGAGTTTTCTACAGTACCTGAGGTGCTGCCAAGTTAAGCATGGCATTTATAACTACCTGTTTTGATTCAGTACAAGTGGCTTGTCAGACTCAGACATCAAAAACCAACAATCACGAATGATATGAATCCTCATAAGTTGTTGTAAAATACAGCAAAGATGTGGTCATCGTGATAGTTTACAATGAAAAACGGAAGGGAATACATGTAAGCAAGTCTGCTCAATATAATTCAACAATCTATACATAATGAAATGTGACAAAAGAAAAACAGCCATGATCAAAATAGATATGAAGGCTGGGTATTATATCAGAAAAGCATTGTGTTCTATGACTCCTTCCATGCACACAAATACATTAACCAACAGCAAACAACATCAATATCCAGCAGCAACTAGATGTGTCAAATTTCTGTCATGGGTATCGTGGCATGACTTGGTAAAAACTATAACTAAGGAGTCAATACCAATCAAGTATGGAAGACCGACTATAAATATTTAAAGTGAGATTGACATCAACATTAAACAAATTTCACAAAGAACTATCTATTGGATCACCTACAAATTAGCATGCCACTTTTTAAGAAGATTGCAGTGAGAGAAAAATAGGATAATAAGAGACAGCTGTCCATTTCAATAGGAAACCATAGAAATCAACCATACTTGAAATCCAAATAGAAATATCAAATTTCTAACATCACATCATACACGAGCAGGCAGCGGCTAGAGTCATTTACCAAGTTCACTTCCGATTCACCATGACGTGCAACCTAACTATCTAAGTAATGAAAACTGAACTGCCTTATCAATTGACTTAAAATAGAAAACAAAACAGAATCAATCATACCTTGAGAGAATCCTTCACAGAGCCCTTGCCTCTTATATACACCCTACAATCTGTCAAGGCTTCAACTCTTTTTAAGGAGTTCCCTCTTGGTCCCAAGATTCGGCCGACAAAATTGTACTGCTAAATTGGGTTAAAGTTAGAAATAGTAATTAATTCATATCTCCATTACTTCAAGAAACATCTTTGACTTACACTTGGATATTTGTCAACAGGAACGTCAAGTCTAATTACTCTCTTTACAACAGGCGTTGTTGGAATTCCAGGGACCCCAGGCCAACCCATTGAAGCAGCTGGAAAAGAGGCCATTCTTTGAAGATGCCCATTCTCCTGCTGTAAGACATGATATATTGGTTAAATTCAACTAATTTGTTTAAGAAATTACAACTAAGATGTCTTAGTTCTCCTGAAGTAAGACAGTTTGGGGCAGAGAGTAGAATTGTTTTTCTCAAGTATTACAGCAGAAGGGTTTAGTACAAGATCTGCCATGGAAGTTAACCAATCCTAAGCAACTTTTTTCCCTCCATAAAATACCATGTTTCTTTGATATAAGCAGGGTGGAACACTAAAAGTTAAATAATATTCCCACAGGAGATGCACTCAGACAACCAAAAAGTGTAGTCAAGGACATTGTTCAAACAATCCAGATCTCTGGAAAAAACAGATAATCATTGAGTTGCTCATTAGCTTTACCGAGATGATGAGGATTCAATTATCCTTCTATGGATGCTAAGGACATCGGTTTTCTAAATTTTATCCAACATGGGTACCCCCAATAGAAGTCACCTACTCGTATGTTGGAACTTCATGAATTTTCTTGCTAGTTCACACAATTTAAGTTTCTCAAAGACATACATCCCTAAAAAAAAAAAAAAAAGAATCGGGGGAAGGTAAGTAGTAGTCAGAGAATATTCATACATTGATAAAATTTGAAGTTCACTGCTTTCCCATCAAGCACTCCAGGTCAAAGAACCATCCCATATTGTGATCAAAGGATAGATCAAGTAACAAAGATTTGCTTCCAAAATGGAGAAAGGAAAATTTTCCAATTCAAATCGATCTTTAACACAGTTTTTCTAGTTCATTGAAGAGGTAATATTGAATAACTTGGTGATACTGCCTTCAGTACTGTCTTATGTTTTGCTCATTTTCTTCAGTTTCTCAAGGCAATATGCACCATAGAGAAATAAGAAGAGTCAAACTACCAACTTCCAAAAAAGCCTGGAGGGAGGTAATATGATGGCCAAATAATTGTTATACCATAAAGTTTGAAAGAAATACACAATTATCAATTGATATGGGCAAAGAGGAACGGGAACAGGTTAAATTGAGGTGAATTAGAAGCAGAACGCATCAAGCAATCTTTGTAAGTTTGAATTCAATCATGCAAAGTGATTCTGCTCACAACAAATTTAAACATACTGCTAATGCAACACTACAGTACCAGCAGTAAAAAAGAAAGAATGCCAGATAGCAGGAACATCATATGGCAGTTAAAAGGCAAGTTAAGTAAAATTTATTTCCTGTATAGCATACCAAAGGGATCCAAGTCAGGCATGACACCACAAACTCTCATTACCTCTGTTGGCATAGCAGACCATGCCTCCAAATCCATTGATCTTCCATTTGGATGTTGACCTAATGACCTAAATGGACTCTCATGCTCGTATCTTTCATGATCTACAAAACCTTGATTGTAAGCTGATGTACGTCTGATTTCTGCAATGACATTAAAGTATAGCAACTAAGTATGTAGCATGGATTACCAGAAACTCTCTATTATGGTTGCCAGTTATATTACTCCAAGTGATGTCTGACGTTTTCCTAAAAGCTAGTAGTTTGAGAATTTCCAGAAGATCAAATATGGGAACTACCATGTGTCACTCAACCATATACTTTATGTTTCAAGCAGATAAGAAAATGCATGTAGATAAACACCATTAGAGAATACTATGAGTGGTGTCTGATGTATTCCTAAAAAACTAATAGTTCAAGGATTTCCAGCAGATCAACTATGGGCATCATGATGTATAATTCAAATACATAATAAAGTTTCGGCAGAAAAGAACAAGCATGCAGACAAACAAAAACTGCTAGCTTCAAGGTAAATATTTCAGTGCCAAAAATCCATTATGCAATGGACTTCCTATGACTGTATTCAGTTTTCATCGATTGACTGTTGTGAGGTTTCCCTTCCCATTTGTGTTTCAAGCACTCAAGTTAAGCCTCTCCATGTAACAAAACAAAATATCCAGCATGCAATCATCTACCATAAAATAATAAAAGAACAAGTAATGAAGCTTTCATGTACCAGTATAGCATGCACACACAAATGCAGGTACATGTATGCAAACCATGCATATCGATGTTGAAATTGCTCATTCAAAAGATAACAACACCTGTGGTGCTACCAACAAGCAATCATGTATGTACGGTATGTATCATGTACGATAAGTTATGATCCAGTAACCTTGATTAAGAAGCCTGCAACAATTTGGTAAAACTTGCACAAATGGCCCCAATGTATGCTTCTCTGCAAATAACTCGGCCAAATATCTGTCATAGTTATACTAGTCAGATCAGATATGTAAATCTCACAAAAAATAATGGTCATGGAAAGAAAATAAACATTTGAGTTTTTACAGCAAGCTTAGCATTGTGGGTATAGACACACAAGCAATAAAAGACATTTCATGATTCACGTTGAACATGACAATAGCAATTTATATAGTCAATTTTTGTTCACATTTTATCTGCAATAATGGATACAAATTCATGGCATGCGCAATACTCTTACAATTCTTCACAAGCATGACTTGTGCAAGCAAGCTGGAACAGACTAAACGATTAAAGATACAAGTTGAGCAATCATGGTTTTAAATATCAGCCTTTACATCAAGCAAACAGCTGATAATTACCAGAAAATTGACCTTTTAGAAGTCCTCAGTGTCAATAGTGATACACTTATACATCACATCCTTGTGGCCTTTATCCACTGAAAAAATATAATGCTACCAGCCGATATTCTGAGACATTTCAATGGTGTCCGATGCCCAACAATGCCTATTTCGTCAATATCTGTTGACATCACTCTTTTTAAATTTTTTCACCTCTTAGCTCCCCACCCAATTATTTCAACAGAATTTGCTATTCTAAGTGTTTGCTTAAATCAAGTTTAAAACTTGAAATTTTGCTTCGGAAGTCCAGATACAAGATTTTTTTTTTCTGGTTTTGGTGGGGGATAGGATCTGAGACTTCTTTATTGTTACAAAGTTATTAGGAACTCGCATGGTTCTATGATTACTAAATGTGTGGATTACCAAAAATTTGTCAAAAAGCTAATGATTTTCTAGATGTTATGGCCATGAAAATCATTTTGTGCCCAAGAAAGATGGCTTTTGCAACCATCCCTAATTTAAACCATGTAACTAACAGCTTCATAAAAAGAAAACTGCTAATTTTAATTTAGATCTTCTAAGAATCTCCCAACATGTTTACTGAGGACCATTGAGAGCAAGATGAAGAATCCCCAACCAAAATTATTTTAAGATTCTTGCACCATATTGTTTTGCTTTGGTCATGGATGAATTGACCAGGCACTGTATCACAACGAGTGATGTAGTTCTGAAAGGTGAAACCAGAGTTTGGATAAACCAAAAGTAGGAATATGGAGACTCTAAAGGCCAGTGATTTCAAGTGAAGCAAAACCACAACGAAATAATGCATTGCAACTTGAGTGAAGCCAAGGAAAGCAAACAAGCTGCTGTTAGTTTGAGTAGAAAGGTATCAACATGGATTCCGCTTCCTAAATGGCTAAATCGCACAAAAAGAAAATGACATCAAGGAGGACTGAAATACACAGGCACTAGTAGAGTTCTAGTTTTGCAATTGTGAAGTTGCAACTGGGTCAGAAAGTAATATTCAAACGAGAATAAAAGAAGCACCATTGCTATAAATGTGCACGGTTGAGATGAGGATGCAGAGATTGATATTAGACAGTCGAGAATAAACTGGTGAGGAATGAATGAGTCCGCAAGAAGGTGAAAGCAGCAACCAGTGAGAATACGCTAATGTGAGGTCATCTTAGACTATTTTAAGTGCATCAGATACATACCCACAGATGCTTTGGTGCAAAGAGTAACTGGATCAAACTAGCATCGAACTAGAAGAGAAGTACGCCAAAATTGGCTTGGGTAGAAAAGGTAAAAAATGATTCAGTATCACAATATATTAGTGAAAGAGGTTAGTGAACTCTGATTTGATACAGAGGTGCATTATGTCAGAGGAAACTAAATGATAGTGGTGCTTTTTCTCTTGAAATTTTGCTTTAGCATATGGTTCTTTATACGACTTGGTAATTCCAAGCAAGCAATGATTGGCATGCCAAACCTGATGGTGTAGCTGTCACCCAAGCAAGCTGTTGGAATACAAAGTAGGTACAGCTTCTAGCATTAACTTCTAGGAGAAATACAGAGTAGAGAATCTTCCATTATCTATAGAGTTTCATCTTCTCTACTGCCTTTCTAGTTTGCAAAATGCTCCTATGTCCAGCTTTCACTCTATGGAGGATAGCAGTGTCTCCTGGAATATAAATTCTTCAAAAAAATCCTAGTCGGAAGAAAATTCAAGATCTTATCCTAGTCAGAAGAAAATTCAAGATCTTTTATTAGTCAAGTTCTGTATGTATGTATGTATGTATGTTGTCAGTTAACTTCTTGACCAAATACTAAAGCAAATGGAGGAAAATGGTCAAAGTGAATTCTTTTGAAAGTATTTTCTGTATCATCTTACTCAAAGCTGGAGCTCCCACTCTCTTTCATCACTGCATCTGGAGGAACAAAACACCCTCCAAACTTAGGGCCTTGACATGGACTGTGATACTTATTAGGATTGATTGTGTATCCCAATGGCCGCATAGGTCTAGTCGCCTGCAACTGTTTCGTGTGTGATAATAACAGGGAGATAAAAGCATCTTTTGATACACCATTTAGTAGATATGTGGAATAGGCTTTTCATTGTTGTTGGTTAGTCAAGACCAGTTACATATAGAGTGGGGGATTTTTCCATTGTTCAATGATATAGGGAGGATCTTTCATCTTCCATAGAAGGATTCTTATCTTGATTATCTCTAAAAATTGCTGTTTATCTTGCATCATTCTCTCTCTCTTTTAATAATATATCCTTCTCTTTACCTGACAATTAGCTAGGAGAAAGTTTAGTCATATGAAAAAAAGGTCCACAAAACTGAGCTTAGCTAAAATGGGAATGAGACTTTATTGAGAAGTTGAATTGAGTTATATGATTCCAAAGAAAACAGAAAAGTCAATTCAATCTAGACAAGTTGCAATGGATTTTTCTTTTAAAACCCAAAATTGATGTCAATGGTTATTGTTTTCATGGGAAGCAAAGAGATGTAAAAAGAAGCATTGCACCATAATGACTTGCAGATGCTTTGAACTTAAAACACCAAAAAGAAAAAAAAACATTTATAGGACGAAAGTTTAAATTTCGTTGGGAAAGAAAGAGTGAAACATGTTAAGCAGGACAAAAAGAATAAGACATTTTCTGAGAAGCAAGATAAACACAAAAACGTAAGAAGAACCACTTGAAATAGCATCAATGTTTGGTTAAAGTCTCCAAAAGAGAGAGTGAACCACTATAACAAGGAATATTTCCTCTAACTTTGGCTTCGCAGTAAATCATAAGTTCACTTTCACGAGAGAACAAAAGAAAGAGTTCTCATCAATTTTAATTGCAACATCTTGCTAAAAAATAGAAATTTTCAATTCCGAAAATCAAATACAATCTCTTTCTCTCAAATATGAACATGATAGTTTAAAAAACCACAAAATTCCTTCACTTTAGTTAGTTCTTTCCCATCCCATTATCGAGTACACACCAAATGGAAAGAAACACCAAGAAGAAAGAAGTCCAAGCACAATAAAAACACACACCATCATCCAAACCAAAAATTGCATGACATAAGTCAAATGTTACAAACCACCAATCATAGCACGACCACATAACATACAAAGGACATAAAAATCCACGATATGCAAGCAAAAGAAAGCAACAACCTTTCAAGATAATAAGATAACAGAGATCAATTAGCACATGAGGAATGAAAACTAACCTTTCAAGATCTGGAGGCAGAGAACTTGACCTATGAGGAGAAGCATGGTGGACTCCAGAAGGAGGGTACTGGAAGTAACTCCCAGGTGGGATTCTCTCTCCCATCACACAACCACAAACACACAAACAGAAAAAGAGCAATATCACTACTGTATGTAGCTGTTTAAACAAGGAAAAAGAACAAAAACAAAAACATTAGAACACAAGAAGCTGTCCAAACATAAATGAAACGAGAAACAAAACAGAACCCAGATAACATAATTGCAGATAAATAAATAAATAAACAGAAAAGGAAGAAGAGGGCTTACTGGATGTGGATGGGAGCAGAGAGAGAGAGAGAGAGGAGATGTAGGGAGGGAGGCAGAGATTTAGGAGGCAACAAAAAAGGAGTGCTTTCAGTCTCTCTCTTGGCTTTTTATTGTTAGTTGTTTGGTCTTAGCTTTGGAGTGGCAGTGGATGAGAGTATGGAATGGAAGTGTGTTGTGAGAGACACAAAGCCCTAACTCCAACTAACACTCTCTCTTGGATCCTTTTTTTGCTTTGCTGTATTTATTAATCGATGACCAACATATACTTGGATCTTTCCTCACCTTGCATCTTCTCTGTTTTCCTTTTTCTTTTCTCCCAAAAACAAAAAATAAAAAAATCTTCCATTATATTTTTTTATGTGAATATACTTTTGGGATCCAACTATATATAAAAAAAAATAGTAGAAATTAATTACTTTCACAACATTTTTTATTTAGAAATAATTTCACCGTATTTGTATTAAGATTGAAGTATAAATTTTTTTTGAAAATAGATACGATCATTCATGGAGACGTAGATATGTCACTAATTTTAGATCGTGATTGATGAGATTTGAATTCTTAATTTTATAGATGAGCTATTTAAGGAGCTCGTCTACCTTTATATCAATTTGTTGTTGATTACTATTAATAATTGATGATCTATTGTTATCGTAATTCAATTAATTTTTTATAAAATTTGTATCGATGATGATTATGAATGAATTGTAATTATTTTTCTATTTATTTACTTAAAATATATATTTATTTTTTTAACGAGAAAATGATAAGACAGTCTTTGTATTTCGATTGTGTGGTCTTTGGATAATACGATCTTGTGAGTTCTGAAATTGCTTTGTATTAGTTTGATTTCAGCTGTGTGGTCCTTGGATGACATGATCTACTATTATGGTAATTCAATTGATTTTCTATAAAATTTGTATTAGCAATGATTATAAATGAGTTGTATTATTTTTATTTATTTATTTGATGAAAATATATTTTCTTAAATGAAAAAATGGCAAGATAATCTTCATATTTTAGTTGTGTGGTCCTTGGATAAGATGATCTCAAGAGTTTTAAAATTGTGTTGAACGCTGCTTTGTATCAGTTTGATTTTGGATTGCCAGTAGTGCATAGGTCTTCATTGCAATGAATGAAAAATTGGAGTAAATTATAAACTAGTCCCTCTAGTTTCAAGAAACAAATTAATTAATCCTACATATTCAAAAATTATTATTTAATTCTTTAATCAATTTTGACCGTATTTAATTTAATATTATTTTTATTTTAAAAAATCTCTTATTTTGTCATCAATCTTTACACATTTTTTCATGTTTTTTTTCTTTTTTCTATTTCTTAAGACAAATCAAAATAAATTAGAAAGGAGAAAAAAAGACTAAATTACAAATTAATTTCAAAATATAAGGATTAAATAATTAATGTTTTTAAAAAAAGATTAATTAATTAATTTATCAAAACAAGAAGAAGTAATTAATAATTTACTCGTGAAAACGAGATACTTTGGGATTTGAAAATGACACGTCCACCAAAAAAAAAGCAAAGAAGAAAGCCAGACTAGACTTTTTGTGTGTTACTTGATGTGATTATGAGTTTATTGACTGATCTATTTGTATTTATTGGAATAGTTGGATTTTGACGTAAGATTTCTTCAGCAAGTTCAAATTATAATTCAAGAGTTATTGGCTTATGAATTCAAGTGTCCGCTTTGTTTTTTAATTTTTATAATTTTAGATATCCTAGTTTTAATAAGCCGATTTATTTTTTAATGAGATTATTTTTTTTAATCTCTTTGTGTTTTCTTTATTAGTTTCAATTTCAAACATTGTAATTATTTATTTACTTCACATAGATTTTGTAATATGTTCCAAACATGAGAATTCAATTTGATTTTATTTTGTTTTATTAATAAAAATTGTTGCCGTCTAAAATAAATATTTCAAATAGTAGATATGTGTTTCTCTTTTAATATGAATTGATCAATAAAAGACTAACAATTGATGTGGTTGATATTGGAAATACTATTAATGATAATCCAAATATGAGAATTCAATTTGATTTGATTTTATTTTATTAATAAAAATTGTTGACGTCCAAAGTAAATATTTTAAACAATAGACATGTGTTTCTCTTTTAACATTAATTGATCAATAGAAGACTAACAATTGATGTGGTTGAGATTGAAAATACTGTTAATGATAATTTATATAGAACATGGTCGATGCTAATATAACTGGTTTGGAACAAAAAGGTTTTGTAATTAAAATTATTCTATAATTTTCCTAATTAGTTTTTTTTTAATTATAGATTGACTTTCGAGTCAATTTTATTTCCATTCTTGTATTACAAGGAAGTTTAGGCCTCGTAATAGTATTTAAAGGAACTTTGCTCATCGTAATTTATTTGGCCAATCTTGTGACACATTTTCAATATTTATATCTTTTGCAATTTACTTTTCTAAGTTTGTTTTCTTTGACTTTGTGCTTTCTCTTTATTTGTAGGTTGCTTTAATATTTTTACAGGCTTTTAATTTGTTTGGTTGCTTTATTTATTATGCAATGCTTTTTTTTATTTTGCAATGTCTTCTCGATGTAAATTCTTTATGATTTGTTTATATAAATCTTTATGATCTATAACTCAAGGAAAATATTTTTTGTTTATTATCTAATGGAAGCCTCAAGGTTCACTGTTTGAATGATCAATATAAACTTGGATGTTTACTACTTGATTTAAACTATATTGTTTAAAACTTGTTTGGAACTCGTGGTTTTTAAGCTCCTTGTATTTTCTCTATAAGTTTCGATTTAATCCGGAGTTTACAAGGTTATTCATCAATATCTACAATAAGCTTAGCAATTTAGCCATGTAACATTGTAAATATTTTTCTATTTATTTACTTAAAATAGATTTTGTAATATGTTCCAAATATGAGAATTCAATTCAATTTTATTTTATTAATAAAAACAATTGAAATTCAAATATAAATATTTTAAATAGTAGACACGTGTTTTTTTTTAACATTAATTGATCGATAGAAGACTAACAATCGATATGGTTGAGATTGAAAAATACTATTTGCGGTAATTCATATAAAACATGATCAACACTAATACAACTTATTTGAACAAGAAGGATCTACGATGAAGATTATTCTAGAAGATTCTATGTATTCTTAAGCTGCAGATTTTCTTATTTTGATATTTGTAAAAGATTCAAAGTCTAATTTTCATTAGGTTTTTTAATTTCATTGTACTGTTATAGGCATTAATAACTGTTCCAATTAATATTTTTTTTCAACTGTAGACCAACTTCTAAGTCAATTTTATTTCCTTTTCTTATATGACAACTAAGCTTAGGCCTCCTAATAATATTTAAAGGAACATTGCTCGTTGTAATTTTTTTGGCCCATCTCGTGACACAATTTCAATACAATCTTTGTTAGGTTTTTTCTGTAATTTGCTTTTGCAAGTTTGTTTTCTTCAACTTTGTGCTTTATCTTTATTTACATACTTCTTTTTATTGCATTATTTACAAGTTTTATATGCAATTTTTTTTTACAATTTATTTACGTGCTATCTTTACAAGCTTTTAATTTGTTCAATTTATTTCTTTACCACGTAACACTTTTTTAGTTTTTCTAGTGTCCACTTGATGTAAATTCTATATAATTTATTTATATAAGTCTTTATGATCTATCGTTCAAAGTAAATATTTTTTGTTTATTATCTGATGTTAACCCTAAGGTTTACTATTTGAATAATCAATGAAAACCTAATGTTTACTATTTGATTTAAACCACATTGTTTAAAACTGATTTAGACTTCATGGTTTTTATGGTCGATATAAAATTTACATCTTGTATCTCAATTTAAACCTCGTGATTAATTTCAACACAACAATGTTATGTTTGACCTAGACAATCATTGTTTATTCACAAGTAATTCATGCTTTCATGAACTTATTAGTTTTAGGTTTTTGGGATAAAATTCATAATTTTATTTGATCACAAGGCAATTACCACCTCCTCAAATATTAAGTTTGAAGTATAACATTTCATCTATCTATATAAATAAATTTATACTCGTAACAAAAATAAAGTCATTACTTTAATGATTTTGGTTCCAAATAGCATGTAAAGGAATTTGAAAATTGATAATCAGTAGATTATAAAAAATAGACTGAGTGTTGCTTTGAATTTCCCAAAAAAAAAAAAAAAAGTAGAGAATGATTCGGGAAAATAAGATTGGCAAGGTAATAAATGATTTTTTTTATGATAAAGGGAATATTCGAGCTTGTTTTGAAGCATCAAATCAAATATACATTTGGATTAGATTTAAAACTACCCTTTGATAGTAGTTTGATCTAAAACAAGTGTTTTATTTCAGCTTAGAAAGCATTCGTATTGCATTACCAAACATACACCAAATTCCTATCTGATATAATTTTTTAAGTCCTTAGTCATACCAAACTCATGCATTCTCAATAATTTTTATTGTGCCTATTTAGGTATAAAATAAAAACCAATAATAACAAATAAAGAGCACCCTGCCTTATGGCATAATTTCAATCCAAGTTTTCTCTATAATTTATTTCTTTTGTAATTTATTTTCTTAAGTTTCTTTTCTCCGACTCTATACCTTTTTCTTTATTTCCATGGTTTCTTTGTCACATTATCTACATGTTTTATTTACAACTTTAGTTATAGCTTATTTACATGTTTTTGTTACGAGCTTTTAATTTATTTAATTTCTTTATTTACCATGCAATGCTTATTTTTCTTTTTTATAGTCTCTGCTAGTTGTAAATATCCATGGTTTATTTATATAATCTCCGTTATGCATTGCTAAAAGTAAACTTCTTTGTCTATTATCTGATGAAAACCTCAAGATATATTGTTTAAATAACCATAACAAGTGTTTTATTTCAGCTTAGATATTTTAGTGTTGCTTAAAATTGATTTCGACCTCGAATTTATTAATTTTAGGTTTTTGGAAGAATATAATCCTGCTTGATCGCATGGTAGTTGCCACCACTTCACATATTAATTTTAAATATAATATTCCATCTACTTATAGAAATAAATTTACATTAGTAACAAAAACAAAGTCATTTCTGCAATGATTTTGGATCCAAACACTTTGTAAAGGAATTTAAACTTTGGAATCGATGATCAATTGGACTAGAAAAAATAGATTAGTCGTTGATTGAATTTTCAAAAAAAAAAAAATTATTTAGAAAACTTAAATTGGTAAGGTAATTATACAAACCTGGCTTAATGTTTCGAACACGTTTTAATGATTTTAGCTTGTTTTTAAAAAATTATATAAAAAGGTCATCAACTAAGCCTCCGATAACAATACTAAGTATCGATCCGATTTTTCAACCAAAATTTAAAACAACGCTAACATGACAGGTGACGAAACATGACACATGGACTTTAGCAAGTCATGTAGAATCCACACAAACATAACATGTGGACTTTAGTAAGCGACGTGGGATCCACATAAACATGACACGTGTACAGTAGCAAGCCATGTAATTGATTTTTCCACATCACTAATGATGTGGATTCTACGTGGCTCGCTCAAGTCCATGTATCTTACTTATGTGAACTGCCATCTTAGTGTTGTCTGAAATTTTTGTCGGAAAATCATATTTGTGCTAGTATTGTTATCAAAGATTTAGTTGATGACCTTTCTATATAATTTTTAAAAAACAACATAAAATCATTAAAAAGTATATAGTTCGTAATTTTTTAGAATATTAAGCCTACAAAATTCAGCAATTTTTTTAATTTTAATAATAAAGAGATATTCAATCCAGTTTTCAAGTATCAAAACTAGAATTATATTTAAACTACATTCGAAACTTTTTTTTAAAAAATAAGTTTGATTTAAAAAAGACGTTTCGTTTTAAATTAGAAAAACGTTTGTACGTGTTATGCAACACGTACTAAATTCCTCTCATGATATTTTAAGTCTAAACGCGATAAATTATTAATATTTTTCTCGCAAAAGCCGTATTTAGGTATATATATATAAAAAACTAATAGTAAGAGCACCATTTTCTAATTAAAAAAATATATATAAAAAGACGAAAGCACCCTCTCGTGGTGCCACGCGCAGCCCCAGTTCCCATCGTTTTCCTCTGGACAGTCAACAGGGAAATATTTACACAATTTTGATAATCATACGCTACCAAAAAAATCAAAATCACCGAAAACCGTATATATACAGATTACGAACTCTCTCTCTCCCTCTCCCCCTCTATCAATCCCCTTTACCTATATGCTCATTCTTTCTTTCATTCCGTCTCTGACTTTGATGCTGCATGGCGATTAGGGCTCGATTTCAAAATGATGGCACATGATCTCACTCGATCGATGCGTTTTCCACGCGATTAAGATGTAATCTCACACCGATTTTCGACCATTTTAAACCCATTTGCAAACCAGCTGAGTTTTTTCGACTTTCGATTTAGGGATTTTAGATTTCTAGGGTTTCTTCTTGTTCCTTTTCTTTTCTTTTTTACTTATGAAGGGTGGCGGTCAGTCTGACAAGACCAAAGTGGTGGTCCGCCACTTGCCGCCGGGGATATCTCAGCCGATGTTCGTCGAGCAAATCGACGTTGTTTTCTCTGGCCGTTACAACTGGCTCTCCTTTCGTCCTGGCAGGTTAGGGTTTACTATATTTTGGATTTTTTAACCCGATTTAGGGTTTTATCTAGCATTTTAGTTTTTTATAGGGTGGTCTAGGGTTTTTTGTGCGTGCAGAGTTGAGCTAAATTAGGGTTCTAGTTTTGCTTTTATTTTGTTCTATTATCCATGTTCCATGTATGGTAGGTTTGAATGAAGTTGGATGAACTTGATGTTTTTGTTTTAAAAAATTGGTTTGTCGCTTTAGGAATCCTAGGCAAGGGTTGTGGGTGGGGGAGTTGGAAATTTGAACGGGTTTGAATTTGGAACTGAAGACGCTGAGATGGCTCAGAATTACGTTAGTTATTGCTTGCTTGAATTGCAGTTGTTTCCAGAAGCACGCTACTCAGCTGGGTGCTTGATGGCCAATTACTGAAATGAGCTAGCTGAATTTTGTAGAACACGAGCCTCCTGAGTGTTTGGCTCGTGCCCCCTTTCATCTGGGCTTTTTTATGTTCAAGAATTTGAGAGCTGATGTGCTTGGATTGACCTTTGTTTAATTAGAACAGGAAAAAAGGAGAATGCTAGGGTATTTATCTGCCAATCCTTTAGCTTCTGTTATGATCCATTGGCGTTTCTCCCTGGTTGCTCATACTCTGAACTATAAGTAACTATTAAGTTATAGCCTTCCTTTGTTTGATTGCAATGTCTGATTTATCTTAGCATATGTGAAGGAGTTTTTTCCCCCTAACAGTGGAATGTGGTACAAGTTGCTATGATTTTCTTATTTTTTCCAAACAGAATTAGATAGATTCCAATTAAATATAAGTTGTAATTGTTTTTCGTATTCCCTCTTTCTACACCACCCGCATTGGAGTAATGAAACATTTTGATTTTTGAAGGGAATTTTAGGTTGCAAATTGTTATGCCGTTTCTCTTTTTGACTATTCTATAACTTCCTTTTTCAAAATTTTGTTTCATTTTAGACAGAGTTGTATTATTGCTTCTCTAATGAGTTGAGAAAGTTCACTCCCATCCTCAAATTGCTAATTTCTATAATCAAGTCATGACGTGAAGAATAGATGGTTTCAACCCAAATTCATGTTTTGAGTGAACTGTGTGATTGATAGTACTGCCTTTTGATTGTTTCCCAGCCAGAAGCATCAATCCTATTCTAGAGCCTATATTGACTTCAGAAGGCCCGAGGATGTTTTTGACTTTGCTGAGTTCTTTAATGGTCACCTATTTGTTAATGAGAAAGGTAAGCCTTGACTATGCTAACCATGCCCCCTATTAAATATGTTTGTATTTAAACCACGGTTTGTCATCTCAGGATCTGATGTAATAAATTATTATTCCATTTATTTTAGGCACTCAGTTTAAAGCTATTGTTGAGTATGCTCCTTCACAACGTGCCCCAAAACAGTGGTCCAAGAAGGATGGTCGTGAAGGCACCATATTAAAAGGTATTTGATTTCTTTTTTGTGGAATAAAAGTCAAGAATAGTTGTTATATATGGATTTAACATGCCACATTTTTATTTTTGTAAATACAATAATTTCCTTGTTGACATCTAGATCCTGAGTATTTGGAGTTCCTTGAATTTATTGCCAAGCCTGTTGAGAATCTTCCCAGCGCTGAAATACAATTGGAGAGAAGAGAAGCAGAAAGAGCTGGTTAGTCATAGAGATCTTGGAATTCAGCATTTTGAAATAATTGTACTAGAAAGAAGGGTTAATTGGATTGTTTGGATTGGAATTCATTTTTCATTTAATCTTGCTTGATATTTTCCCATTATGTATCCACAGGTGCTGCAAAAGATGCTCCTATCGTTACTCCATTAATGGACTTTGTTCGACAGAAAAGAGCTGCTAAGAACGGACCTCGGGTATTGTTTGAAATTGAATATTTGTGACTTAGATGAAATCATCAATTATACTTGAGCAGCATTTCCCCCTCATTTTGTGTGCTATTGTGAATAGCTGTAGTGTCAGTGAATTCAGGGCAGTGTTTTGTTAATTACTGTATATTAATTTGCAATGGATTCATTTGGCATGTACAATTGCTTCAATTGGGCCTTTTTTTTTTCCCTTGGATGTTAGGTAGCAGCATCTTATTTTTCATATAAAAAGGTTAACATAAATGTAACGTGAACTTAAAGAATGCCCTAGCTTGAACTTGCGGTTTGCTAATTTTTATTGGATTCACATTGTGATATAAGCCTGTTAGCTAAGAGTTTAGTTCTTGTATTAGTTCAGATGCTAATGTTTTAAAATATGTACCTTTTAAACTCCTTTCTGCAGTTATAAATGGAGGGTAAGGTTAAAATAGCTGAAATCTGGATTTTTACTCTGCAGTAAGAATATCTTTTCTTGTGTAGGGTACTGCACACAGGTCTTTACTCTTGTTTCATGGTTCCAGATGAATTTAAAGCTTTTGACTCTGATATTTGATTTTGATGTATTTACTTGAGTGGTGGCTGTTCTCTTTGCATAATTATTTTTTTGTAAGCACAACCATTTCATAAAGTAATTTTGATTTTGGTGCAGAGGATATTGTCCAATGGGAAACTGAGCAGAAGGGCTGGTGGCAGTGGAAGTCCTAGCTCATCCTCATCGAAACGAGGTTCCGAAAAGAAGAGAACAATGGTACATGTTTACAATGCACATTTATTTCTGAAGTCATGTAGGGGAATGTGGTTCTGAAGTTATCTTATGTAATCTGTGATTTACTTGATTTTGTTTCAATAGAATTTGAGCCTGGTATACTCTTCATCCCTAGCAATGCTTGATAATTTTGGGGCATGGGATTTAAACAAGCTTTGCAAGTGTTTGAAACTTAAATTATTCAGTGTAGTAGTGTTCTAAAGATGATGAATTTTTAATGTCTTGTTTCTTTAATATTTGTTGAGGTTATTTGTGCATGTTGAGATCATGTGCTCACTGGAAATGGTAAATGTGAGGAATGCCTAATATTGGACATCAGAAAGGTGGAAATATTGTTCTATGTGCTTGTTTTCTAGATCCAAACCATGAATTGTATGTGAAGATTTATGTTTTTTTTTTATATTGGGAAACATCTTAGCTTTGATAAGCTGTAAATAGGAAAATACAAGCCTGGTAGAACTTTATTGGTTGGTTCTCTCTTGGAACTTGTTGCTTTATTCATTGAAGGATTCCATTTCCATGCTGTTTCACAGCCTGTCCTTTGATCCTCACATGCTTGCTTTGAGATGTCCAAAATTAAGTTTGTTTAATTATCTAGAAGCCCTAGTTAGTTAATACGAACATGCCATATGTTTGAAAACTATTAATAATTTTCCTTGTCCAATGGGCAGTATGTTTTAAGGGACACTGCAAAAAGCTCAAGTGGAAAAGACAAATCAACTTATGTGCATGTTCCCAAGCGAGATGATCATCAACTTTCTAAAGCTGTAACTTTGGGTTCTGGATCTGGTATTGAAGTATTAGAAGATGAAAGCGGTATGATGAGAAACTGAATTTTAAGGTTTTCAAGGATGCTTAAACTGATTACTAAGCTCTTGCTTGTTTATAGTTTTAATTCTGTATGCTATTAAAAATTGCATTCTGCTTCTTCACAATTTGGGGGAATGCAGTAGCACTTGTTTCATATTTTTGGTGAAAAGCACCCTTCGTTCTCCTTTTTTAAATGAAAATGGAAATTTGTGATCTCAATCTTTCTGAATAAGAGTTATTTATTATTTTTTTTTTTTGAAGAAAAAGCTGCAGGCTATATTGCATCTCTTCCCAGAAGAGCATTGACATGTTCTCTATGCTTGTCTGAGATTGTTGGCTTGCTTGCTTCCTTCTTATTGATATTTCAAATACCTTCATCTCATAATCAATAGGAAAGAAATGAGGCATGCTGGTTTCTATAGATATTTAAATGAGTGTTTTCTTAGAATTCATGTGTATTTTATATGCTTTTATCCTTTTTGTTTCAATATACTTTTACTCTCAGCACTGTTGTTGAGCATGGTTTGTTACGAATGTTTTTATTTCAGGAGTTTCTGGAATTACTGATACTGGGAAGAAGAAAATCCTGCTTCTTAAAGGGAAAGAGAAGGAAATTTCACAAGTGAGCCTTTTATTTCTCTTGTCCTCCTGCTTTGGTGATTCAATTGGCGGATTTACTTTAACGCATGGTGAAAGCTTGTTTAATGTTCACAATACCCCTTGGAAATGCTTCGCTAGGATAAAGGAGATGCATGAGAGTAATTTTACTTAAATAGAGGGAACAAAAGGTCAGCTAATGCAAGAGTTTTGTTGAAGATCCTAAATTTGAAGACAGAAAGTAGGGCATGATTTTTCAGTACAATTTCTTGTTAGAGGGGACCCTTCTTGGATGGATGTTTTGCAACTAATTTGGCTGCTTTTTTCTTGTGTCAAATGAAGTGGCATGGAAATATCTGGGTTTCTCTTGATTGAATTAACTATACTTACACTGTGCTGATTGAAATGCTGTGAACTAATATTTTTCCCCGTATCCTGACTGAGAGATTAGCCTTGGAATATATTTGTTTCTCGTTTCCAACAATAATTCATGCATGGTTATGTTTGGTTGTTAAATGACTCTTTGCCCCTTTGTCATTGTTTCATGATTACCATGGGATACTTCAGTTATTTTTTAAACCATGCTTCTCATGGCTATTAATCCTGCAGGTTACTGGCACCATGTCCCAGCAACAGAGCATATCATCATCTGATAAAAATACAGTTAGTTCGACGGCTCTAAAGAGCCAGCGGCGTGAAGCCAGTGGAAGTGGAAGGATAATCAGAAGCATACTCTTAAACAAGGATTCACGTCAAATTCAATCCTCCGGAGTCCAGTCTGAGCCACAGATGCAAACCATAAATCTTGACAAGGACAAACGTCCTCCTCGGCCCCAACACGCACAGTTGGTTTCGAAGGATGCAAATGGAACACCAGATGACAAGGTTGTTGGGAATGATTCCCATGGTTTTCCAAATGAGAAGCAGGAAAGGCGCACCAGAAATAAGGATAGACCTGATCGTGTAGTGTGGACTCCTCTCCGCAGATCAGATGGATCCTATGCAAGTGATGAATCCTTGTCATCATCTGCATTTCAATCTACACAGTCAGTGTTTGATTCTTCACAAGGTAAGCCATTATTCATCTTCAGCCAAAATATGTTCAGCGTAGAGATATGGGAAACATATGATTTCCCCTCATTGCATTAGCAAGTCAGATGATTGCTTATTCCACTCCTAGAATACAATATGACATATGGCAACACATGCAAAAAACTCCACCAGTTTCAAGAAGAAACAACTCTCAGCTGCAGGATATTTTACACAAGTGATTTTTTCAAATAACTCTGTTTTTTTATCTCTTAGGAAACCATGGAGATGCAAAAGTTGACACCTTAAATTTAAGGAGCGGAGAAATAAAAGCACTTGGAGGTGGGCGTAGTAATCATTCTTCTTTAGATAATGGTTAGTTTTTTTTTTTTTTTTTTTTTTTTGGTGTGCCCTTCAACTTATATGTTGCTTCAGCATCTATATGCCAATGCACATACGTTAATCATTAATATGAGTTGTATGTTTCGACTTAGATGCTTGACTTTATGCAGGATCGCATAAACATTTTGGTCGTCGGGGACCATCACATATTGTGAGGGATGCTGATGGCTCCACTGTTGAGGGGAAGACTCTTAAAAGAGGTGGTGCTTCTGGTTATGGCTCCCATGAGGTGCTTACACGTGATTTTTGGATGCTAAACTTTACTGCCATTTTCTGCCTTTTGTTCTTGTTTACTGATATCTTGAAGGTTTGCTCACAGAATTCACAGAAGCAAGTCTGGGTTCAAAAGTCTAGCTCTGGTTCTTAGTGTTTTGAATGGTAAGCTTCATTCTTGTTCCCTGTAGGTATTTGGGATATTTTTTTCAAAACACAAGAACACTTACGATGGCACTGATACATCCCTTTTTACTATATTCTTGTGGCCTTTCTGTTGCCTTTATATGCTGAGAGTGAAATTGATTGGAGGAAAATGGAAGGTGGGTTAGATGTAGGGTCGGGGAAGGGAGTGATTGCAAGAATTTGTTGTTCTTATTTGTTTGTCTGAGAGGTTGGAAAAAAATATTAAGAAAAAAATGGGAGGGATTGTGTATATGCAACAGCACCTTTTATTTCTTTCCTTCCAAAATATTAAAAATAAATGAATAAATAACTTCCAAAGCGAAAGAACTAGCATATCTTCCTCTTTCTCAGTATCTCTTCTTTTTCACTTCCCGCTTTTGAGCTTGCATCTTCCTAGTTCCAAATGATGAACTTGACCATTCAGACGAATGATTTAACAAATTTTGGTTGATTTGATAATCGGTATTCTGAGGGATGGATGTTGGGCTTCTAAAATGACATTGTATACGCAGTAAGGTTGTCGAGGACAACTAAGCTTGTTGAACGTGACCGTAGACAAATCTTTATGCATTTTGATTATGGTATTGTATATTATATCTGAATTCATGACCATTCTAAATTTAAATTCAGTGGTCAACTGCATCTTTTCATTCATCACATGGCAGCCTTTTGCTTGAATTGGTGGATATCATGTCTATTCCTGCTTCGGGCCTTTTGGCAAGTTGATGATGTTTTACTTTCACACATCACTTCTGCAGTGGAATGCTTAGTATCAGTGAAATTTTGGAGCATGCAGTTGCTGTATGCTGGAGGCTGTCCCTTTTTGTTAGACAAGATGATCAGGTGTGAAGTATCAGCAGTGGATAAGGTTTTTCTTTGGGAAACCTAGGAGAAAATGCAAAGTTGACATCAACGATGCAGGTATTGATGCAATTAATACTTGGGTTGATGAGATCCCGATCTTATTCAAAGACGGCTCGGAATAGGAGAAAAAGGAAGGAGAAAAAGATATCATTGTTATAATCGTACATAAGACCACAGTTTTTGCCAGGGTGTTCCTTTACTGGGTTCTACTCAACGGTGCTGCCATTTGTGTCCTCGTCCTCATTCTTGCCATTGACTGATTGGATATCGGGATATTCTCTACTTCTATAGGTGGATCCCTTGGTTAAACTGTATATATATCCACAGCAAAGCGTTGCTACCTGAATTCCTGTAGTTATATATATATGTTTCGTTAAGCAGTCTGCTATACGTGTTTCTTGAGCATTTGTGTATAGCTCCTGTTATTTGGAAGGTTACCTGTACTCGGGTGTTTGTTGAAGCGAAGAAAATGCGGGTGTTTTGTAAGCTTGGTATGTTGTGAATGAATGGCTTTGACTGATAGGCCATGGATTGATTTAAAAGCGTGGTTGAATATTATTGTAATTGGTAGGAACTAATTGGTCTATGTTATGGCTGTGTTCAGGTGTTGTTTTACTGAAATGGAAAATTGCCTTCTTAGAGCATACATGATTGGATTTTGATTGTTTGGTTTAGCGTTTCGTACCAACTTTTAGCTCTTGCATCATATGGATGATGAAGATACTCTTTACATGCTTTCACATTTGTCAAGTCCTCATGCCAAAACGAATTATTTAGTCTTTATATCTTTAAATTTTCTTGTATTTTAATTTTTTTTTCAATTTATTTTAATTTTTTGTTTTAAGAAATAGAACAAATAAATAAAGTGATGTGGTTTTATGAAATAAAATTATATTAAATTAAGAGTCAATAATATGGATTAAATATTTATTTTTTCAAATAAAATGGATTGATTAATTTGCTTTTGGGAAAATGAAGGGATTGATTTATGATTTACTCTTGGAAATGCAGGCTGTACTTCGTGCAAATTTTCCATACGCTGGCAAACTACTAATAACCGTGATGGGAATAAAACCAAAAAGGATTTGTTTTTTTAATCAATTTCACATTTTTAAATCCAACTGCGTTTAAAAAAATTCCTAAAAACAATTTTTTCTTTTTGTAAAATACCAAATCACAAACCCAAAAAGAGCAACAACATTTCATAAAAAGAAAAACAAGTTTAAAAATTCTTAAATCTTTTTTGCTCTGTAGTTGTTTAAAAATTCGTAATTTTTTTATTTGAATTTTTTCAATCATTTGAAAAATATTAACGTAATCTAATTTATTGACATTTGACAGTTTTTAATCCACATATAGTAAAAAGTAAATCTCATACGCATTTATTGAGAAAAATAGAAATATATATATATATATATAACTGACAAAAATTAAAATCAAAAACCAAAAGGTCGAACACTGTGCGCAACTGAGAAAGCAATCCTTTCATGCACCACTAGATATTGAGATATAGCAGGCGCTAGTGACGTGGATAGTTTCAAATCCTAGAAAACCAGTGCGGGAGAGCCTCAGAAAAGGATTGGCCATGGACGGATTTTTCTCTCTCCCTCCACACAGAGAGAGAGAGAGAGAGAGAGAGTTGCTTAGTTGTAGTTCAAGTTCAAAGACAGTGAATTCAGTGTGAGCTTCAAGTTATTATCGAAGAAAGATTTGTTCTCTTTCATTCTGCTGCTGAAATGACATTCTCTATATTCCCCAATTACGTCCACCAACCCCACTTTCTCTCTTTCAACTCCGATTCCCCAACTTTGAAGAAACCCCTTTTGGCGCGAAGTTCCAACGGTCAAAACCCCTCTTCCGACGGCTCTCTCCTCGTCAAAGATAACAAACCACCCTTCCCAGGTCTCTTTCTCTCTCTCTTAATTCTTTTTACTACTTTTTTTTGTGGTTTCTTCCATTTGGTGGCTGCATTTCTTGCGAGCTATGATGCCTAGAGCAAGGATCAACAGGCTCTGAATTTAATTTCCAACCTCTTTGTGTTGGCTATGCGTACTATGATCTGCTGTATAGCTCTATGACTTGGAATTTGGCACTTTAATGGAACATCGATGGCTGCTTTTGTGTTTCTGAACACAATGTGAATCTTCTCTTCTATCCAGCTAGAAGATAGGGAATTTGAAATAGAAGAATGAACACAAGGAATATTTGAAAAGACTGGAAACGAAAAAAGACTTAACATATTGTCATTATAATACTGGAAAGATTGTCTCGATGAATCATTTTTTTCATTCATCGCTGCCATATTCTTGGACAAAGAGACTCATTAGTGTTTTTTTGCTGCCTTGACTCGGGTTCTTGTGGTTTTTTCTCTTGTTCTTTTGAAGTAATTGGTTTCAGATTAGATATGTAATCATCACATTCTTTGTCTGCATATACTGATGTGATAGAATTTCACCGATCCTTTTGGCATAATTAGACAACATTTGGAGTGATAGTACATTGCATAAAACTAATGGTTCTTTTACCTTGTCTGGATGCTTGAACTTTTGCACAATTGTGAAATGATGTGCAGGGAAGCCAGAGGCAGATGTTGTTGTTATTGGGAGTGGTATTGGTGGACTATGTTGTGCAGGACTTCTAGCTAGATACCAGCAGGATGTTCTTGTATTGGAGAGTCATGATCTGCCTGGGGGTGCTGCTCATTCTTTTGAGATAAAAGGCTATAAATTTGATTCTGGTCCATCATTGTTTTCTGGTTTTCAATCAAGAGGTCCTCAGGCAAATCCCCTTGCACAGGTATTTATTCTTTCCGTTTCTTTTTTGACGCTTTCCCTTTCTATTTTTCTAGTAAATCGATCATGCTGATGCTTCATGATTAGTGTTGCTGTGGGATTCGAAGCACTATGTTCACATAAAATCATATAGGTGACCAGGAGAAATGAACATAAAATTTGAGGAAAACTAAATGCCACATATAATTCTGATTTATCAAATGATTTGATTTATTATAATCCTGACTCCAGTGTTGGAATTTTCCTGTAAGCAAGAATCGATTGCTATTTGCTCTAGCTTTTAGAGTCCAAGAAAATTGTTTGTTTACTGATTCTATTATTTAATTCTTTGCTGACTTCAGGTGGCAAGTAGTTACTCTAATGTTTTCACTGACAAATATCTTTTTTTCTTCAATGGAGCTCTGACCTCTTATGTTCTTGGAAAAAAATAATAGTCATCTGACTTCAATGTATATTCTTATATGATTTTCAGGTTCTGGATGCATTGGGTGAGTCAGTTCCATGTGTAAGTTATGACTCTTGGATGGTCTATGTACCTGAAGGTGACTTCCTGTCACGCATTGGCCCCACAGAATTTTACAAGGTAGGTTTTGATCATTAAAATTTTAAAATTGTAGCCCCATTTCAGATATTATCATTTTTCTTGTTTCCTTACGAGTTGCATCTTTGATCTGTTTGTGTATGCTATGAGTGCAACGTATTTAAAATATGCACGCTGTCGACTAAATATGACAACAGGAGAGAGGTGGGGAAATAAAAATTTTGCAAGGCAACTAATCCATCTGGAAACAAATGGACCCCGATATAGCTTAATGGAATCTTTCGTCAATTACGGATGATAGTTGCTGAAATTTGGCTCTGCAGTTTTGATACATTTGACATTGTATCAGATCAGGATTGCATGGATGTGATAAATTTGAGTGGGACTTTGTTTCTGCATATTCGGTTGACTGAAATCAATAGTCACCATTCTTCTTGTATTGCAGTGAAGGCTGTAATGATCACATATTTAAGGCCATTGTTTCTGACACGGTAGGGTCCAACATGACCTCAAAATAAATGAATAAACAAGAGAAAAACATAAGCACAAATGTAGTTTGGTGTTGTCAGGACTCAGAACAAGGATGGTGAGAATTAGTGTTTCATTATGCTAGAAGCTGAAGTTGGACCATGCAGTAAATGGCCATGATAAAGGATGTTAATTATACGTATATGTTAAATGATCGCATATGGATGATCCCACCTTTTTTATTATCTTTTAAGGACCTTTCCTAGCAAGTGAGATGCCGCAAAAGCCTGCGTTTTGAGTTTTTATGAGTCTGATTTTAGTTACAGGAATCTGCCTTCTAAAAGTTTTCTTTAACAAATAGACTAAAAATTACGTGAAACACAATTGATGCTTTGACGTCATAACTGAAATGGGAAGAAACTATTCCTGGCTTGCCTGACACACTACACGCATCAAGTCATGAAATTATAATATTCATGAAACCTTCAGTTTTTGTGAACTTAAAGATGTAAGATGGACATAAAATAAAAAGAATAGCAATGGATCTGACTAGTAACTCATCATTCGTGCTCATTTGCATGATTATTGGCATCCGTCAAGTTCTATGCTTGTTTCATCTCTTATATTCCTGTGATGGTTTCACGTTGGGTAAAGTACTAAGTACTCTCTATTCAAACAATTTTGTGCTCAGTAGGACTCTTTATATTTTCCTTCAGGACCTTGAGCAGTATGCAGGTCGCAATGCTGTGCAAGAATGGAAAAAGCTTCTTGTGAGTTATGCAAATTTCCTGCCCTTAATGAGTATATGTTCTGTTACTAAGATTTTATACTAGAATGGATATATATATATATAAATAGTTTTTGCTCTCAAGAATTGACCATCAAGCTAAATTCTTATTTTGAGGATATCAGTCATCCAATTTTGCATGGGTCTTTTTTTATTTTTATCTTTTTATCAATCATCTTGAAAATGTAATGCAAAAGATCAAAAAGGAAGAAAGAAGTACTTTTGTAACACTATTTTTGGAAGTCTCCAAACTTCAAAGCCATATTTTTTGGTGCTATGATGTAGTTTGGGACCAGTGACTCCAGGGAGCAAGTTTCTCACAATTGAATACTATGTTTCCATGTCTATAGAGTCACAACTCACAACCATCTAGGCATCTGTTGTTGATCAATATCTTTAATTAAGTGCTAAATGCAATTCTATTGCAGGATGCAATACTTCCTCTTTCTTCTGCTGCAATGGCTCTTCCTCCTTTATCTATTCGAGGTGATTTTGGTGTTCTTTCGACTGCTGCAGCTAGATACGCACCCTCTCTATTGAAATCTTTTGCCCAGATGGGACCTAAGGGAGCTTTAGGTGCTACAAAGCTTCTTAGGCCTTTCTCAGAAATTGTTGACTCATTGGAGCTGAAAGACCCTTTTATAAGAAACTGGGTGGACCTTCTGGCTTTCCTTCTTGCAGGGGTGAAATCTAATGGTATACTCTCAGCAGAGATGGTAACTATTGCATAATTTAAGTTCGGATATTTTCCACAGAAATTCCTCAAGTCTTCTTCTAGATGGATGCAGAAAAAACTGTGTTCTTACAATGATTGCAACATAATATTGATTGAGTATATAGAACATCATTTATTTATGATTTCCCATTGGTGATTGTACCATTCAGGACCAGTTTGAATATAATTGATAGCTTTAACTTGAAGCAAAAAGCTATTGGCATTGAGCAAAGTGTACTGGCTGCTTATAGATTTCCTTTCAGTCTTCAGTAATCTCTACCTTCACATTACAAATTCATGCGTCCACAACTGCACAAAGAAAGTTTTATGATCTTGCTGTGCAGATTTTCTGGATGAATTCAGCAAATATGCATGATGTCTTTTAAAGTCTTGTACTGTAGTGTTACCAGCTCATCTGTTTATTGAGAAATAAAAAATCGGTCTTCTCCCTCATTTGTTTTTATTACATCTTAACAACTTCATGATAAGTTTCTCTTTTTTTATTACTAACATGATTATCATCCTTCTCCAATTTTTCTTGGTTTTTGTCTGTAAGAAAAGTTTTCATATCCTCTTTTTCCAACCTGATAGAATGATAACTTGTCTTGCTTTTCCTTTTTTTTTTCCCTTTTTCAGATTTACATGTTTGCAGAATGGTATAAGCCAGGTTGCAGTCTTGAGTACCCTCTTCATGGAACTGGGGCCATCGTTGATGCCCTTGTCAGAGGACTGGAAAAGTGTGGTGGACGGCTTTCTCTAAGAAGTCATGTAGAAGAGATTGTTGTTGAAAACAATAGAGCCACTGGAGTCAAGCTAAGAAGTGGTCAAGTGAGTAGATTGAACTCTTATCTGAATTGGTTGCTAAACAAGAAACTATGGTATTGAAACCTCTATACTTGTATGCTGCAGTTTATACGTGCTAAAAAGGCTGTAATCAGCAATGCATCTATGTGGGACACTTCAAATCTGTTGCCCAAGGAAGTCCTTCCAAAGTCATATCTGGACACGATCAACACAACACCACAGTGTGAATCATTCATGCATCTCCATTTGGGCTTCGATGCAGAGGTGAGGATATTTACTAATAACAAACATATAACAATATGAGATTGCTCCTTTTCCGAATCATTTAGATGTGTTTCAGAATGCAAATAAAGCATTGCCAAATTTTGTGAATAAGATCGGCACAGCAAAATACACTTCAAATGTTATTATTATTCGATCATAGTCACTAAAACATTTTTGAATGGCATTAGTTTCTGTTCATTTGGTCTTCCTGTTATCCTAATGCTATCTGATTTCTTCTTTCTTCTTTCTCTCATATATTTGCCTCAGTTCTCTTTCTAAAAAAATTGCAACAGTATGTTCTACCAACAATATCTCTCAAAACACATATGGCTTGGGTCCAACACAGGAGTCTTTGATGTTATTTTTCTGGTATTGCATCTTACAGTAGAATGCTAAATTAATAGCTAGCTGCTACTACATATGGCTGGTTCAGGGAAACATTTTTAGACCTCGTAGAGGCACTGATACACATTGTTAAACATTGTAGAGGCACTTCTGCGTGCTCCATTTGGCCTGGTTCAACGGAAACATCCTTATGGCTAATTTTATGATGTAAGGATTTCAATGATCATGATTAGGATCAATTATAGCATCTAAAATGCAGTTCCATTCTATAATGCATTGGTTAGAAGTCAGGAGTTGGAGAGAGGAAACAGAAAGTTCCCAGTCTAATTTCAATTCCGGTTATCAAAATATAAATTCCTAAATTTATATTTTATGTGTAAGTTATTTCCTGTATTAACCTCAATACCCCTTTTATTTTTCTACTATTGTGATATAAATCTTTCTTTTCAAATTTTCTTTCCTTATTCTTCGTTCGTATTTCCATTTTTTTCTGGTTTTAATTCTTCAGCCACAATACTGATACCGTCTTCTTTTATCTTTTTAAATTGTTTTACTGACCAGTGCATACAAGAAGACTTGGGGATTCATCACATCGTTGTGAATGATTGGGGTAGAGGAGTTGATGCAGATCAAAATGTTGTATTGATATCTGTTCCTAGTGTGCTTAGTCCAGATTTAGCACCCCCTGGAAAACATGTGTTACACGCTTACACGCCAGGAACTGAGCCATTTGCATTGTGGGAAGGACTTGATCGTAGAAGTGCTGAGTACAAACAACTCAAAGTGGAGCGATCTGAGGTATGCATACACTAACCGACTTATCCTATCATCGGCTTCTTGTGCTGCCTTTTCATGATAAGACCATAAGAGGTTTGTTGAAGTTGACCAGCACTTGGACCATTAATTTAGTTGATTAATAGTAACAGGTTTCTTAAAGAACATATTTTCACTTTATCATGTTGCTTTATCTAAATGAATATGTCTAACCACTGCATGATTCATGACGAGACTTGAAAAACAAAATTTGAGGCAAGCTATTGTTAGAGGTCAATGATAAGTGAAGTTTCCCCTGCTGTTGATGATCTTATATTCCTGTTGCTGTGCGTTTTACTTCTTTGTGAACCAGGTTATGTGGAAAGCAGTGGAACGAGCCCTTGGTCCAGGGTTCAGTCGCGAGAAGTGTGAGGTGAAGTTAGTTGGAACTCCATTGACACATCAGAGATTTCTTCGAAGGAATAGAGGAACTTATGGACCAGCTATAGAAGCTGGGAAAAATTCCTTTCCCGGTCATTCTTCTCCCATATCACAGCTTTATTGCTGCGGAGATTCTACTTTTCCTGGCATTGGAGTCCCAGCAGTTGCTGCTAGTGGCGCCATTGTTGCTAACTCACTAGTTTCAGTGTCTCAACACTCCCAGCTTCTTGATGCAATTGGAATTTAAATGCATTGGTGAATTCGGTTTGGCGTTTTACAAAATTTTATCGGATTAGAACTTAAATGTTCTTGTTTTAAGCATATTGATCAGCTTGATTTATGTGCAAAAGATGTCCCTTTGATTATTGAATGCAGCAACATAAGAAAAAAAGAAAATGGGACCATGTTTTCTCTATCAGAAGTTGATTCCAATTTAAGCTTCTACTGATACTGTTCTTTTTATTTATTAGGATATTCACTTGTCTTTGGGCCACACAAAATCAAAACATCCTTCCCTGTTCCTTAAAAACATTAGTTCCTACTTTGGGATTCCTATTATTAGAAACTTGAAATATATTTTTTGAGATTGCCAAGATTGACTGCACTTTAGAATTGAAATGTTCGAGAGCATCAACCTGCAAGTGCATTTGACTTTGACTCATTCACTAGCATGCGAAAGTTAATAATTAAGTGTTCAAAATAATGTACAACGCACAAGATTTTTCAGTCTCAGGTATCCTGGTTTCTTGCACTTTTTATGATGCAACTTGGAAGGCATGAATAAATGAACAAATAGATCAGAAAGCACAGGTATAATCTAAACTAGGAAGGCAACAGATATATATATATATATATATATATATATATATATATATCAGAAAACCATAAGGATGTTCTTAGTTTCCCTTTTTGTCTTAGCTAAGACAAAAAATGTTTCATTTAAGGATCTTTGAGACTTGTTAGTTGCAAATGGAGTTCACTTCTGGGTATGTCTGTTTACCATAGTCGAACTCCCAATTGCTATATTTGAAAAGGGACTCAGAAAACCTAATTGCAGGAAAATAAGTAAAAAGCTAATAATGTTATGATATTTTTCTGTCTTAAGAGGAGAAACAATCAGAAGATGACTAGGTAGGAGAGGATTGCATATGCAAGCGAACCATTTTGAGGGATGATATTTATGATGCTTTTTTTACCCTCCTAGGCCTTGTGTTTATAAAATTTTATTGTTTTTCCCTATCAATCAACTCAAGTTTCACCAGTGCTTGACTTTGCACACATCAAGTAGTCATAGTTTTAAATCACAAATGCAGTTGAAAACACAGTCTCCGTCATAATCGTGAGTTGCAACTTATTGCAATAGTAAAATAATGATCGCGTTTGTTAAATAACGTCGAATAATAGTAACGAGGTGCCTTAAAATCATTATAAAACAGCCGGTACGTTATGTAACGGACTGTTATTTAAATCTAAAGAATTGAAGTCTAGCCGATAAGAGTTAACCATTTGTAAATCGACAGGCATTCATGCATGCACTCACATCAATGCACGCATGGAGATAGGGAGAAAGATTACTCATCAAGGGCACAATTGCTCTTTGAATTGACTCTGTGGAATCTAATCAAAGTTTTAAAGTTGGCGTTATCAAAACAGCTTGCTTGACATAGTCTTTTTGAGCCTCTTATAATTTATATCCTTTTGCTTTTCTGTTTTGGGTACCTCTCCTTTTACATCCATCGATAATCATTACTGGCCTACTGGGTTTTGAATTTTATGAAAATGTACATGAATGGAGGACCACCAGCTCTACTACTCATGACAGTAACTTGCATGCTTTTGCCTCCAACCAAAGCATGTGAAGCATGCAAAGAAGAAAAAGGAAAAAGGGTATATAGCCACTATACAATAGGACGCTTCATTGATGGTAACAAAAAAGATCATGAGATAAAAGATCTGTAATATATTAATTAAAACTAATTAGTTATAAAGTACTCTAAATTTTTAGTCAATGAGAAGCTTTAATTTTTTTATTCTGAATTTGATTCTAAACCTTTTTTTTTTTATCTATAATTAAGTTTTTTTCATTTTGTTAACCAATTTCTAATGACATTAAAAGCATTAAGAAAACGTGTCGTTGTTTTAATAACTAACATGACTTTTATACACGGTCAATGTCTGAACAAAACAAACTTAATTGCGAGCCATTGAAAGGATTCGAGACCTAAATTAAAATAAAAATGATGTAAAGAACTTTTTTTCAGTTCACATAAATTAACAAATTAAAAATAATGGATGGTTCCCATGTTACAGAGAACAAGCAATTTTTGTAATTTTCCACCCTTCTTGTTTTGTTCTTTTCAACCATGCCAAATGTCCTTCCTTCCCACCTTGTTATCGGACATTTCATTTCTCAAACTGATTAATTTTTTATAAATTCCAAAGTTAAACTTTTCTCAAAGGAAATAACCTAAAAGTTAAACCTTTGGAGGGAAAGCCATGCTTAAGGAAGTAGAATTGTGATTTCTTTTTTGGCAAAGTGTTTTTGTTGTTTGATCCCCTTCAAGTATTATGCAATTTCTTCTATGAATTGGGTATTGGATGCTTGCTTATTTCCTTCTTTTATAGGAAGAAAGAATGGTTTATTTTGCTACAAATAAGTTTATATAATTAGTGACAAGGTGTGTGTCTTTTTATAAAAATACGTTTGAATTGAAAAAAAAAAAAATCAAATCAAACCATTTAAAAACATTTTTAAAAATTGTCTAATAATGTGATTTTTTTTCGTTAATTTATGGTAATTTAAGCTCATCTATATACATGATATGCATTCAATTTTTACACATATACCTCAGATTTGAGAATTTAAAAAGTTTTCTTTATCATTTTAACAATAAAAAATGATACTTGCTGTTTGAAATATAATGAAAATAATGATTTGTTTGTATTAGTATTAATCCATTCTAAAATAAAGAAAAAAGAAAAAAATAACTAGTATTTTACCAAATTCAAAGTAAATTATAAAATAGTCATTTTAGTTTCAAAAAATAAATTAATTAGTTCTTCTTGGGTCAAAAACTAATTATTTAGTCTTTATATTTTTAATATTTTTGTAATTTAGTCTTTTTTTAATTTTTTAATTTTTTTAAGAAATAGAATCAGTAAGAAATGTAGAAGGATTGATGACATGTTATCAAATAAAATAATATTAAATTAAACATAGTTAACAGTGGTTCAAAAACTAAATAAATAATTTTTTAGATAAAAAATACTAAACAATTCGTTTCTCGAAAATTGAGGGACTAATTTTTAATTTACTCTCCAAATTCATAACCGCCAAGAAAACTAGCATCGGGCATAAAAGAATAAAAGATTACCCCATGATGGGAGGTGGACCCTAGATGATGGATTGAAATGGGTCCCGCATTTTAGTGGTCCTTCTACGGAATTTATGCCACGCGCCAAACGTTGCTGGCTTTTGAAAGGATAGGTCAATAGCTGCTTAAAAGCGGAAGCAGTGTCACGTGGCCACGCCAAAGCTCGAAAAATAAGAAAAAGACAGGAACAGAATATTAATTAATTAATTAATTGTATTACGTAATAAAAGCAATTTGAGCTTTAGATCTTATCCAATTCCTTCCTTAAATTAACTCAAGAATTTGTTAGTTGGAATTTACAGACCATCCTAATAAATATTGGATATTTTCAACTTAAATAATAAGTTAAATCTAGCTTTTGTATGATAAAATAGTTATTCAATATGTGTTTATATATTTAATTAAATTAATTTTATTTTTAAATATATATATATATATATATATATTTTTTTTTTGTCAAAATTTTCAAATCATATTACTAAAATTATTCATGTGATTTGTAAATAATTAATTTTTATTTTTAAAATACCTTTTCAAGCCGACCAAATACGTTTTATGTACAAATCATGACTTATTCTAACAATTTAACTTAAAAATTTTACCCAAAAAAATATTAATCGCTTAATAAATATTCAAAAATAAAATCAATTCAATCAAGCAAATAAGAATATGTTCAACCATTGGCTCTAAAGAATATTTACAAAAATAAAAACCATCATATATATATATATATATATATATATATATATATGTCTCTACTCGAGTACTGTACAATGGAGACTGTTTTTCTTGTAATTCCTCTATCAATAATTATGTTATTTGGTGGTTATGTTTGGAATAAACTCATTTCTATTTTGAAAATATTGTCATATTAAAAAAATAGATAAAGAAAAAAGCAAAAAATAAAAATAAAAATCCACCAATAACTCTTTCTCTCACCTGTAAATAACCGTTTTGAAATTGTAGAAATTAAAATAATAAAAACGTAAAATAAATGGTATAATCAATTCACGTTAAAAATAAAATAACAAAGAAATATCATAATAAGATTTTTTCTTTTCTTTTTTCATCAAAACCATTATGGAAAACCACAAATCCATGCATATTTGGTTGAAAAAAAAAACCAATTTTGTTACGTGGTTTTTAACTCTTTTTTAATATTTGAGGTTTTTGTTTTTTTAGAAATGATGGTTTGATTATTTGTGGAGATATTTATCATAATTGTGATAAAACGACTATGATTGTCCCAATTTTATGAAGATGAAGTGTGACGACGAAGATGTTTGCCATGGTAAACTTTTGATGGCAGATGATGATAGCGGTGGAGGTGACACGCAGTCATTGTGGTTGCGAGAATTGTTTTTCAGTTTTATACTAGATTTTTAAACGCTATACGTTATGCATCAAATAAAATATATAAAATTATTTTATTTTAATATTTTATATGATAATATATATTTATTAAAATATATTAAATTTTATATTTGAGTAATTATTTTTTATATTTTTTATTAAAATTTTTATTAAAAAATTATTTAATAGTATAAAAATTATCAAAACCAATAGATTCTTAGCGAAAATTTATTTTGTAATTTTTTAAATATTTTTTATCTTAAAATTTTTTATTAAAAAATTAGAGAAAAAAAGATTAAAGTGACAACAATGAAACAAAAAAGAAGGACATAAACCAAAAAAAAAATATTTACGAATTGAAAAAACCATATTTAAAAAAGATGGATCAAAATGCAATGTTACAAAAAAATTTATAATAAATCTATTAAAAATGTTTGAAAGCTATAAAAATATCACTCGTATAGTAAATGGAATAGTGTATTTGAGTCTAAATGAATAGTGAAATGAGTTTGAATGAATAGTATTTCAAATAGTGAATGAATAGTAAATCATGGTTTTACTTTAGTTTTATTTATAATTTTTTTATAATTAATAATTGTGTAATTATAACCTAAAAAGATTGGTTTGAGAAGAAAAAAAAAACTTTAGTCGTTTAAGGAAGTGTCTTGGATTCAAGTCCTTATGCGTGCAAAAAATTAACTAATTGTATAATTGTATTTGTTTTATGTGTTCGATAGAATAACGAAGAGTTAGTCTCGAGATTTATATCTGCGATATCTTGAGAGTAAAAAAGAAAAAAATGTGTAATTATGAATCATAGAAGACAAAGTTAGTGGGACTTGCCGTTTTTTGTTTTTATTATTTTTATTTTATTTTTATAAAATTCTTTACCTTTCTTCTATTATTTTTTTTCCCCACGACGAACAAGAAACCTATAGCTCATTAACCCTTGAGAAATCTGAAATTTGCCTATAGACTTCCCTTCCAAGAAGCATTGAGAAGAAAACATGTGTAATTAAAATGATTTTAGGTAATCTAATGAGTTATATTATTAAATGATAAATTGAAGATGAGTTCCGTTCTCTCGTTTATTATTGATGTTGCAATCATCTGGGTTAGGGATAAAATTTTGACCATAAGATATTGATTGGAAATAAAAAACATTTCAAGGTCAATTTTTGATTTGTCTAAGCATGAAGATGATTGGATGAAGTTCTTGTCACTTTGCTTCAACTTATAAAAAATCTATTTAAGAATTAGGTTTTCTTCAAACATTTATTTTTAATAATCTCACCTTTCAACCTTTCAAATAATTAAATGTTTTTAAAAAGATTATCAATCATGCAGTTAGGTAGAAGGCATGATAAACAATTAATCTTTATATATATATATATATATATGTGTTTTGTTTTCATATTTTTCAAAATTACTTGCAAGAATTGTGAAGTGATTATTATTATTATTATATGCTCATATGTACACTCTCATTATCATTTAGTTCTATTAAAATAAAATTTTATTGATTGTTTTCTTGAAGGAAATGGTTAAAAAAAAAGCAGAATTTTTATTTTTATTCTGCTGTCAGGGCTGATAAATGATTAAAAAAAAACAACAACTTCATTTTTCTTGAAATGAATTCATAATTTTATCACACAATTTATGATAGAATGATTAGTCTGCAGATATATCAATTACAAATGGTTTAATAGATTTGTAGAATTTAATTCAATTTGTACAAATTGAATAAATTCCTAATTTGAAATTCTTATCGTCGAATTAAAAAATATATAATAGTATTTAATTTTATTTTTATACGTGAGAGATAATAAAACAAAGAGATGAAAGAAAGTAAAGTAAAGTAAAAAAAAAAAAATGGTGTGGAACGTCAACATCGAACAACACCTGGTCATAGCAGTTGTCAAACGTTGCTGGTCAAATAATAATTATCGAGGTCTTCTGTCTGGCTTTTCTAAGGTAAAAAAAAAAAAAAAAAAATCCTATGATTTGCTGCTTCATTCCTTGGTCATTTTTTCAAAAAAATCCTGTACATATCACCCACAACGACCTGATCTGATCATATGCCTTTTTTTTTATTCTACAGTAAACTTATTTTCGAGTTAATTTACACATCAATCAAAAATAATTTTATAGATATATTTTTTTGTAAGAATGAATATGATTTTTATTAGCTGATAAGTGAAAATAAATGTTTATTTTAATAAAAAAACGTTGAATTAACTATGTGGATCAATTAATATTTTTAGTAAGTCTTGTTGCGTAATTGAACAATAAAATTATGAAGCAGAATTATTTGTTATACATTGTTTCTGTATATTTTTTTATCGACTCGTAGCTATTTTTAGTGGTAAGTTTGATGAATAATAAATTTAAAAAAGATAATCCTTCAATTTTTTTTTTATATATATAAAGAAAATGTTAGAATTCTAAACTTATCAAGGAAATGAGAAGATAGTAATTAATGGTTTTGGTAGTTTCATCATGAATGATCTACATTTAGTTATAAAATGAACTATCTTAATTAGACCAAAGAGATAAATTTTGATTTTGATACATAAATAATTATTAGCCAAAAATATCATCCATTCACAATTTTCTTTTTAAAAAAAACCTCTAACAATTATATGATATGCTTATTGATGAGATTATTTAGCTACATTATCAATTATAAAATACACAAAATATAGATTATATATCCTTTTATTGGTTCATAATTTTGGACAATTCTATATACATATGTGTGTGTGTTTTATAATTTTTTGCTGATAATAAGAGCATTATTACTCCCCCATAATACGTTTTTGGTCCATCAATTAAATGATAAAATATGTCATATTTATCTTTTCAGTATAAAGGAAAAAATGAATTAACGATGGAAAATAATACTCTCTTTGTTTCAAGACTCTCTTGGTAAAATTATTAAATTGGTTGAAGATTGAAATCTAGCTAAAAAAATTATTTTACTCTTGAGCAATTAATAATAATTATTTTATAAGAGAGAGATATACACTAAAATGAGAGAAGAAATTAAATTAAAAATATTTTTATTATTTTTGATGAACGTAGATATAATTTTTATTTTTATCTTGTCTCCGTCTCTCCTTTTAAAAATTAATTTATGAAATAAATATTATTAATTATATTTTGAGTTTTTTTTTTTTTGATAGTGACAATTCCAAGATCTCTTGTTTACTTGCATATCACCCTTTTTAACTTTTTACTGGTTGCCTTTACTTTACTCTATAATTCACCCCTTTTTGAAACATTTTTGAATTTTGTTTTGTTCGAGAAAAAGATTAAATCTATTAATTTATTGAATGGCTGAAATTTTTTTATGAAAGACTAAATAATTAATTAGTTGAGATCTAACATACATGAGCTTCCGGATTTTGTAAAATAAAAGGGCTATCATTGACTTGGGAAGTACTCATTGCTCCTTGAAAATTTTAAGATGTGCTAATTTAGCCCTTAGTTTAATTGAAGTTTCATTTTAGGTATATATTTTAGACCATCAAAAGAATTTTTTTCCCTCTCTTTGTTCAATCTTTTGTCTTAACTTACGTAAATATTAATCCATTATATCTTTGTTATGTTGATCCCCAATATATATATATATATATATATATATATATATATATATATATATATATATATATATATATATATATATATATATATATATCATCTATAGACTTGTAGCTTCTAGACTATATAAGGAAGGGTAGTCCTTCTCAATTACACAATAATTAAATAAATTAAAATAATTAAAACTCAAATTGGCTTCAATAGTCTTTCTTCACTACGCAATAACTAAATAATCAAATAAAAACTATACTTGATTTATATATTCTATTTTTTTCTTCCTATAAATAAGATTTTAAAATCGATATTAATTGTTAGGCATTAAAATTAATGTTAGTAGTTAGTAGGACAAGACATATCAAAACGAACTGGAGTGTCCACCACTACGAAAATAAAGAATTATTCTAACCTTCTTTTGCAATAAACTTATTTTAAAGATCAAATAAAAAAAAATTGAACTATGTATTTTTTCGTACCGAATCGAGAGTCTTATCGATGCCCGATTTATATATTCTAGCCCTACCCTATTAGTAGAATAATTGATTTATTATATTAATTATTATAGATGAGAAGGAAAAAATAATGGAGGAGTATATAACATTTAGGGTGGATATAATCATATATAATAGAATAAATAAATAAATTATTATAGATAGTCCCACTCCAAAATAAAAAAGAAAAGAAAATAAGCATATTATAAATTGATAACATACATACATACATACATACATCTAAGTGTTATGCATCCAAATATTAATGTAATAAAAAAATAAAATTATAATAATAAAGAGAGAAGGAAGCAGCAGATAATATATCAATGTCAGAATCAGAAGGAAGAAGAGGTTCTTGAACATTGTCAGGTTATTGTCCAACAGCCCACATTAAAATAAAATAAATTCCAAAATCCAAAACCCAGAAAACAAAAGCAATAATTTATATATTTTGAGTGAAAAACACTACTTATTATACTAAATAAAAGTTTGTTTCAATCAATCTATCAATCAATAAAAGCAACAGTTTTTTTCACTTCCACTTGAAGTCTGAAATGCAAGAAATGTCCTCTCTCTTGATACGTTTTCAGGTTAGTATGATTATTATCTATTGATTCTTTGGTTTTTTACTTCATGATCTGTCTTGAATCTGTTGAAAAGTTGTGTTCTTTTTTGGTTTTGCGGGTTACAATTCTGGGTCTAGATCTGATCAGTCTTGTCTAGTTTAGTTTCAGTGTTAGATTGTTTTTGTTTTGTTTTTTTTTTTTTTAACCATTTCATCCTCTTTATCTCATTTAAATTGGGGGTTTTGTTTTTTGTTGCTAGATCATGATAAGAAACATTGATTTTCACTTAAAGTTACAATCTTCGAACTTTATTTGGGGTTCATAGTTTTCATAGAAGCACAGTAATTTTAAGCACCTGGGCTGTTTTTATTAGCGGTGCTACATGTAATTCTGGGTTGGTTTTATCATGTAAGTGGCTGTAGCATGGATATTGAGCATTTATTTGGAATTTATGCCGTCTTCAAGTGTACGAAACGAACCCTTGATTGCTTTTTTATTGATTATTAAGATGGGAAATCTAGCATGAATAATTATTTGAGTTGATTATTAAATGATGTTATGTGAAATTAGCTCTCTTCTAGCATGTGTTTGTGTTTTTTCAATGCTTAGTTTCTGTTTCTGACTTGGAATTTTTTAATTCTATTAGGAAGATAGGCGCTTCGATTGGGTGGGTTGCAGAACTACAAGGTGTAATGTGGGTAGGAATTACTAGCAAGTGCAATACTTGTCGTGTGTACTCATGTCGTCTGCCAGCTTAGGAAATGGGGGAGTTGGAAGTTCCAGGTCTGTTAATGGTTTCAAAAGTTCGTCTAGTTCAGTGGATTGGCTGGGCAGAGAGATGCTTGAGATGAGATTGAGGGACAAGGTGGACCATGACGAGGACAGAGTAAGTTGCCATGTTATAGAATATTCTGTTTTAAATTATTCTGAGTTGTCCTTTTCTGTTGTTGTTAGATATCCAATGATTGGCTTCTTCCATTGAGTATCTTCTGTAATTGAAACGCTCTGGCAAAGTGGTTGCATAGTGATTTGATCTTTATGTGGGAGGTTCACTAAATCTAGAAATCATTGCTTAATTTCCATAATTGATTTTCCTAGCTTCACAAAGTTTTGCTCTACCTACCATGATCCTTCTTTGTCTTCCATTGCAGGATAGTGAACCTGATGTAATTGATGGTGTGGGTGCAGAAGCAGGACATGTCATAAGGACTACCATCGGTGGCCGAAATGGTCAATCTAGGCAGGTTGGAAACTCATTAATGCAAAACACGAATCTTGTTCTGTTTGTGATCCTATTTGACGAAAACTTTTCATCTTAAGTGCTTCTGTTTTGTTTGGGTTGACAGACTATCAGTTATATAGCAGAACACGTGGTTGGAACTGGTTCTTTTGGTGTTGTCTTTCAAGTAAGCATGGCTGTCCATTCGATTAGTTGTTAACTGTATTCCATTAAATTACATTTCTTTAAACTTTATCTGAACTACTTTTTGCAGGCGAAATGCAGGGAAACTGGAGAGATTGTCGCCATTAAGAAAGTGCTTCAAGATAAACGCTACAAGAACAGGGAGTTACAGATTATGCAGATGTTGGATCATCCAAATATCGTTGCCCTTAAACACTGCTTCTTTTCCACAACAGACAAGGAAGAGCTCTACCTGAATCTTGTTCTTGAATATGTTCCTGAAACTGTTAATCGTATTGCTAGGAACTACAGCAGAATCAACCAACGGATGCCTTTGATATATGTCAAACTCTACACATATCAGGTACATGGCAGCTTGGCTAGTTCCTTCTTCTGTCCTATTTCAGTATCTTGCCCTTTTAGTCTGTAGTTTATGACTATTTTCGGTCCCATGGATCTTGCTTCTATGAATTGAGCATGGGGAATAAAGCAACCATACTTTTATTAACAGCGATTAGAATTCAATCTGCAAGGGTCAGCACAAGTGGTTAAGAGTTGGCCTAGGATATGGGGAGGTTCCTGGTTCAAGTCTTACCCTTGGATATCTTGTGAATTTCTAGTTCTTGTGGGCAACCAAGCAGGAGCCCTGTTTCCAAAAAATCAAGGTGGAGAAATCCCACTGCTTGTAAATAGAAAAAAGAATTAAAAAAGGGATAGGTATTCTATGGAAAAAAGGAGTTTTTAATTATTATTATTTTTTTCTTTCTAATCGTGGTATTTGGATGGTGATAGGGGTTTTCTGGTGCCATATTAGACACGCTTTAAATATGTAATTTGAATTGATGGAATGGTATATCTTGCCAATTGGCTATATGGGACGCCATTTAAACAAGAAGCTACTCTTTTCTCATAATTTGATTGCTTTTATTTTTCCAACTATGTTGTTAGTAATTTATCTCTTTCATAATGATATTGGGGATTAAGATGTTGGCACAATTGTTGTTCATCCATGTTAGTGTAAGATCTAAATCTTTGTTCACACCTTCGTCTTTCTTCATATTGGTTAGCGTTTGAAAAATTGGATGTAGTGGCTTATAGCTGGCCAGTGGCTTGATGAATGATATGGTGGCTTGTTGCTGGCCATTGACATGATATGAATGACATGCTGGTTTATGGTGGTGCTTTTAGAAGCTTAAATGGTCTGGTTGCCAATTCCAGAAATAGGGTTGAGTTCTCAGGATACCGGTTGATGTTTGACGGGTTTAGTTTGGTTTGAGAGGATATTCTTTTGTTATACTGGTTTAAGTTGAAAAGGAAACTTTGAGGTTTGAATGAAGCTTGTTGAGGAATATGCAAATTGAATTTGGTAGCAGAAAAAAGAAGAGAAATCATATGCTGACCACTGTTCTGTCACTCATGGCTAGGCTAGTAAGAGGTCTGGAGATGCATGATTCTTCAGCAATGTTTAACTTTTGAACACTAAGGGTAAAGTCCTTGGTACAGGCAAATGACCTACTGATTAGTGACTTCTTCCTGGAACTTTTTAATAGCTGTAATTATCTAAATTTTCCTACTATTGGCTATTTTGTGATATAAGATGAGTATCTCCCAGCTGTGGAGCAATTCTGTCATAAAATCCTCCTGCTAAGTGGCATTAAGGGATGCCATTAAATTATATGCCTTTTTTATTCTAGTATTTGGTTTGCTAGGAGAAAGTAAAGACCAGCATTTTGAAGCCCTCAATTATTGCAATTCTGTCATAAACTCCCAGTGTCATCTCTGTGTGCATACACCTTCATATGAGATTTTTTTGGAACTGAAATGGATCGGATGGATTCCATGTTTGCCTGGTTGCAAACTTTCAAACCTTCTTTTAACATGACAAATGTAAAGCCATGTAGGCACACCTCCTGTTTTTGACAAGAGCTGAGAAAATTTGTGAAGCACAGCCTGCCAATTTTATGACACTTCTTAAAGTGCAAGACTTAATCCTGGCATCACAATATAAATGTGTATGAGGATAGAACATGGCTCCTCCGGTGTTAACCCCGACACTGTCTGCTTGGCATGGATTGCTTAACAGCAACTCGTTACCTTGCATTTTGTTTTGGTTATTTTCATTTTTACCTTTTCCTTTTTTTCTCCCTTTGGGGGGGGGTTACGGGATGGTGCTTCACCAGGGAGAGGACTACATGACATGCATGGACAAATAATTTTTTTCTGGGAATGAATAATTTTGGGTTCAACCAACAGTTATATTTTCCTCTATAAAATGATCATGCATTTTCCTATCTATCGTAGCATCCTATATGCTGGTCCTAAATAATTATCACTGTATGACGAAAAACACAGAAAGTAGTGGAGTTCATTGATAGATTAACTATGCTAAAGTTTACCAAGGCATAGTCATGTATGTGTAAATCTTCATCAATTCTTATTTTTTGTTCCTTCCTTTTTTGAGTGCAGATATGTAGGGCTCTTGCCTATATACACAACTGCATCGGTATTTGTCACCGGGACATCAAGCCTCAAAACTTACTGGTAAGATGTTCTGTTTAAGGATTTAGGTTTTGTTTGGTGAAACCCTTGTGCATGTAGAATGAGATTTATATGTACAAGCAACATGTGGTGTGCAAGTTAGTGGTTACCTAACCAATTCCGTTAGACACATGGTTGTCCATGTTTTGATGTTTGATGTAACATTTTGATGGGAAACTTCCCTTTCAACATATGTATTGAGAACTAAATAGCTTCAAATTTCTAAGCAGCTAAAGTTTCCTATACTATCTATATGTATAGATGCTGTGTGGCTTTCTCTGGAACAAATTGAAGAAATATGTGAAAAAACCATTCTTTATTGGAGGCCAAGAGTTTGCTGTTTTAAGTTGTTTAAACAGGTCACTTTTAGCAGCATCTACTTGTGGTCAATGTGGCTGAAATGGAATAGGGTCATCCTCATTTTAAGCCAATCCATCACTTGTATTTGCTCTGCTTTTGATCGGATAGAATTAGTTTCTGTATTTGATACTGGTACTCATTTCATAATTATTTAAATGTTTCTGTTTCTGTTTTCTTTAATAGTAAATTGTTCATTCCCCAGGTGAATCCATCCACACATCAGCTGAAACTTTGTGATTTTGGGAGTGCTAAAGTGCTGGTAAGCTTTCATATGACATTGCGTATTCATGCATGCCTCTTCTTTCATTGCTTGAGTGTGTTTCCTTTGTCATTTTATTAGGTGAAAGGCGAGCCAAATGTTTCTTACATATGTTCAAGATACTATCGTGCTCCAGAACTGATATTTGGAGCTACTGAGTACACAACTGCTATTGACATCTGGTCTACTGGTTGTGTGATGGCTGAGTTGCTACTTGGGCAGGTAGGTTTATACTCTCCTTACTATAGTTATTACCATTTCTCTTTTACTTTCAGATTAACTGGTTATTCTGACTTACTGTACAGCCTTTGTTTCCTGGTGAAAGTGGAGTCGACCAACTAGTTGAGATCATTAAGGTAGTAAATTCTATTGATTCTTACATGTTTTTTTTTTTCATAATATTTTTTCCTTTTAAGACGTGATTGCTAAATTAGATTTGACTATTTCTCTGTGCTGAGCATGTCTGCCCAAGTTTTATAATAGCACGAAAGTGAAGCTCAATGTTTTGAAATGGGGAAGATTCCTATTGGACTATTTTTTGGTTGAATCCAATCACCCTGGAACGAATTCAATTCTAAGTATTTAGTATCTTTTCTAGATGACTTTATATTTGATAGTAAATGGGTGAATGTTGAAGAATGACGTTGAATTTTGCAAACTTAACTTTTTGTCTCCTTTGCAATTTGTGGCAAACATAAACATCAAAGAGGGAGAAGAAAAACTTCTTTTCTAAAAAAATACAATTTAAACTTCGGAGATTAAGAATGGAATTGAAGACAGTATAGTTACGTTTCTCACATGCCATTTTCTGTGTTTTTGATTACCCCAAGTTGAAATTGTCAACTCCAAAGAAGGAAGTGCTAATGATTCTATGTTTTTTCAGGTTTTGGGAACACCGACCAGGGAGGAGATAAAGTGCATGAACCCAAACTATACAGAATTTAAGTTCCCTCAGATAAAGCCTCATCCATGGCACAAAGTATGTATTATTCCTCCTCTGTACTGATTTTTAATAAGTTACTATTTAGTTTATAAAAATGGCTTCAGCAAATTTTCTATCTTCGGTACATACAGAACAAATGTATAAGTTTATGGATTTATTTTGTGAAGAATTCTTTGGGCTTTAGCTAACTTGGGTTTGGTGATCGTTAGAGCTGTCAATTGTATACAGTTAATAACCCATTAGTTTAAATTTCTTTTGTTGGGAAACACTTGATTTAACTATCACAGAAGCCTTAGAACCTCAGAACGTTATCTTTAGATGACTCATTAAAGAGCTCATTCCTGTGTATGCATATTCTTTTAGCTTATAAGTGCGGGTTGTTGACCTTTGTTGATGCATCCTACCATGGCTGTATATTCTTCTCTTTAGAGGCCACCTGATCTAATGGAAGCTCAGTTACAACCTGATCCTTCTCAATAGTCAACCACTCATAATTTTGTGGAATTGATCGGTCTTTAAACCTTTTCTTCTTCTGTTTTTCTTCTTACAGAAATCACTCTGAGAATGAGTTTGGAAGAGTCGAGTTTAGGGCGCAACTTATTTAGATTACGTTAGTTTCAGAAAATATAATATTTTCTGGTATTTGTTTCTTGGCTTTGTTTTATTGGTGGCTTCACTGCTGCAATGGGAAATAGAAGCCCTCTGTTATTTTCCTTTCTCCTGATAAAATTTCACTGTAGGAGCGATAGCAATAATTTCACCATATACAATAGTTGCCACAAGGTGGCCCAAAAATCACAGAACATGGCCTGAGGAGCTCCTCGGTTTAAATAAAGGGGGACACAGGTTGGTTGTTGCGGACAACAAATGAAGCAAAACTTGTGTCCTTTTGTAGAGAAGGGTATTTATGTAATTTCTGGAAAATCTGGAAATTTGTCTAAGCGTAGGTTTTATGTACTATTTAGTATTTTGTTAGTGCTAAGGAGTAATTAGGTTTATTAGATTTTTCCTGTTCTACGTAGACTTAGTATTTTCTTATTGAGGAATCTAATTCCGTATTGGATTTAGACTACTAGAACTTTATAAATAAGCACGTAATCTTCCAATATTTTAAAGAAAAGTTTATGAATAGAATTCCAATAATTTGCTTTTGATTGTGTGACTCAATCTCTCTTAGGTGTGACTCCTAAGAACCCTAGGTGTGAAGCTTAGGTTTTACTCTAATAGTTTTTACAATTCTCAGCAGAAATCCACTTCAATATACTTCCTCAACAACTTTTCATGCTTACATAAACAGTTTCCAAAGTCAGATCCAGAGCATGCCCTAAGCTGTCTTGCATCAGTGGTTGGCATGGAATTGCTTAATTATATAGTTGAAAGTGACGGATCAAAGCTGTCTCTTATTAGGCTGCTAGCAACACTATGAAGTTGTTTCGTGGTGAAGAACTTCGATCCAGTGGCAGAACATGGAGGATAGTTTTTGGGGGTGTCAGACTAGCAAGATATCTGTGGCTTTGATCTTTTCTAAAGCTACTTGGTGGCATGGAGTGAGAGAAATAAGAGTAATTACAAATATTCATCCAAACTTTGAAATAAATAGCTCAAATGTAGTTTTTGAAACTAAAAGTTTGTGAGTGCATCCAATAACAAATCAAATGATGCACATAATCGCATCGTAAACAATGAAAGTTTCATGCAAATCCAAAATATGGATAAATGATTCTCATTTGTGGCCATTATGAGAAAATACAAGAATTATTTCTCTACATGTCAAAGGTATCAAAACAGATTAGGGCACCATTTATCAATTTGCATTCTTTTATGTTCTCTCTTCGCGAAACAGAAATGAATTAAGTAAAATTTTGATACTTATAGTTAGGTTTTCATGCAGTACATAGGAAATTAGGGTTATTATTGCTACTGAAACTTTCTTAACCTCTGCAGAACAGCTAGTGAAATAGTAAGATGGAATTTTATGTTGTTTAATTGGCCAAGAATGAGAGAGGAGATATAAAAGTGAACAAGAGCTAATGATGTTTTTGGCTTCGATTCTACTTCATCTGTTTTTTGTTTTTAGTCGGCTTAATATCATGCAGCATAATAAATGGGGTACAACATTGTTGTATACCTATTATTCTACATGGAATTTTCTATTGTAATAGACTAATAGGCTGCTGAAACATTTATTAGTTGCACAACTTTCTTCTCAGAAAGACTATTATGCTGCTGAACTATCTTATCATGGCTTTAGCTTGTATTCTTGTATCATGACATATATACTATCTTTAACACTAGCTTCTTGATTCTGCACTGCATTTATCTTTTCATAATCTGATTAATAATCAATGTTATCTGTTACTTGAATTCATTTTTGTATCGAGATTTTGTCTGAAATTCTCATCCACCAGGTCTTCCAAAAGCGTTTACCCCCAGAAGCAGTGGACCTTGTCTGTAGGTTTTTCCAATACTCTCCTAATTTGCGATGCACTGCTGTAAGTTTATTAATGTTTTCAAGTTGTTTGCCTGAGTAATAAATTTCGTCTATTGATCAATTTGATTTGTTGTTTGGCGGTACTGCAGTTGGAAGCTTGCGTTCACCCGTTCTTTGATGAATTGAGAGATCCAACCACCCGCCTTCCAAATGGTCGCCCTCTTCCTCCACTATTTAATTTTAAACCCCAAGGTAAGTCTTAACAAAATTCCTGCATCATGGTGCTGCTGTCTTTTTATGGAGACACATTTAAGAAATCAAACCAAGTCCTTGAATCTCTTCCAACTTCTTGTCTTTGTGTTTTTTTTTTGAATGCCTTCCAACTTCTAGGACAGATTTCCTTGCCACAGATAAAATTAGCCTCTATTTTGTTTTTTTTCCTTACCTGCACTCATTTGGAATTGTTTTTTAGTTTGTTTTGCCTCAGATTTCATGCCTTTGATAATTCATGAATCTGTTTTGTTTGGGCAGAGCTCTCGGGCATACCGACTGATATTGTCAATAGGCTTATTCCGGAGTATGCTCGCAAACAGAACTTATTCATGGCTTTGCACTCTTAGGAATTGTTACAAGAACCTTGGTCCTACTCATCTTCCATGCCATTGTCTTGTATCGAAGTTTGTAAAAAGATTTCCTCCTTTTATCATCCTCTACTTGATATGAGAAGAGTGCTGCGAAAGGAGTTCAGATAATACGTGAACCCTGAGGCTTTAAGTTTGCTTGTTGGTGAAGGTGTATTTTTGTTGTTATTTGAAGACAACTATGACCTGTGATGTATATTTATGATATGCTACCCTTTTACTGGGGATTTTAGTTAGTTCATAAGAAGGTTGAGTATGCATAAATTTTACTTTATTCTCACTCTCATACTTTTCCATTGATCTTTCTCAACATTTACCTTCTTTGTCCTCCACGTTTTCCTACTTCCGTTGCTTCTAAACGACGAGAAGAAGTTTCTAGTTTTCATTGCATGTGTTATTTAACTAGATAATGTATTGACAGAAATTTAATAAATTTTATTTAAATTATTTATGCATGAACAAATGGAAAATAAATCAATTAAAAAGTTTAAAACTTGACAAAAGGAAGTTTTAGAATTTTTCACTGTCAGCCTAAAAAATTGCATTTTTTTTTTTTTATGAATAAAAATTGCAATTTGTAACAAGTTGTTTCTGTTGTTAAATGGGTTTGGGTCCAAAAAAAAAAAAAAAAAAAACTACAAATTATGGTTCTTTAATCAAGGGGAAGCACCCCAAACGATATCAGCATATAGCAACATTTGAATGTCCATTGGAGGAGCTCCTAATCGATGATATCTTAGATCAACACCATGTTCTTGGTTAGCAAGTCAATCCGCGTTACGATTATCTTCAAATTCAATCCAATTGTAGCCTTGAGGTCACGTCTTTAATTTTAACATAAAAAATCAAATACATTAGAGAAGCTAAATTTGAATAAAACGAAGCTCGAAAAGATTTAATATATTGAATATAATATAATTTTATGACTAAATGGGTACTATCTTCTTCAAATTTTATTTCATTTTTTTATTACTTTTCAAATTTCTATTTTAGATTGAATATAATATAATTTTAGGACTAAATGGGTACTATCTTCTCCAAATTTTATTTCAATTTTTTATTAGTTTTTCAAATTTCTATTTTAGATTTGACTTTCTTGAATTATGTTTTATTCAAAATTAAATCTTTCTATTAGTTTCTACATCTAATGGGATGTAACATAATAAGTTTATTGAAGATGTTAAGATTTTTTGTTGTTTAATGTTTATGCAATGAGTTAGTGGATTTTTTTTCTTTTTTTTTAATAATCAACTTTCAGTTTAATTCAAATCGAAACCAAAAAAAAAAATTTGGTTCATTTTTTTTAAATTTTGGGTTAAAACTGAATCGAAGTTGTTATTTCGATTCGGTTTAATTTAGTTTTTTTTATTGAAACCAAATAATGAATAGCTCTAGCTGCGACAGGAGCTTTGAACCGGCAGTGAGCCTGTGACCTGGCTTCCTTTAGCGGTTCCCTGTCGGTTCGGTTCCGAGAATACTAAATAGAAGTACTTGATTTCAAAAGAAATGGTTAGAAAGAGGTAAAGTTCAAAATTGAAACCGACGAGAAGAACTGTTGGATGAGTTAAAGTTTAGAACAGGTGAGTTTAGACTCTAGTTCAACCTGGGCCTTGTAGTACTGCAATGGGCTAGTTCAGCATGAAAAAGAACAGAACTAGTTTGCTTTGACTTCCTCAAATTCAAGGCCTGAACCTGAAACTTAATCTGATAGAAAGACAGAAACTTGGAGGTGGAGGAAAAATGCGTTGTTCACTCTCAGTCTCAAACTCAAACCAGTTGCTCATCTTCTCTAAAAGGGCACCCACCAATCTCGTAATTCCCAACTACAGTACTTCTTGTCTTCAACTTGATAATAACAAGCCAAGTCCAAGAAGGTTAAGGGCAGTGTTGTCCATAGAAGAAATACCCCCCAATGCCCTTCGCCGGAAGACTGACCCATTGTGGAGAGGAGGGTTCAGTCTAGGGGTAGACTTGGGATTGTCTCGCTCTGGTCTTGCCCTTAGCAAAGGCTTCATTGTTCGTCCTCTCTCGGTAATGCTGCCATATATTCTTACTGTTTTTTAAAGATTTAGAGTTTTTATAATCTTACTTATTATTATGTTTAGGTTTTGGAATTGCGAGGACAAAAGCTTGAGCTTCGACTTCTTGAAATTGCAGAAAACGAGGTTCGAAATTCTCGTGTTCTCTTGTCTTTAAAAAAAAAAAAAAAAAAAGGGTAGCCCAGTTGATAATAGTGCAAGGAAATGGTGATTTGTGTACAGGAGGTGGATGAATTCATAATTGGGCTTCCAAGATCTTGGGATGGTAAGGAAACCCCACAATCCAACAAAGTTCGTAGTGTTGCTGGAAGGTTTGCTGTTCTTGCTGCTGACAGGTGAAACTATTCCTGCCCTTTTGTTTCTATGCTTATTCTGCTTCTGTTCATTTAGATATGGATTACTATTACTGTCATTGCTATCATTATTATTCACAGTTTTAAGAAAAATTCAGGGGTTGGAGAGTGTACCTACAAGATGAACATGGCACATCAACAGAAGCCACTGACCGTATGATTAACATGTAATGGTTCCCTTAAAGCATTTTATATTAGTGCTACTCTATTAGATATATTATTGTGGTTATTTAGCATCATGCTATCCATCCTCAGTTGAATTCACTCGTCTTTGCGAAATCGGTCTATATCTTTGAATTGCTTGCAAGTTAGGATTTTCTTTCGAGTTGCATGTGTAATGAATTGGTTTGTTACTTGTTGACCGCATCTAAATGCACTGACTAGGTTTGCTATGATGGTATCACTGCGATCATCAATAGGAAAGAGTCGTGTTTTTTGCTGGACGTTAGACTTTTCGGCTGTGTTAATTAGGATCTTTCTTTTCTATGCTACACATGATTCTCAATAGATGTTGCGACTGGGATGGTGCTTCACAATACCTTATTCTGCATGTTTTGTTGATGCTGCGTCTTACCTTGCATAAATACAGGTTGTTAAATTAAAGGTTTGCATTATTACACTGAATGCGAAAATTGGACAGGCAGTTATAAACTGTGTTTCCTATTAATTTGTAGGATACTATTTTGCCAAAAACAAAGAATGTTTCTGTAGTTGACAAAATAAATGTCTCAATAGGCAGGACCTGTATTTACTGGTCTGTGACGACCATGTCTCGACTCTTTCAGGGGCCTCGGCAAGTCTACTCGGCAAAAGAAAGTTGATGCCTATGCTGCTGTGGTGCGCTATCACATTTTATTTCAATCTCATGCCGAGGAGATTTCGATGTATGCATAGTGTAATGTTTCCAAACTTTCTGCTAACTCTTCTTTTTTCTCTTTTATTGCCCCTTTCTGGTTTCAGATGGTTTTAGAGAGATATTTTTTGACGTTTGGTGAGGGAACTGAGCTTGTGCTACCCAAACAATTAGATCTACAAGATAAACTTCAAAGAGGTCCACGAATGGACATTGATTTTTATCCAGAATAGTTTTGATGGTTCACAATTCTTTTCTTGTAAAGGGATGACACAATTCCAAACAATTTGTAATCATGATTCATGAGTCGCACTCAGCATATGTAGAGAAGATTTTGTTTCAGTGAAAAGGTTCACATGCTCTTGAGATGTGAGAATGTTTCAAGGCTTTTCTGGGTTTTTTTTTTTTTTTTTTTTTGGGTTATGGTATATTTAGCTTTGAATCGCTGCCCAAAATCTGCAGCGAGGCAAATATTACTAGTTATTTTGTCAGCTCCTAGTTGCTAATCTTTAAACCGTAAATTCTAAACCCTAAACCCTAGTTTTTTTTTTATTTGATTAACTGATAATGTATGTAACTTTTTTTTTTTTTTTTGTGGTTTAATTATTTATATTTCATTTTTAATTCTTGGAAATCAATCGATCAATATACGCATAAACAATAAAGGAATTTTAAAAAATAGGTACTGAGTTTGAAGAAAGAAATATGAAAAAAACTTTAAATCATAATTTCTTACAGTTTGGTCATTGTTAATTATTTTTAATTAAATTGATTGACATTTCATGTTATAAGTTTAAGATGCATATTGAATATTTTCTGTAAAAACATAAAAGCAAAAACAAGCAAAAAATCCTTTTATTTTTTAAAAGTTTATGATGGTATAAGTGTGGAATTATGTATCATCGACGCTCTTATTAATATTAAAGTAAGACTTTTTATAATTAAATTATGATATAAAGTGATATGATTTATATTATTGTTTCCATAAATTAAAAAATAATTAAAATTTTAACTTGAATATGCATAGAGAATGTTCATATCATAATAAAAACTACATAAATAAACCTCCCACACTTAGCGACTAATGTTTTTATATTTCATGTTATTTCTAATCTATTATTCTAGCAGAAATTTCAATACAGATTCATGGAAATATTCTCACTTGAAAAACTCAAATTCCATCTAATTTATTAAAAAAAAATTGAAAACTAAAATAATTTATCATAATTAGTTAGAGTTTTTTTTTATGGTTATTTTCTTAATAAATTGGGTTAGATTCTAGTTTTTCACTTAAGTGTATTTTCACACTAAAAATAAAAAATAAAGACAAATTGAACTAATTTTTTTAGCAAATTCGCCGAGATTTCACGCCGTTGCTTAAAAATTTAAACGAGGGACTAAATTAAGATGTAAAATAAAACAGAGGGATAATATTGATAAAAAATTTAATTAGAAAACACTATGAGACAAAACAGAACAGTAAAAGGGCATCCTACTTAAACACAGAAGCAAATACTTCCAGTGGGTGGCCGTGTGGGTTTTGTCTTAGCTCCTTCTGTTCTGTCAACCCGTTCTTCTCCTTAAAATACGCCGTCTCTCTTTCTCTTGCATTCAACCCCACAGTACGCTTATTTCTCTCTACCCTCTCCTTCTCCTTCCCTGTACAAGTCGACTTTCAATCGATTTCATAAGGTAAATTTCATAAAATCTGCTGTTTTGTTAATGGGGTTTCTCACCTGCTTCTTTTCATAGCAGTAGCTTACGTTTTTCTTCGGTTCCTTAAGTTACTGCTGCTGCTTTTTTTTTTTTTTTTGAATTAGAGGGACAAAGTTTCAGTTCTGGGTTAGTCTGGTATGCCATTTTTGTCTATGTGCTGTTGTTGTTTTGAATTGGTTTGCTCTAGTTATTTACTTCAGAGCCAACACTTGATTGTGTTGTTTCTGAGAAAACCAGAACCTGGTGCTTTTCAGTATACATCTGTTCTCTTCCGTGTCTTGTTTTAACAACTTTTAGGTGTAAATGCTATCAAATTGTCCAACTTGAGATAGATATAACAGGCAATGGTGTCACCGTACTTGTTTATACCAATCACTTTCATGTGCCAGTACATTTCCAATGAAATATATGAATTTGCGGTTGTGTAACTAGAAAAACGTTCTATATTTTTTGGGAGATGAAGGACGAAAACATTTATTTGGTTTGTGGTAACAAAGATTGTAAACAGATCATTGTGTTGGTAATCTAATGGGGGAATCCCAACCCTTGATTTTATCTGTTTCTTTGCTAAGCACCTAACACATCTTCATCTTTATTTATTTTTATTTGTTTTTTTTACAGTTTTACAACAACAGCAATAACCAAGCCCTCAATCCCAAATTAGTTTGGGGTATGAGGAAATTGAGTTCAAACAAAACCTGCTCAATAGCATAGGAATAGAAGCATGTCTTGTGCTACCTTAAATCTAGCACCTTCTCTCAAACTGCTCAATAACAGCAACAGCTACAACTTTCAACCTTCAAACAAGCAATCTTGTTTCTTTGGCAAGTCGTTTTCTTCAGTAACCTTTGTGGGACCCTTGACTTCCAATTGTAACAAAAGCTTTTGGGATTCATGCCATGTAATTAAGGGCTTAAGATCGTTTTCCACCGTGGTCAAATGCGTTGCTCAGAAATCAGAGCTGTCAGTTTCAGTTGGTGCTGGGAGCAATGCTGCTTCTGGTAAGAACTGGTAATTTTAGTTTTGTTATTCCTGTTCATCTATTTGTTTACATGTTCTTTGGTTTTGTATTCTATGTTTTAGTTCATAGTCCGATAGTTGGTTTTTTTAATGTAAGAGTTTAAGAAAGTAAATAAATGACTAATTGTTGCAACTTTTGTTGGTTTTTGTTGTTTTGATGCTTAAATTATCGTTGGATTGTTAGTAAACTTGTAGAATGATGTATATGAGCCGTCACTTTCTGAAGTTGCACATGCCTTTGCCATTGGTATGAGTTTGGAGTTCCATAGTTTTCTCCTTTCAGGACGTGCAGCTGCCACTGCCACTTCTTTTATTTTTTTACTATTTGTTTCTTTGTGCACCCCGATTAGCTTTTATTTTTTATTTTTTCTCTATTTTATTTTTGTCTGGGTAGCTGAGCATGCCTGAGTGGCTTTTGTTCACAAGATGAGAGGATGATGTGTGCAGAAAGTACCAATCAATGGACTCTGAGGTGATATTCCTGTGCAATTAAAACCTGAGAATTGAGGAGTTTAAGTTGCTATTGCTGATCTTCCCATACACTGATTTGTATGGTATCTTCAAATTTGCCAAATCTACCTAGGAGATTAACTCGATTATAAAGCAGTCACCGATATCATTTATAAACTGGCCAGTTCCTTTTCCTATTATGGTACTATTTTTTTTTTGTGTGTGAATAATTTCCATGGTGGTCTATCAATTGTTGAGGCACTTATGTGTGAAAATGTATCAGTGTGTTCTTTTGTTTAGCAATATATTATAAAGAAAATGAAATATTTCGTCATTAACTAGGTGGAGTTGTTTACTGCTGGAATGATGGTTATTTTTCATTTCTTTCAAAGTTGAGAGCACATCTTTTTTTGTACATGGATTCATTTAAATTTTATTGACTTTTTTTATACTCTGCCTTGTTATTTTCTCAAGGAGACCGCTCCATAGGATATTTTGTGACAATTTTTTTTTATTGAGATTGGAGACGCAAAGAATTGGGTTAAATTAGTTACTTTTTTCTTATTCATTGATCCTCCCTCACCTACTAATTTTGCAGATGAGAGGGTGGTTGTGTTGGTTATTGGTGGAGGGGGAAGAGAACATGCACTCTGCTATGCCTTGCAGCGATCTCCCTCCTGTGATGCAGTCTTTTGTGCTCCTGGCAATGCAGGGATTTCTAACTCTGGAAATGCCACTTGTATTCCAGAGCTTGACATCTCTGATAGCTCAGCTGTGATCTCCTTTTGCCGCAAATGGGGTGTGGGACTGGTTGTGGTGGGACCAGAGGCACCTTTGGTTTCTGGCCTTGCAAATGATTTAGTAAAAGCTGGAATACCTACTTTTGGGCCATCGGCAGAAGCTGCTGCTTTAGAAGGTTCAAAGAACTTCATGAAAAATTTGTGTGACAAATATGAAATTCCTACTGCTAAGGTTTATTCTTTTTACCCTTTTCGTTTTAGTTACCAGGCAGACAAAATACCTTCTTGCTTGTGCTAAACTTTTCCAATTGCCATTTCTTTCTTGGAAAATGCAAAGAAAAAAAAATGAAACAAGACAGTGTGCCTGGCATCCTCTCATTTTTGCCTAACTAAAATTTTCATGTAACTGTCTTTGCTTTCCCAGTTCTTTGTTGCTGTAAACCCTGTTATTAAACTTTTTTTTATTGTTGCAGTACCAAACATTCACAGATCCATCTGCTGCAAAGCAATACATTCAGGACCAGGGAGCACCTATTGTCATAAAAGCAGATGGCTTGGCTGCTGGAAAGGGAGTTATTGTTGCCATGACACTGGAGGAGGCATACGAAGCTGTTGATTCAATGCTTGTGAGGAGTGTTTTTGGTTCTGCAGGTTGTCGTGTCATTGTTGAAGAATTTCTGGAAGGAGAAGAAGCATCTTTCTTTGCCCTGGTGGATGGAGAGAATGCTATTCCTCTAGAATCTGCTCAGGACCATAAGAGAGTTGGTGATGGAGATACAGGCCCCAATACTGGCGGGATGGGAGCATACTCTCCAGCACCAGTATTGACAAAAGAACTTCAGTCAGTGGTCATGGAAACTATAATTCTCCCAACAGTGAAGGGAATGGCAGCAGAGGGTTGCAAGTTTGTAGGGGTTTTGTATGCTGGGTTGATGATTGAGAAGAACTCTGGCTTACCTAAGCTAATTGAGTACAATGTACGCTTTGGCGATCCTGAGTGTCAGGTCAGATACAGACCCTAATAAGCCTTCAAAAATATTTAGCAATGCTGATTTCTGTTTGTTGGATGAGTTGGCTGCATGATTTCACTAGATCTCTGTATATATTGGGTTATCATTGTTTTGGTAGTTTACAGTGGGCTTAGGATATATATATATATATATATATATATAGGAGTAAATGGTGAAAGGGAACACCCAGAAGGCTTGTCCTTGTTTTCCTGGGTATGTAACAGCTTTCTTTTGGTTTCTCTCCCCATATTCTTGTCTCATTTTGTTGTTATTCTTGTGCCTTTGGAATTAGTGTTGGGGTCCCATGCAACATTTGCTGCATGATTAAAGTGCAATACCCACAGAGAAGCAATATCTTGATTGAGATCCTGCCCTACACCACTTTTATGTTATTAATGATTAGGAAAAATGGTTGTTTCAACTGTTGGTTTGGCAACATATTCGTTCTCCTCTAGGCTCAAGGGTCAAGGTGTAGAGTTTGGTCATATACAGCTTGTCGGTAGTTAGACACTCCCAGGTGAAAACCTTCTATCATTTTGTTCTGATGTCCGGTTTGAGATGCATGATACTGACTATAATGTAAATTCTTTCGAAGCTTGCTGTTCTGGTAATCACAATTCTGTGCAAAGCTGCTGTTACATATCTGATTGTCACTGCTGCATGTATTGATAACCGCATCTTGATGGGGAATATTACTCTGTCAGTTTTATCTTATTATTCTTTTAACAGTGACTGATGGTATAAACTGTTAGATGTTTAGGCATCCCATTAGAAGAGGTGGTTTTAAGTTTTTTCCCTAACAGGTTTGTTTCATTGTTGGGTCAAGTTGAAGACTTTTTCCAAATTATTAATAAACAGGATGATATAATTCAGAATTCTTATGGTTTCTTCACTCCAAATTATGACTGTTTGGATAAACTAAAGCAATATCCAGTTGGTTTATCTATCGGCTATGATGAGTGGGGAGGTTGCGCTGATTATCTTTTACTTGCATGTGCTTGTGCATGAGAACACATTATAAATTGACCCTCAGATTTTGGTTGTCGTGATTATTCCTCAAAAGTTACAGGAAGTTGGTAATCAATAGTTGTGGCATAAAATTAATGGGAGATTCTTTTGCTTGAATATGCAGGTTTTGATGGTTCGGTTGGAATCAGATCTAGCACAAGTTCTACTTGCAGCTAGTAGAGGAGAGCTAAGTGGAGTATCCCTGAAATGGTCTCCAGGGTCTGCCATGGTGGTTGTTATGGCAAGCAAGGGGTACCCTGGGTCCTACGAAAAGGGGACTGTGATTCGAAACCTAGAGGAGGCTGAGAATGTTGCTCCAACAGTTAAGATATTCCATGCTGGAACAGCTTTGGACTCGGATGGCAACTTGATTGCTACTGGGGGACGAGTTCTTGGGGTCACTGCCACTGGAAGAGATCTTGAAGAGGCACGGGACCGAGCTTATCAAGCAGTTGAGGAAGTCAACTGGCCAGGAGGGTTCTACCGGCGAGATATTGGGTGGAGAGCGCTTCCCCAGAAACAATTGGCTCCAAAAAATAAACTGACATCAACAAAATGAATAGCCAATTTGAGAACACAGATATGGTATTCTGTAGAATTCCTAGATGGTTGATGAAAGAGGAAGGCGGCTTGTTTGAATTACAATCAAACAGGAAGAATCCCTAAAATGGTCCATGAATGTGTAATTGATCTTGGAGGTAAGGGATGACTATTGAGGTAACTTGTGTTTTTCCTTTTTGCTACATTTTTGAAACAATGTTTTCTGTTCTGTAGATTAATTTCAAATCATTCACTGGTCGGGAAAGGGAAAGCCTATCTCCATTCTTTATTTTAACACTGATGGATTGTGGAATCCAAGCATGCCCTACTCGTTACACATCACCAAATATCTATCTCAATTCTGTATTTTTAACAGTGTTTTCAAATCTTTTGTTTTGATCCTAAAGGAGAGAGAAGCAGAGAGAGGTAAGAGAAAAAGCCGCCGGTTAGGCTTATTTTAGTCATTTTGACATGCAATGTGTCATTAAATTTGTTTTTCTTAAAGAGTAGAATTTGTTTATGGTGATTTTAAAATAGAAAATAATTAGTTTTTTTGCTCATGCTACGCTGCGGGTTGAATAAAATATATAAAATCATTTAGAAGTTATCTAAATTTATTTTTTAAAAGAAAAAATAATCAAGTTCTAAAAATTTATTTCAAAATTCATACATATAGAAAAATCAATTAAAACTATCAATAAATATAAATAATAAATTTTAAAAAAATTGAATGAGAATTTAAAAAAAACAAATTAAAATAGTAAATTTTAAATAATAAAAATAATTAATAAAAAAACAAAGCATGTGTAGTGCATGAGTTAAGGGATTAAAATATTTATTTTAAATTTTGAGAGACTAAAATAAAATAACTTGAAAATTAAAACAATATGAGTTTTTGAATTTAATTTTTTTTTTTATGTGCGTTAGAATTAGTTTTAAGATTTTATATATATATATAACCTCATTTCAGTGTTTTAGAGAAAAAACAATGCATAGATTAGGTTTTGGTGTCTAAAAATTAAAAAACTGTTTTTCTTGCGAACTGTTTGACAAATTCAAGTTTCGTCAGAAATTATAGTGGTCGATGCATCGTCCATTGGATTTCTCTCTTTTTGCCTTTTATATGTGGCCAGGCCAGATCAATTGGACCTGTTTCTGCAAGCCCAAAGCGTAAGCCTGACGTGGTTTTTTTTTTTCAGCAAACTTTTTTAACTGTTTTTTTTTTTTATTGATTTTGTGCTAAATTTATGAAAAAAAATCCTCATTTTTAAAAAAATTTCATGCAACTAGGCAATGAAAAAATATGATTTCTTCAATTTGTCTTTTTTTATGAAAACATCAAATTAATTTAATAATTTATTTTTTTATATAACTTTATTGGTTAAGAAAATATGATTTATTTTTCTTTATATATGAATTTTTGAATAAAATTTTAGAATGTGATTATTTTTTTATTTTTTAAAATATATTAATATAATGTATATGATGAATTTTTATAATTTTTAAATGAGAGCAACGTGCACACACACGTGTATAATCTAAAAGTTAGAAATATATTTAAGATACTTTGTCTTAAATTACAAAGAAAAATACATTTTTAAAATAATCAATAAAAAAATATATTTAACATATGTTATTTGCTTTTTTATATCATCAAAATTTATGAAATCAATTTTATAGTAGGTTTTATTTCATTTTATTAATTTCAAATTTATTTAATGTATTCTTATACACACATACTCTCTCTCTTCTCATGGTCGAACTTATTGAGTATAGTCATGATGTTAAAAAAAAAAAAATCATCAATTTTATTAAAAAATAATTATGCATCTATACATATAAAACCAACTATTTTTTTTCTTTTAGATATTTGTAAAAAATCAAAATATAAAATTCGAAGAGGTTAGACTCGAAATTAGAAATTTAGAAATTGATTTTTAAATAGAATAAACTTCAAAAACGATTCGATCCAAAAGTTTATCAAGTCATTCTAATATGATGTCATATTTAATAACATTCTTGCAAACATATGATGAAATAACAAAGATGGATCACTTACAAATAATCACACTAATTAGTTACAATTAAGAAACTCGTATATAAAAAGCCAACTTATTTTAAATTAAAGCAAATTGTTTTCAACGCAGTTAAATCTGATTGATATTACTTATGCAATTCATGAAATCGATTTACACACTAACAATTTGAATTGTAGTGTGATCCCCACCACCTTGATCAGTCGAGTTGTGATTTGTAAAAACATTGGTAATTGATTGAGAAATCTGAAATATTATAGAAAAAAAGCACAATGTAAAAAACTAATTAATCAGCTTAATTAAATATGGTAGGAACAAATACGTACGTTAAGTACATGATAAAGATTAGTTTACTTAATGATTTGTAGCCTCTTAGTGCTATATAATTTGTAGTAGTAGAAAGAAAAATTAGAGAGAATCAAACACATACCATGCTATATGCCTGATTATGAGCCTCCTGCGGACTTGATCCATGGAAAAAATGCATGATCAGGTCTCTTGCTATTGCTGCGATGGCTGCAACTTCTAGCAACCGACCAAGAATTTGCTGGTAGGATCCAAGGAGTGCCCTCACAAGTATGACAGCTCCACAAAAGATCAACACAAAGTATCCAAAGGCAGGGCAGAGTATCAAGAGGAGTAAATCGCAAGTAAGAGCTCCAGAAACGAGAGAAATGTGCTTAAGAACTGTGACGAAACAAAGTGTTTCCAACTGCTGCTGGTGGGCTCGTAGTAGTAGAGCTATGAAAGCAAGCAAAGCCATCGAGTAGACAAAGGAGGACACAATGAAAAGCAATATAATGGTACCGTGTGCCTCAAAAGGGGACATTCCTTTGTTTTGATATTTGATTTGGAGGAGAGCTAGCAACACAAAAATGAGAAAGCAGATGGCAGCATGCATCGCAGTGATGAAACTCTTCATCAGCCGCACTTGTTCCCTTGCATATATAACCAAAACATAAACATATATGGGATTACTTTAGATTATGAACAAAACAAAGATTGTTAGCATTAATTAATTTAATTATAGTACTCCATCATTTCATAGACAGATTTTTAAGCAAGATGTATGTTGGTATATATATATATATATATATATATATATATATTCACCTTTCTCTTGTGACACCACCGCTACTTGCCTGCTCATTTACCATATTCTTCAAATTCTTCTTTCTCCTGATATTAAGCTATTGAAGAGTGGCTTAAGGTATGGTAAGTGCTGGGATATTTAACCTATCACAGGTAACGAAAGAAGGAAATAGGAAAAGGACTTCATGTTCATTTTTTTCCAACCTAACGTGGACATACGGAAATTGTAAGACTGATAATAACCAAATTCCAACCTGGTATGTGTGCGTGGATGAGACCACTAAATTGGAATTGGAATTGAAAATAGAATATAATTTTATTACAAGCAAAAGAACAAAAAGTTCCTACTTGTGATGACAGATAAAGCCGTCATCTCTCGGGAAGTTTAGAGCTGAGGGTCTGTTTAAAATCTTTGGCATGTATATTTTTTGTTTCTTTTCATAATTTTAAAATAGCAATGATCCGTTTTCGAAACAATAATAAATAGTGACATAAGACACGATACGTCAATAGATATACTGATATAAAAATTAATATATTCAAATATCAATAGATAGACTAAACTGAAAATCAAAAAATAAAAAATAACGGAAAAAAAAACTAACAATAGAAATATGAAACTTAATTTCCTTAGAAATGTTAATGTTTGGATAAGCAAAATCTTTCAAGTACTCCACGATTATCTTAATTTTTGTTTCCATAATTTTGGCCCAGGATTGAGTGAATTGAAGTGTTCAATAAAGATTGCATTTTTAATATAATTGTATGGCTTGAATAACGAAAGGTCCAAAAGGCATCTACGTAGCTTTAAATTTTTTGTTTTTTGTTTTTTCCACATGGCAAATTTGTATGACATGTGACATTTTTTTTTTTTTTTTTTGGTTAGATGACAGTTTTAATTTAAAAGTTGGTCAGAAAATTATTGAAGAGATTATATTAAGAAAAAATCAAGCGTAAAAAGATATGATAAATAAAAAGAAAAATAGAGAGATCACGTTAAGAAAACATGAATTGGAAGCCCACTATTAAGCAAAAACAAGAAAAAAGAAGGGTAAACATCTGATTAGTCCTCAGGTTACAACTCAAATCTCAATGAAATTCTTAGAAAATAAAAGAAACTTCCTTTTAGCTCAATCAATTCTAGCTATTTTGTAAGGTGGATAATTTCTAGCTTGCTTTTGTTTTCCGACAATGCACTTTAAGTTAATAATTTCAACGATGGCCTTGGCTAGATTGTTCTTGATGTTCGTCATCAATTGCTTTCTGCATAATTAATAACAAACAGTTGATTATGAGTTAATGTCGCTAAACTTTGTATTTGTTTAATGAATCGAAACCCAGAAGTCAATCAAAGGGAGAAAAGAAAAAAAAGAGAAGGCAAACCTCAGATTAGTTCTTAAGCTATATAGCCCATGGTGATCTCAGTGGAATCCTCAAAGAGTCAAAGTTTACAGTTTTTGTATGGCATCCAGAGTTAGAAATCCTGCCATGCCAGGAGCACAGAAGACTGCATCACACGCATAATGTAGCTATTACATTGCAATTGGCCCTCCGCTGTCATACAAAAACTGTTATACAAAAATGCCCCCGTTTTTAAATACTGTTAGCTGTGACTTCTTTGAAATATTGGGTCCTTTTCAAGGAAAACATGGTGCATTTTTGTAATTCCACTAGACCCAAATTGGTGAATCAAAATTCTCCCCATAACAGTACTGTTATACAAAAACTGGTCCCACCTGATGTGGACATCAAAAACTGGTGGTAAAACCCTTCTTGTTTACGCTTCTTGTTTTTGGTTTAATAGTGGGCTTCCAATTCTATATCCAATGGGGCCACTCCAAATTGAGTTGTAAAAATAACTACATTAGCGAAGTGGGTCGTTTCTCTTGCGAAGCACTAAGTATTGGGCCCACATAAGAAATTGCTCAGGATACACTAATTCATCACTCGAAGCCCAACTTTTTCTTTGCTTTTATTTTTTCGAGCCACCTTCTATTTGCATGCTAAATTGTACCATTACCATATGAAATGTAGCGAGCTACTAGATGCTTATCCGTGTTACACCATGGATCAAATAGAACTGATAAAATTAATTTAAAAAATTATTACAATTTTATAACATGTGTTATGTCGTGAATATATTAAAATATATTGAATTAAAAGAAACAAAATTATCTAATTTTATATTTTTTTAAATCAAATTTTTATATTTGATTTATTCTTATTAATATCTTTAATATTTTTTTATTAAAAAACATGATTTGTTCTTCGTTATTCATTAATTCTTAAATAAAAACCTATAATAATGTAAAATGAAATTTTTAAAAAAGGTCTTGACATTTGTTTTCATAAGATCTCATCGAATAAAAAAACAACCATCAATATAAAAACTTGTATAAAAATTAACAAATGAATTTTTTATGTTTTTGAAAATATTTATAGTTGATTTATATTTATTTATCTATAAAATAATAAATAATATTAGTATAAAAAGATGCATCCGAATTATTAGACGACACTTCTAAAATATTACTTTAATTAATTTTAGAATATTTGAAAAATATTAAATGCAAATTATTGGTGCTATGTGTGTAGATTGCACAAATAATTTTCAATAAAACCAATGATCTCAATTTTTTTTATACATTATGACCATATTCGGTGGGTTAGAGTGCGCGAGCATAAATAGCAAAGCATTTTAAAAAATAATTTGTAAAGAATATATTGAAGTTAATGAAGTGCAATAAAAATAACTACAAAATTTTAGTGTGATAAAATTTTATTGTACAAAGAATAAGAAAATAAAACATGTGAATTATATTATTTAATTGATGATTTAATTAATTTATTTTAACGAAATTAATTTTAGAATATTTGAAAAAAATAAACACAAATTATTGGTGTTATGCGTGCATATGCATAGATAATTTTCAATAAAATCAATAATTTTTAACTTTTTAATACATTATGACCATACTCGGAGGGTCGAGTATGCAAAATAAATCACAAAGTATTTTTTCAAAAATAATTTATAAGGAATATATTGAAGTTAATGAAGTACAATAAAAATAACTACAAAATTTATTCAATAAAATTTTATCGTACAAAGAATAAGAAAATAAAACATGTGAATTCTATTATTTAATTGATAATTTATTTAAAAAAAAAAAAACTAATTCAGAATCTCATATATAGAGAAAAATAAATCATATTTATTAACAAAAAATTAAATAAAAAAATAAAAACTAAAAAAAATAATTTGATGAGAATTTTCATAATGCAAATTGAAGAGATAAGTTTTAAATAGTGAAAATAATATATATAGTTCGAAAAAAAAAACATTGTATATGCTTCCTAATTATTAGTATGTGTAAAAAGACGATTGTTTTTTCATAATTTTTTCACCCAATTCAATAATAATAATAACAATAAACCTAAATTGCTAAAAAAAAAAAAAAAAAAAAAACCCTGCCCACGAGCCTAAAGAAGCAAGCCTGTGCGCTTAGGCTTCAGGAGCAGATAAGCTCAAGATGAGCCACCTCGACCCTGAGAGGCAAGCCTAGGTGGCGCTAAAAAACAAAAACAAAAACAAAACTTACAACTTCCGTTGAATTGAAATTCGTCGAAATCCTCTTTGAAAATCAAGGTTACGTTTTCAGAGACCCCAAACTCATTTTCGGTATCATTTTTGCTTCAAAACACCTCAAACACAATAGAAATAAGGTCAATAAACTCGTTTAAAACCATCTCAATGCACATTAAAAATCAGAAAATAAATTTGTTTTGAACTCCGATCTACTTTATTTAACCATTTTATGACTTGAAAAGATCACAAATGCACTCTCATTACAAATACAAACAATCTAGATCTGGAAAAAAAAAAAAAAAAAGATCAAAATCTAGCCTAATCGATCGTTTCTCTTTCCTCCATTCTCTCTCTTTGTTTTCCATCCAAAAACCACAAATATGTTTTGAAAATACAAGGAATCATAAATGTTCTAAGAAAACATGAGGTACTAAAAGATGTTAAATTTGCATAATACTGTCTAGAAAACATTAAAAAATAATAGAAAAACCATTGGCAAAAATAACAAAAAATGCCACCAATGAACACTTGATGAATAGTCAATTTAGGCATTTGAACAATGTAGAAACAACATTTTACTATTTAACCCACCTTCTTTAGTTTTCTTTTTTTGTAATTGGATTACCTAAGTCTTTCAGCAAAAAAAAAAAAAAATCATGAGTTCAAATCATTTTAAATATTTAAATTTGAAAATACTTTATTATAAGAATATATAAGTAGTAATTCAGTCCATTGTAATAATACAATTTTTTTTCTCTTAACTCGCTAACTACTAACTACTAATTATCAAAATTAATTTTTAATTGTCTAACCACTAATTATCAGTTGTATGGTTTTATTTATGAAAAAAATAAAATAAATAAAAATTGGTATTTGCCTGCCCTTCTTGCGAGTTTTTTTTTTAAAAAATTTAATATGCATGGTTTCATGTTTATATATATATAGTATACATGACGTATTAGTAGTTAACATATATTAACCTTTCAAAGCCCAAAATATTTTATTTTCACCCTTGAGTCACTTGAATATGATGAATATTTTTTTAAGCTTCGTATTTTCTATATATTCTATGGGTCAATGGAAAT